CTAAATAACCTACCTCTTTGTTAAAAAAAGCAGCAGAAATGAGGAGGAGGAGGAGGAAGAGAAGAAGGAGGAGAAGGAGTAGTGTGGTGGTAGAAATTGAGCTAGTTTGCCCTCGCGCTCATTAGTTATGCACGATTTGCGCTTCGGAAAAAGTGAACCGGAACTTTAACAATGACAGCAGCAGGAAAGAGAAAATGCATAAGGAGGAGTGAAAACAATAAAAATGAGGGGAAATGGAGGAGGGAAACAATGGAAATGTGGTGGTGATGGTGGTGGTGGTGATACATAGCTCTACTTTTCACGATGCTGTGTTGAAATAAGAGTTCAGTGTGGGGTCTATGTGGTCAGGAGGGAAGATAAAAATAAAAAAAAATAGAAAATAGAAAAGGAGAAATAAATTAATTGTGGAGGTGGAGGAGGAAGTAGGATAAGTAAAACATTGTCTTTCGTTCTAAAAAGAGCTAGCTTTCGCTCAGTGGAACATGGATTCCGGATTCCAATCGTAAGTGGGTTCCCGGATTCCTTGAGCTGTAACCCAGATTCCAAAGCCCAAGATTCCGCATTCCACAATAAAAAAATTCCCGGATTCCGTAATCGTCCTCACATGCGGCGACCTGTTATACTGACCCACGCTCGCAATGAACAGATTTTTTCCCTGCATTATGTATCATGGAGCTTTAATTGATATATCGAGGTTCCTTTGGATTCCTCATATCGGCGTTGCACACGATGATATTTTGCACAAGAGCGTAAGAACGTAATGTTTCCACCTTCACCGATACCTGCCGCCTATAAGTCCCGGGCTTATAAATCTTTGTAAGGGGTTTTATAAGGAGAGGGGGCTTATTTCCGAGAGGGGCTCAGTTTGTTGACGGGTTGATGGCCTTATAACTGGGAGGCTTGTAAGTGGGGCGGGGGAGAGGCTTATAGGCGGGAATTCACGTTATTTTAATTTGAACTGATATTTTTTATACTACAATTTAAATTTAGTGCCAGATGTAAACGAATGCTTGAATCCCATTGCCTGCATCGAACCAGCAACATGTGAGAACACTGTGGGGTCGTACAAATGTAATTGCCCAAGCGGTTGGGTTCAAAAACCAGGAACCAATAACCAATGTCAAGGTATTATGAGTCATTTGAAGATTTATCTTAGATACAATTCAGTCCTGGAGGTTTCTTGCCACTATTAGAACGAAATAATCGTAGTCGTCGTCGTTTTTAGCATTTACCGCACTGGGAAATTTGGCCGCATGAATGGGACTTTTGAGTGTTTCCCCATAATTCGAGAAGTCTTGTAGATTTCTGGTGTCGTTATAAGACGGGTTATAATCAGGATGCAAACCACAAGCTCTGTGTAGGTACGTTATTTTATATTATACACTTAATGTCAGGTCCCGAGGGAAATAAGTAGCTTTGTTTTCCCGGGAGTCTTCAGGACTCGAGGGAAAACAGAACTAACTGGTTTCCCGAGGGACCAGACGTTAATTGTTTTGTTATATTTCTAGACTTTCATTTCAACAACAACAAAAGAATAACTGGGGCGAACCAAAACAGTCGACTCGGTACTTATAACAACACAAATCTAATTCTCCAAAGCACTGAATGAATCATATATTACAAAGTACTTTTCTTGCACTCTTCCCTCCACTAGCTGCTGTTTCTGTTCTGGAACAACTTAAAAATCGTTTCTTTTTAGCTTGACGCTTCGTGTTTGTGTTGTGTTCATTCACAAAAAAGACAACTGTCAGTGTTTTCCGGCCTTCTTTCCGCCACTTTCCACCACGCTTTGATCACGCGCTGTAATGTACCCCGGTCGGGATACGTTTAATTTTAGTCAAGGCCACGTGACTAAGAATCAGCCAATGGCAGTCCCTGTTTAGTTGAGTGAAAGTCTAGGAATATAACAATCGGCTATGCTCACAATGATTATACCCGATAACTTTACGTGCCGACACGACAAGCTATCCTGAATAGTGTGAACACCGATCGGCCGTTATGTGCTGCTCCACTTAGAGCTATGTTTACTCGATGCTGGAAAAAGGGCGCAGAGGAGTCATTTGTGACCTTGTTTGCTGATTTAGTTAAATTTTACAGTTGATACCACGTATCGCCTTTGTTTTTATACTGTGAAATCGAACAAATCGTCGTTCGATCAACTTATAAATTAGCATAGGTAATAGCATGATTTGTAGTGATATTTGGCATAAATAGCAAGAGTGATATTTCGAAATTGTTATACGAAATTTCACAAGCCGTTAGGCGAGTGAAATTTGAGACAATTTTAAAATATCACAAGTGGTATTTATGCCAAATATCACGTACAAATCATGCCATTATTTGTTTATACTACTACCTCAAAAGGTTTTATAATTTTCACATGTAGGTATTTCAAATTAAGCTGAAATACCACTGCTCTAAGCCAATCAAATTGCAGAGATTTCTCATGTAGTAGTATAAACCTGGTAATATATCCAATGATCCGGAACACCGCTGAAGGTAATGACTGCGGACGAATAACAGCGACTAACACATTTTTTTAAGAGACCTTGTCTCTTTTTCTTCTCGGCACTTCGTGCCTCGCTCGGAAAGCTTCTCTTTCCAAATACGTTGCCACCGAGCATTAGGTCAGTAATATTTTATTAGGTGTGTAACACCATCGCGAATGAGCGGTTGAAAAGCAGATGCTTTTGGGCCCAGGATTAAGAAAAACTGATTCAGAAATAGTAAATATGAAAAAAAAAACCACCTATATGACTAGTGTAGTTATAATTAAATTTCTATTCGCCATTAAACCTCCGGTAGCTCAGTGGTTGGAACATCCGAGCTAGAGCTCTTTCGAGGGACGTGTGTTCGATTCTCACCTGAAGCTCGGATTTTTTTTGAGCACTTTCTGGTCTTATAAAATTCTTGTTCTTCCAAACTTGATTAAGGCTGAACATTAGCAAAACCAAAAGAAGGACGGAAAGTATTGGGAGCAGCAGAGCGAAGTACAAAAGGCTTGCTCGGAACGCCGTACTGGCTAGCGTCAAAAAATGAGAAAAAAATTGTTTTCTATATAAAAGTTTAATTTAATCTTATGCACTTCCTCTCCTTTAAATTTTACAGAAGCTCCTTCTCCGTAATTTTCGGTGAAGAAGCAGCACTGGAGAACTGAAAGGAGGTTTAGGCCTAGATGAGGTTGCTTAACACTCGTTGAATTGGATCTGATCCTTATTTGAAGCCAATATAGTTAGAGACTAGTGACGTGAAATAAGTTGAAATAGAAAATGCTTTAACCTGTCATGTATTAATTATTAAAACAAACATGATACTTAATTTTCTCTCCTTTGTTGTTGGCTGAATGGTTTGTGTACCCTTACAAACTTGCAGTTTTTTAGTTTACTGAACAGTTCTCCAATTTCTGCATTGGTTTGAATTTCTCCACATACCACGACCATAGCGAGCAACAATCAAAACGGAGACAGCGTAGGACTTGCCTCTACTATAGATTTTAATCAAACATTAGAACAGCCTGCCCCTAGACATCCGCCATTCCCCACCCTCCCTTGCAGGTCGCGTCCCCCTCTTCGTCATCTACGCCAGATGACTGGCTACAGTCCAGCATACCAGTGGCGATACACCAAGATTATCTTTATCAAGGCATCTTGCCGCACAGCCGTTTTAGGGTCGTTACGCAAACACTCACCCCCTCACAAACGGCTGCTGAGAATCGAACCACATTCTTTTCCCGCGGTTAGCCAATTAGAATTCAGCTCCCATTTTCTGGAAGGTGTTCGCGCCACGTTTGCGGTACTGTGACTCCTCCGATCGCAGCTTTGCTTTTATCTGTGTCCATATGTGAATTACAGAACAATCGAAATCGTCGCGTGAAAAAAGCAATAAACTGCAATCAACTAAGAGTAGTGTTTTGTTGTCGTAGTCGAGTCCTAAACAAACTTTATGAGATAAGCAGCAGCATCAGGCAAGTCAAGCTAGTGTGATGCACAACATGGATGTGCATTAATTGTGCTTATAAAGTTGCCGGGTATTAAGTTTCGGGAAATCGCTCATCGATAATTTATAAGATTGCTTTTGTTTGAATCAGTACCCTTGAGAGTTTAGTCTTCACATGTACAGCAACACAATGAGCACATCCGGCACATGAAATTCATCATACATATGCACGTTAAAAAGAACCAACCGATCCTGATAAGAGTCTTGTACGCCTATCAAACCTTTTTTCACTTGGAACTTTGTTAATCGCTTAAAACAAACTTTTCTGCAAATTAACCTTTTTGTTGCTTGCGGACACAGATCCCGTCCAAATTCAGCGACGATTGATTGATTTGTCGAAAACTAAGAAGTTTGTTCGCTTCCTGGCGCAGGCTGCGGGTCACGTATTGTCACGTTTCTTATACATGATTGGTTTGTTCGTTAGACCACAAACACTAAAAGAAAGGAATGTGGTTCGATTCTCAGCAGCCGTTTGTGGGGAGGAGCGTTGCGTGACGACACTAAAAACGGCTGTGTAGCAGACTACGTAGGACTTCTCTCTACTAGATTTTAATCAAACATTAGAACAGCTGCCCCTAGACATACGCCATTCCCCGACCCTCCCTTGCAGGTCGCGTCCCCCTCTTCGTCATCTACGCCAGACGACTTGCGACAGTCCAGCATACCAGCGGCGGTACACCAAGATTATCTTTATCAACTGAAGGCATCTTGTTCAGACAGCCTACGCCAGTCTTGGCTGGTGGTGATTGAGCCTCCTTTTCTTGTCCTCTTTAAAGAAGACAGAATAGGCTCTACTTCAGGTTGATATTCAGCCAATGTCACCAAACAAACTTCGTCAATAAAGAATATATTATATGGCCGAAAAATACTTATCTTACAGGATAAGCCTGAGGTGGGCGATCCTAAGCGAGCAAGATATTGTCTCATCTCGTCCACTCAGATAGCCAATCAGAATACAGGATTCTCCTTTTCTTACCGCTAGCGAAGTTTGCTTTATAATATCCTTAGACAATACTCCTATTGTCGTCATTATCATTATCATTATCATCATCATCATTATTAGGAGCAGCAACAGCATCGGCATCAGGATCAACATCAGTATTATCATTATCATCATCATCTTCATCGTTGGCATCATCATCATCATCATCATCATCGTCATCATCATTATCATTATCAGAGCACATTCCGCGATCATTTCCACAGAAGAAAACCCCTCAGGTTGTTTAAGAAATTCGTAGGCTTTTCTTCTATTCTAATGCTTTCCCCCATTCCCTACCACGGCAATCACCTTTGTCCGTACCACCAACACTTTTCGAACTTTTCTTTTGATACTTTTAGACCGTCTCCGTTCCTCTCTCTCTCTGTCTCTCTTTCAACCTTCTGGGTTGCCACGTCTATATTTGTAACTGCTCCTGTCGCTCTTGTCTCTGGTCCAGCCCCAATTTGATGTATGGTTCAAACACTGAAGTCCCACAAACGTTTTTAGCCGTCATTTTCACGAATATTCACCGGATGGCCATTCAACCTTTCGTGTTAATCCAACTCATAGGTCCTGGCGCCTTCCAATGTACGGAACTTTTCTTAGATTTTGAACCATCGTTTCTATGGTTATAGATTAGTCGGAATCAATTGAGGTTTCTAGGTATCTGAACACCTACGGTACCCCTCCCCTAAAAGTCAAGATTAAGAAAACATTATTCAAATACATATATGCACATAAACATGATGCATGATACATAATAGGCTGATTTAGCAACAGAAAGGGAACGACAGTTGACGACGGCGCGCGCAATTAAACAACTGGCTTGTACAATGGCAGAGCGGCAAATTGGGCACCGGAATTCGTGTTTAGTCCTTTTCCCGCGCTTTCCCGTCGTCAACTGACGTTCCCGCCCTGTTGCTAAATCAGCCTATTTCAAAAGGTGGACCGCAAGGTTATCCCTATAAAAGGTCCCCTAACTGAACTTTAAAAACCTTAAAAAATTATAAAAAAAAGCGGGTAAAAATATTTAGTGCAGGTAAAAAATGGTATAGTAAGAATTATATTAAAAATGAAAATATATACAATTAATCTTCATCCATCTTTTAAGCCTTAATAAAAAATTTGTTAACGTTAATTTCGTCAGTAAAAGGATGGTTTGGCAAACTGTTCCAGTCTTTGACGATTCTCACAAAGAAGGAGTACTTAAATGAGTTATTTTAAGCTAAGGGACTGGTCAAAAAGTATAGGGGGGGGGGGGGGGAGCATTTGGAAATGTGGTTGATAAAAAACACATGACCCACCCCCTCCCTTCGGCACAAAAATGACTGACCCACCCTTAAAGCAAGGTTGGAAATTGCATGACCCACCCCCTAGTTAAAACATGGATGTTCGGTTTCCTCTTAATAATCCAATAAAACCTTGTTGTGTGCTTGACAAAATTTGTTGATACACTGCTACAAGCAATATCAAAATCACAGAAATCATACCTTTCACTGAAAAGACGAATCTGAAAAACCGAACATTTCTTGTTTCAATGGACGTTATGAGTCTTGACTCAAATATACAGCAAAACGAGGGTATATTGAAATTATCTGTCACAAAGCATATGAAAATTTCAACAAAGACAACCCATTCCTACACATTACTTGCCAGAAATGATTAGATTAATTCTCAACGAAAATTTCTTCCACTTCAGTGGAAAGCACTACCTACAAAACCATGGAACTGCAGTGGGCACAAAGACAGCAGTTTTGATTCCGTTGCCAATATTTTCAGGACATTTATTGAAACAACAAATCTAAGCAAAACTGTCTTCAGAACAACAGTTTGGAAATGCCACATACACGATATCTTTTCCCTATGGGACATGAGTAAACCAGACATCGAAGCCTTTATTGAACAAGCAAGCTTACATCACCTAACCTATTGAAAACATTTGACACTGAGACTGCGTTTTTAGACACGGTTGTATACAAAGGCACAAGATTCAAGGAAAAATCTATCCTTGATGCAAAGACACATTTTAAACAGACGGAAAGCTTCTTGCACACACATTTCACTTCGTGTCACCCTCCAAATGTTAATGAAAAGAATTTGTCAAAGGAGAAGCGTTAAGGTCTAGGTAAAGGAAAACGAGGTGCCCACAGAAAAAAATTCTAGTCGCGTGAGTATTTTCGCTACAAAGGCAAGTTATATATCAAATTAAAGCTAAAAGACTAAATTACCTTATAAAAGATTTTATTTTATCGAATTTCAAAAGGCGCTTAAGTTTTTTGCTCTCGAACTCAGAGGTATCGAGTTTACTGCTGAAGTTCCAGCACAAACTCGATACCTCTGAGTTCGAGAGCAAAAAACTTAAGCGCCTTTTGAAATTCGATAAAATAAAATCTTTTATAAGGTAATTTAGTCTTTTAGCTTTAATTTGATATATAACTTGCCTTTGTAGCGAAAATACTCGCGCGACTAGAATTTTTTTCTGTGGGCACCTCGTTTTCCTTTACCGAGACCTTAAGAATCCTACAAAAAAACTCCTCAGAAACAACCTTTGAGGAAAATAATTCAAATTTAAAAAAAAAAACGCTTGACGGACGGAGGCTACCCACAATCTTTCAGGGGTACCCAACGTCAAGTTTGGGAAAATATCTGTTCGAAAGACGATTTGAGATGTAGAATTTTCGGAACTTTTGTTGTAAAATTTCTTGCTTATCTGCCCCTCCTAGGATTTTTGAACATCCAAAAAAATGGTATAATTGCCCATTTTTAACGGATTTTTACCCTAAGGTCACCTAGAATTTTCGGGAGCCTTTTTTCTGGCTGAAATTTTCGAAAAGGTAAGTTTTAATCCCTACAATTTTCGTATCACAAGACTTTCAGCTAGGAGATCCGAACAGATGAAAAATTTTTAGGGGATAAAAATATGCCTATATCTACTGTTTAAATACTAAAATACGTTTAACAATGCTACGTTTAAGTGGTTTTGAAATATATTCTCGTTGGGTGCCCCCTATCTTTGATAGAAAACCTACTATCAGAAAAAGAAGTCACAAAAGGGAGTCTAAACTCCTAAAACAAAACAACAAGGAGGAAAAAGAAATATTGCCATTCGTGACACAATACCAGCCCTCAGTGTCTACTATAAAGGAAGCTTGAATGAAAAAATGGAATCTTATACAAAACCAACTATAACTTCAATAAATTTTTAAAGAACCACCAATCATTTCCTTACAAAAAAGGAAAATCGTTAAAGGACATGCTCGTTAGAGCCGAAAAAAAAAAGGTTAACAGAGGGTTCCACGCCCGTATAGATGTGCGGCTTGTCAACCTTTGTATTTTCTCGCACAACAGGTTTGTGAGTATTTTAGCAATAATTCCAGCTGGCGGTGTTTTATATAACAAGTGTAGTCAACTGTCTCGTTAGTAGTTAGTAAAAAATACCCCCTAAGGGTAGCTGAAAATTGTACGACCCACGCCTTGCACAAAGCTCAAAACCTCATGACCCACCCCCCCTATACTTTTTGACCAGTCCCTAATTTAGTTCGTATTTGTTATAGATGGTTGGCTCTAGTGTTTTTAGTTCTAAAAAACTCGAAATAGTCATTAAAGTCTATAGGCCATTTAGACACTGTCTTGTAAAATTCCACTACAGATATAAGTATTCTCTTCGATGCTGAAGTTTGTTCCAGTTTAGTAATATACATCTTTCTTCATATAACATCTCGCGTAGTTTTTGACCGAGAGGGATTCTTAATGCTCTTCGTTGTACTTTTTCGATTGCCAACTTATATGTTCGCTGAATAGGGCGACCATGATACCGGGCATGCGTATTCTAGGATTGATCTAACCAAGGACTTATAGAAAATTTCCTTGTTGTTGCTACTAACCTACGCTTTAGTAGGCCCATCACTTTGTTTGCTTATTTACAATTGCGTGCACGTGGTTCGACCAGGATAAGTCTCTTGACACATAAACACCCAGGTCCTTGCATGAGTTAACTGATTTTAATTCTGTACTGATTCGACAGCCGTGATAAGGATGTTTACTTTTGTCTCGCCTATGCGTAATTCTCATCACTTCGCATTTCTGAAGATTAAATTTAGCTTGCCAGCCTCTTGCCCAGTTTTCCAGGCAATCCAGATCCGACTGTAGTGCTAATGTATCCTTACCATCATTAATATCACGGTAAATCTTTGAATTGTCAGCGAACATTTTAATAGAAGAGGTAACAACATTTGTTATGTCGTCTGCGTAGACTAAGAACAAGGTGGGCCACAGGATTTTTCCGTGGGGAATTAACACTTACTTCTCACTTGGGCAAAATTATGACTTAGTTGAGGAGTAGCTGGTCAGTTACCCAGAAACTTCAGCTTCCCCAGCCGCTGTACATCCTTATCATTCCTTATTATGTGTTGACGGTATAACCCAAATGCTCTCCCAAAATTGCCACTGAGTCAGGTGTTATTTCAGAGTTACTTGTAGCCTGCGTATCTCAGTTGCGGGGTTGTTTCACTAGCTCCCTATCCTAACGCAGCTTCACAGCCAAAAAAACTACAGCATTCGCCCGCTAATCTTGCCATCTACGTATGCTAAGATACTAGTTGAAGTAATTTAGTGTATGTGCCTAATTTTTTTCATTTGTTTGCTTACAAACTTTTTAAGAGTTCTGTTACACGTGAATGATGATCTCCTTCTCGCAGTTTACGTATAAACTTTTATTGAAATACTGAATTAGGCAGGGCCTACACTAGTCCGCCTCTTTGATTTGTTTGAAAGAATTCATACTTATTTGTTTACAGGAAAATTGCATTTACCGTTAAGCCTTTCTACGGTGGTGACTTTTTTCTACTACATCAAGGCGATTTGGGGATCGTTCTCTTGTGAAAGGAAGTTTATGTGCGCACGGTTTCAAAAATTTAGCTTCAGCGGACTCGTGAGAAATTAGTGGGTAGACTTCGCTGGTACGGCGGTGTAAAAAAATCCACTTGTCATGCATGACATGTGGATTTCTTTACACCGCCGTACCAGTTTACATGTCGAAGTAGATTAATTATATATACTTCAACATTAAATTTTCTTACATTGATTTTAGAGGAAAAGAGGGAAATGTATAAGTCTTAGATCTTAGCTTAATTGTGACAATGAGGGATATTTTCTAAAAAGTTGTTGACTAGGTATGAGATTCGCCAACGTTATCGAGTGATGCCGAGATGAAAGGAAAAAACAAAATGAACAATGTAGTTTCTTTACCCACTCGCTGTAACAAGTGTTCGTGTTTTCCAGATAAAATTCATGCTGGGAAATTAAAACTGTTGATTTGTGAGCTGAAAGAGAGGCATAGAGGCAGGGGGAAAAACCGACATACCTAGAAAATAACTTCTCAGAAGTGAACCTGTCAGAGGAAGAGCAAAATCAACCCACATAGTGTCATGGCTTTGCAGAGATAAAAAACCGCTGGTGCTTAGCGGGCCTAACTAATACTCTCACCACCAGCCTTCAACTCCGGCTTCAGCTGCGTATAAAATTCTTGTAGTCTTAAGAAATCACTTAAGTTGTTACGAGATAGATGTTGTCATATTGTGCTTTAACGTCTCTCAAAACAACAGAGGAACAAACTGTCCTCTTTGATTTGCATCGCCATATTAACCGAGAGAAAGTGTCCATCTAACATGATTGTTACAAATTAAGTGATATGTATGGGTGGAGGCCTTTACTTAATATTTTGCAAATTCGTAATTTTCTACTAAATCGGAAGAAGATCAGATTGCGCTGACGTACTAAGCAAAGAAAAATGTTTATTATATGAATCTTATTTACGACTGAATGTGAATATGCCCAGCTACATACTGTAAATAAGTCAGACAACTTGTAACCTTAAAACAAACATAAAGCTACATGTAGTTCATAATTTAATACTGAAATATAATAGTCAAGATAAGTTCTCTCTCAGTTTTAATTTACAACCGCCACATCCACCAAACGAGAAACTCCAAATTGAACATTGATTATAAAATTTCAAATATTTTCTCAGTACGGACTATCACTTCACAGGGATTCGTGTGAATCAAAAGGTTAATTAAAAGCTCGTTTAGCTTGGGAATGTTTCTAGCTGCGAAGGTAAAACACAGCTTGTTTCGGCAATGCAAGCTAATGATATGTAGTTATTGCTTACTGGATAATTATTATATGGTTCGTAATACGAAGCAATAGTTTACCCACAACAGTTTGTTTTTCGACAGCTGTGGAAGCAGGAATTCGTTTCTTATGGCAACCATGTTAACTTCGCTTGCCCAGCTGGACGAAAAGGGTTACATGCAGAGTAATGGAAATCCACACATTATCATTTTCTGGATGAGTCAAGGCTGATACGTAATTTGCTTTGTAGGAAAATAAGATGCTGTCGTCGTTACTGCTTTCTCAAATCCTCCTTTTAAGCAGCAGTTTCGCTGAAGCAAAAGGTAAGCTTTGTTGGTCTTCCCTCTGAAAAAATTATGGCTCTAGTTTCAGAGATTTTTAGCATATAGGTGAATATTAGTAAATAACTTTAAAATCATAATTATCTGTTAACAGACACCTCTTAGAGAAAGACACTTAAAGAGACCTATAGACCTATAGTTAGCCCTTAATTGTGTCGCTCTTCAGTCGTTTTCTTTAACTCGGTACGAAAGGGGATACCTCCATAACGACAGACGTTTCCAATAGTGTTGGCCTCAGCGGGGTTCGTTTCAGAAAGAGTTCATCCAAGTGATTTAAGACTCACTTGCAAAATATTTTTGTATAAAAATACAGTATTTAATGGAGAATAAACCTATCAAGTTATATATATACACGCGTCTATTGATTACAAAAAGCAGGGCAGTGCGGTTCTAATTACAATTAGGTGTGAGGAAAAACTAATAGAGTGTTGTTTTTGAGTCAATTGTTCCTAAGGTAAAACTTGTAGGTTTATTCTCCATTAAATACTGTCTGATGAGTGCGTGAGCACGAAACTCGGAGTAACAGAGAATTTTGTCTCTTCGTTATATCTTCTTATTCAAAGCTCTACACTTAAAAAGTGTATTGAGCACTGTTTAACGGCTTCAGCCACTTTATTACACGTATATAAAAATACACAAAATTTTAGTGAAATGTTTTAAGGAATTCAAGAGTAACTCGAAATTAAAGGACAGGCTGGAGGTCACGCAATCGCTGGCTGTAATTTTAGATTTGACCGAAAATCAACTGATATAGACGATACTCAAATGAAAGTGTAAAAGAAAGGAATAGAAATGCAGTAAAGAAAAAGAAAAAAGAGAAATTTTTATTGTTTTATTGTTTCATTATCTTTATGCTACACACAAAATATACATATAAAATTTTTAAAAAAGATGATCTTGAGGCAAGAGAGCCCGCCAAGGAAGCCAATACGGCTTGGAATAGGAAATTATGTTACCTAATTGATGATTGTAATACTCACATCCGCAGTTTAACTCTTAGTATGCACAATTTGTTTGGAACATAGAAAACAATTGTTAAATAGGATAAAGATAGAAAAGGCTGAACGTGTAAGTGCAAAAACGAGAGAGAAAAGGTGAGAAAAAAAATAATGCAAGAATAAACGAAGAAAAAAAAGCGAAAGAAGCGAAAAACTGCACACAAGCATTACGAGAGCTAAAGTGTGCTTATACAAAGAAAAAATGACTTAAGTTTAGAATTGAACAAAGCAGTAATTGGAGAAGATCATAGCTAAGAAAAATATTGCATTCGAATAAACGTCGGCCCTAGTATCTTTTCTTAAAGTCAGTTATCTTCTTTTAAGAAGTGCGATCTAGAATGATCAATGAAAAATTGTCATGTGGACCCGATTTTGTCATTAATAAAGACTTTTACCTTTTTGTCGGTTTGAATATTGAAGATCTTTAAACTAGAAAAGATATTTGGAAAAAAAGATAGAAAAATCATTCTCCTAAAATTTACTGGGATTCATGACTACTGACTAATAGATTATAAAGAATTTTTCACTCTTTTTGAATATTGGAAGGACCTTAGATCACGAAATGAAAGGTGTTTTCTTTTATGTTAATCCGTTAAATGTTAGACAAGAAACGATTCACTACCGCAAGAGCGGCATACGCAACTTACAACCTGTCCGGCAATTTTTAGTACTTTGCTTTTCCGCAGCGATCGTACGAAGTCAAAAGATATCCAGTCATTTCAGCCTATTTGATACTGGTTATTTAAAAAATATATTTGAAGTTTTTCTTCTTTTAGGACGGGCCTAATTTTTATACGTGTATAAATTATAAATTATTATTTCAAATCTACGTCGTGCGCAAGAAGATCTAGCAGCAAAGTACGCACTGAGTACGCTTCTGCACTCATAATTCCAGCATAAAATTGCCTTTTTAAAATCTGATCGATGGCATCATCTCATGGCACCCAACCAGCCAACGGCAGTTTTCTGTCAAAAGCTTTTAGACGGAATCCATCAGGACATTGTGTAGTACTGTTTTAACTTTCAGGAGGCAAAAACTTGTAGCGTTTAACATTTTAGTCGCCGAACTTCACTGAGACGTGAATACCGGCGAATAGTCACCGAGATGAACTTCGCCGATATTCACGTCGCGTGAGGCAGCTAATTGTCTTGGTATAATTATATTGATGATTATTCGAGAAAATAAAATAAAAAAGAGACACATTTTTGAAAGATTTTGGGGCTTTAAGATGTCGGTCGAGGGCGGCTCTGATCGACAACAAGCTAGTTTTCTTATAATAGCTGCCTTCGGTTTTCCTCAGGGAAACAAAAATTTTGCCAGACATTTATTTAATTCATTGACTTCCATGTTCCCTTATTTGAGAACTAGCTGTAATTTCATGAACTGTCCCGCTCTTAAGCTCAGTCGGTGTTATCCTTATTTTTCGCTATTTTAACTATACAATTAGAGTGGGAAAAGCATTTAATATGTGGATCCCATAACTCACGGTATCAATTTGTTGAGAGCGTTACTAATATAAAATTGTTGTATGTTAGGATTTTCAGGTACTTTTAAAAAGTATACAGTTATTATATTCCGCAAATGAAAATTCAGACCATAACCGTTCATTTTTATTGTTCCTTATGAACGTTCTATTTCCTGCCGCTGTCATTGTTAAAGTTCCGGTTTACTGATTCAGACGCGCAAATCGTACATATCTAATGAGAGCGAAGGCAAACCACCTCCGCCTCCTTCTTATTTCTATCGGTGTTTTTTACCAGACAGGTTATTTAGTTGGCCCGTGAGTCTTTTTTCTCACTTTTGGCCTTTCTTTGGCCTGTCTGACCTTCTAAATAACCTACCTCTTTGTTAAAAAAGCAGCAGAAATGAGGAGGAGGAGGAGGAGGAGGAGAAGGAGGAGTGTGGTGGTAGAAATTGAGCTAGTTTGCCCTCTCGCTTATTAGTTATGCACGATTTGCGCGTCGGAAAAAGTGAACCGGAACTTTAACAATGACAGCAACAGCAAAGAGAACATGCATAAGGATGAGGGAAACAATAAAAATGAGGGGGAGAAGAAGGAGGGAAACAATAGAAATGTGGTGGTGATGGTGGTGGTGGTGATACATAGCTCTACTATTCGCGACGCTGTGTTGAAATAAGAGTTCAGTGTGGGGTCGATGTGGTCGGAAGGGAAGATAAAAATAAAAGAAAAAAAGGGAAATAGAAAAAAAGAAATAAATTAATTGTGCAGGTGCAGGAGGAAGTAGGATAAGTAAAACATTGTCTTTGGTTCTAAAAAGAGCTAGTTTTCGCTCAGTGGAACATGGATTCCGGCTTCCAATCGTAAGTGGGTTCCCGGATTCCCTGGATCTGTAACCCGGATTCCAAAGCCCAAGATTCCGCATTCCACAATAAAAAATTTCCCGGATTCCGGAATCGTCCTCACATGGGGCGACCCGTTATACTGACCCACGCTCGCAATGAACAGATTTTTTTCCTGCATTATGTATCATGGAGCTTTAATTGATATATCGAGGTTCCTTTGGATTCCTCATATCGGCGTTGCACACAATGATATTTTACTCAAGACCGTAAGAACGTAATGTTTCCATACCGTAAACTGCCGCTTATAAGTCCCGGGCTTACAAATCTTCGTAAGGGGTTTTAGGAGAGGGGCTTATTTCCGAGAGGGGCTCAGTTTGTTTACGGGTTGATGGCCTTATAACTGGGGGGGAAGGGGCTTGTAAGGGGGCGGGGAGAGGCTTATAGGTGTGAATTCACGTTATTTTAATTTCAACTGATATTTTTTATACTTCAATTTAAATGTAGTGCCAGATGTAAACGAATGCTTGAATCCCAATACCTGCATCGAACCAGCAACATGTGAGAACACTGTGGGGTCGTACAAATGTAATTGCCCAAGCGGTTACATTCAAAAGCCAGGAACCAATAACCAATGTCAAGGTATTATGAATCATTTGAAGATTTATCTTTGATGATTAGTTTTACAATTCAGTCCTGGAGGTTTCTTGCCACTATTAGAACGTAATAATAATAATCGTAGACGTCGTCGTTTTTAGCATTTACCGCAGTGGAAAATTTGGCCGCATGAATGGGACTTTCGAGTGTTATTCCCGTTTTCCCATAATTTGAGAAGTCTTACTTCCACTTTTTTAGACTTTCACATTGCTTTTACGAAGGTTTCTTGCTACTATTAGAACGTAATAATAATAATCGTCGTCGTCGTCGTTTTTAGCATTTACCGCACTGGAAAATTTGGCCGCATGAATGGGGCTTCTGAGTGTTACCCCCGTTTTCCATAATTTGTAATAATACGTGTTAAAATAAAAATAGATGAAAATAATTTAATTTGCAATAACGTGCCCATCCATATCCTCAATATCGGTTAGTCAATCTATGATCTATAATGGTCCATTCCATATCCCCTGAGTCATAATCGTAATGGCACAAACTCCCGCTAATGATCCACTAACAACTTCTTCATCATCATCTTCCTCTTCTTCTTCTTCTTCTTCTTCTTCTTCTTCTTCTTTTTTCAAACGTCGTACTTACCTGTTTTTTCAGTTTGCAGGTTTTGTGAGAAAAGTTTTATTTTTAATACATTAACGTCCGTGATTTTGCATAATTTTGCTCTTCAGATATAGACGAATGTTCAAAAGGTTATTGTGATCTCTTGAGGTCTACCTGCGTAAACCTCCAAGGAAGCTATCGCTGCGATTGTAAATCTGGTTATGAGAATATAACCCCCAAGATTTGCATAAGTAAGTCGGTACTTCTATGCTTTATACATGAAGGTCCTTTTCACTGAAAGAGGCTCTTTTAAATTCCGTATGTCCAGCATTGTGCAGTCCAAACATATATGGCCAAGGTTAAAAAGGTGTTGCAAGGAATATTCTCAAGTCAAGTCAAGTAACTTTTTTTAAACTCGGTAAAAACATTAGGCATATAACTAACAAAAAATTCTAAGCTATTCTTATACATATATATATATATAACCTATGATCTAACCTATATAATAGCATGGTAATGAATAGAATATAAACAGATGTACAAGTAATATTAAATAATGAATAAATAACAAATAGTATATACATTAAGTTGCCTGCTTTCCATGGATGCCGAGTGTACATTATTTGAAGAATTCCTTGTAGCCAGATTTAAAACTGTGTATGGATTCTGCTTGCCGAAGAGTCTAAGTCAAACCGTTCCATAAGACCGCCCCGCTATAACGAAAACTATTTTTAAGGTAATTGGTGCGGGGGAGAGAACATCAAATTTATTAGAGGAATCTTTTAAGAAATAATTCGAAACACGGTTTACCAATTTATCCTGTAAATATTCAGGTGCTAAACCGTGAGTACATTTGTAAACCATGTTTACTATGTGGAGTTCACGAAGAGGAGCAAGTTGAGTCCAGTTTAACTGCTAAAAAAGTGGCTTGACTCTTCAGCGTCGTAGTCAGAGTAATTCAAAATCCTGGTAGCGCGATTTTGGAGCTTCTGCAGCTTCGTGGCATTAGTTGCCCCGCAATTATTTCACACTATGTCACAATAATCAAAGTGTGGCTGGATTATCGAATTCTGGACGCCCAAATTAAGGTTTCCGGAGGAACGAAAGGACGACAGCGCTTTAGGGCACCAATGCCCAAAGCTACGTTTTTAGAGATTTTAGTAATGTGTGTATTCCAGCAGGAACGATGCAGGGGAATTTGTTACCCGAGAGGGAACCATTTACAAAACATCTTTGAGTACGGGAGAAAAGATAGGTTTCAAACCACTTATAGGGAGGGCCAGAGACACCATAGGCTTCCAATTTAGACAAAAGAATGGAGTGGTCAGCGGTATCAAATGCTTTTTCTAGATCAAGAAATACCACGGCATTCACATTTCCCCTGTCTATGTTGAATGCCTAGTTGTCAGTGGCATGGGGTAAGGCAGTGACCGTGGAATGAAGAGATCGAAATCCAAATTGATGACTGGATATCAGATCATAAATGATTCTTTCAAAGATTTTTGCCACAATAGGCCTGACAGATATTCAAATCTGAGCGCTCTCCTTGTTTGAACAGTGGAATCACCTTTGAGCATTTCCACTCCTCAGGAAAGATGCCAGAAACAATAGCGCTGTTAAAAATGCTACATAGTGAGGATGCAATTTGATCTGAACTTTCCTTTGTAAGTCTAGCTGGAAGTTTATCAAACCCTGTGGCCTTTGATTTACTCAACTTACTTAACAAAGAAAACACTTCTGAATAATTGGTTGTTTTCAGCTCAAAGGTATCAGTTGACTTAGTTATGTAGTCAAGAATTTAAAATTATTTCGTGAAGGAATTTGGTTAGCTAAATCAGTACCGTATAGTGGAAAAGTGAGAACTGAAAGTGTCAGCCAAATTACGTGCGTTAGTGATCGAAGCCCCATTGATTTTAATTTCTTTGATAAGAGAATTAACCGTTTTCAGCGATGTGACTTCATTCACGACACGCCAAGTATTACAAATGTCACCTTCATTCACACGGAAGTCATTATGATAATAAGTTACTTTTGCCCTCTTTATCTGACCATTGACATAGTTGCGATGTTGTTTGAAATTGGTCCAATCGGAAGGTTGTATAGAACGGATTGCCTTCATTTTAAGAACGTCTCGTTTGTGCATTTCCTTTTTTAAATTTGAGGGAGTTATCCAGGGAGGTTTAGACGCACGAGCCCGCTTTGTTTTCGACGGGGCGTGTTTATCTGCACAAAAAAGAAACATTCTTTTCCACTCCGCTCAAGGACGACCCAAGTACCTAAATTGAATTATTTCGTTCGGGTCCACCTTGCATAAAACCACAAGCAGCATCATTTAGAATCAGGGGAGATAATAGTTTACTCTTGAGCAGTGATGAGAAGGCACAGCGGACATAGTGGCTTATGGTCATTGAGACACACAGGCCTCACCACCACAACAAATTGCCAGCCCAAGGTCAGAGTAAACTACTTTTACAGCACATGCACTCTTTGGGTGCTTCTTTTTCATTTTTTCAGATATAAATGAATGCACAAGGGGCATCGATTCATGTGACAAGACGTCATCATATTGCACGGACACAGATGGAAATTTCTGGTGTCGTTGTAAGACGGGTTATAATCAGGGTGCAAACAACAAGCTCTGTGTAGGTACGTTGTTTTATATTATACACTTAATGTTAGGTCCTGAGGGAAACAGTTGGCTTTGTTTTCCCGAGAGTCTTGATGTTTCCCGAGACGAAGTCGATCATGGTCAAAAGCTTTTAGACGGAATCCATCAGGACATTGTGTAGTACTGTTTTAACTTTCAGGAGGCAAAAACTTGTAGCATTTAACATTTTAGTCGCCGAACTTCACTGGGACGTGAATACCGGCGAATAGTCACCGAGACGAACTTCGCCGATATTCATGTTTTGGTATAATTACATTGATGATTATTCGAGAAAATAAAATAAAAAAGAGACATATTTTTGAAAGATTTTGGGGCTTTAAGATGTCGGTCGAGGGCGGCTCTGATCGACAACAAGCTGGTTTTCTTATAATAGCTGCCTTCAGTTTTCCTCACGGAAACGAAAACTTTGCCAGACATTTATTTAATTCATCGACTTCCATGTTCCCTTGTTTGAGAACTAGCTGTAATTTCATGAACTGTCCCGCTCTTAAGCTCAGTCAGTACTATCCTTATCTTTCGCTATTTTAACGATACAATTAGAGTGGGAAAAGCATTTAAAATGTGGATCCCATAACTCACGGTATCAATTTGTTGAGAGCGTTACTAATATAAAATTGCTGTATGTTCAGGATTTTCAGCTACTTTTGGCCTTTCTTTGGCCTGTCTGACCTTCTAAATAACCTACCTCTCTGTTAAAAAAGCAACGGAAATGAGGAGGAGGAGGAGGAGGAGAAGGAGGAGTGTGGCGGTAGAAATTGAGCTAGTTTGCCCTCGCGCTCATTAGTTATGCACGATTTGCGCGTCGGAAAACGTGAACCGGAACTTTAACAATGACAGCAGCAGGAAAGAGAACATGCATAAGGAGGAGTGAAACAATAAAAATGAGGAGGAGAAGGAGGAGGGAAACAATAGAAATGTGGTGGTGATGGTGGTGGTGGTGATATATAGCTCTACTATTCACGACGCTGTGTTGAAATAAGAGTTCAGTGTGGGGTCGATGTGGTCGGGAGGGAAGATAAAAATAATAATAAAAAAAAAAGAAAAAGGAAAGGAGAAATAAATTAATTGTGGAGGTGCAGGAGGAAGTAGGATAAGTAAAACATTGTCTTTGGTTCTAAAAAGAGCTAGTTTTCGCTCAGTGGAACATGGATTCCGGATTCCAATCGTAAGTGGGTTCCCGGATTCCTTAAGCTGAAACCCTGATTCCAAAGCCCAAGATTCCGCATTCCACAATCAAAAGTTTCCCGGATTCCGTAATCCTCCTCACACGGGGCGACCCGTTCATTGTTACTGACCCACGCTCGCAATGAACAGATTTTTTTCCTGCATTATATATCATGGAGCTTTAATTGATATATCGAGGTTCCTTCGGATTCCTCATATCGGCGTTGCACACGATGATATTTTACGTGGAGGTTTCTTGCCACTATTAGAACGTAATAATAATAATCGCAGTCGTCGTCGTTTTTAGCATTTACCGCAGTGGGAAATTTGGCCGCATGAATGGGACTTTTGAGTGTTATTACGGTTTCCCATAATTTGAGAAGTCTTACTTCCACGTGTTTTGGAATTTTACATTGCTTTTAGAACCTGTCTCTAATTGCATTAACGCTTCAATCTAAACGTCTATAGTATTTGTTATGAATGCACATGGCCACGTTCCATGTTCTCTCAAACAATCCCATAAATACTTGTGTGCCTTCTCTATAGTTTTCAGCCTACCACTCTTTTTCAAAGTCGAATATTCTCAGAAGTCAGGAGCCCACGACGCTGCATAACAGATTAATTCATAGATCTTTTTTGACTATGTTTATTGCTGTGTTATTTCTTTTGGCTTTTATTGATTTTAAAGTTTAGGAACGTATTCTTCAACACGATCATATTTGTCGTTCAAGCTAAGGTGTATAATCTGTTTATTATTTGCGAAGTGAACGAATGCCAGATTTCTCCCAATTTGTGCACCTCTTTGTCGACCTGCGAAAATAACTGGGACTCATACTACTACAAATGTCCCGGCGGTTATAATAAAAAGGCAGGGGCAAAGGACCAGTGTGAAGGTGGCTCAACTGTTTATAATTCATTTTTCTTCTTCGTCTTAATAACAATGTGACCAAGGTTTGTTTACAGGGGTAGATGGCCCTATAATAAATAGGGCGGGGAGGCTGTAGGCGTTAGTGTACAGTATTTTAATTTTCATTGAGATTTTTTGGACTTCAATTTAAATATATTGGCAGATGTAAACGAATGCTTGAATCCCATTGCCTGCATCGAACCAGCAACATGTGAGAACACTGTGGGGTCGTACAAATGTAATTGCCCAAGCGGTTGGGTTCAAAAACCAGGAACCAATAACCAATGTCAAGGTATTATGAGTCATTTGAAGATTTATCTTAGATGATTAGTTTACAATTCAGTCCTGGAGGTTTCTTGCCACTATTAGATAACAATTATTCACCGAAGTGGAGGTGGCTAGTCCTGGATATTTACCGAACTGCGAAGCAGTGAGGTAAATATCCACGACTAGCCACCGACACTGAGGTTTAGTATATTAGTATATACTAAAACAGTGAGATAATTGAGCACAAAAATGACGATTTTTAACTCAAATACTGTTGCCAACGATTACAATTTTGGCGCGTAATGACCGGGCGGCTGCGGCCGTCGCTTTTTCTTGACGACAATTAAAACTTTTGAAGGCATTTGTTTAGCTCTTGCGGGGAAATTTCTTCAAAAGGAGTTGTGAATTCTTTTTGCATTTAAAATCATTCTATAAAAAAACATTATTAAATTTAGTTTTAAGCTTATTTATGAACAACTCAACTAAATAAAGTAAGCAAGACTTAAACTTAATTTGCATTTGTAAACAAAAACTTTTTCACCGGTTTTATCGATAAATTCCTGTCAAAAAGATAAAGCTTTACCTGTTAAAACTTCCAATCCGAACTTCCTCACCTTCTTCGTGTATTTCGGAAACAGCTTGCTTGATTAGTTGTGAAATTTCTTTGTTTGTTTACGGCAGCAAACCGGGAAGGCATTTTGCTCGCAACAACTTACGGGAGTTTGGCGTTGCTCGCTCGGAGGAACTGGAGGTGAATCAATGAATAGTGCAGGATATTCACTGATTGAGTAGCCAATCAAAGCGCGCGAAAAACACTATCCACTGTTTTAGTATATACTAAAACGAAATAATCGTAGTCGTCGTCGTTTTTAGCATTTACCGCACTGGGAAATTTGGCCGCATGAATGGGACTTTTGAGTGTTTCCCCATAATTTGAGAAGTCTTGTAGATTTTCGGTGTCGTTGTAAGACGGGTTATAATCAAGATGCAAACAACAAGCTCTGTGTAGGTACGTTATTTTATATAATTATACACTTAATGTCAGGTCCCGAGGGAAACAAGTAGCTTTGTTTTCCCGGGAGTCTTCAGGACTCGAGGGAAAACAGAACTAACTGGTTTCCCGAGGGACCAGACGTTAATTGTTTTGTTATATTTTTAGACTTTCATTTCAACAGTAACAAAAGAATAACCGTGGCGAACCAAAACAGTCGACTCGGTACTTCTAACAACACAAATCTAATTCTCCAAAGCACTGAATGAATCATATATTACAAAGTACTTTTCTTATATTATCTGCACTCTTCCCTCCACTAGCTGCTGTTTCTGTCCTGGAACAACTTAAAAAATCGTTTTTTTTTAGCTTGACGCTTCGTGTTTGTGTTGTGTTCATTCACAAAAAAGACAACTGTCAGTGTTTCCCCCCTTCTTTCCCACCACTTTCTACCACGCTTTGATCACGCGCTGTAATGTACCCCGAGCGGGGTATATTGCTTGATGTATCCCGGTCGGGATACGTTTGATTTTAGTCAACGCCACGTGACTAAGAATCAGCCAATGGCAGTCCCTGTTTAGTTGAGTGAAAGTCTAGGAATTTAACAATCGGCTATGCTCACACTGATTATACCCGATAACTTTACGTGCCCACACGACAAGCTATCCTGAATAGTGTGAAAACCGATCGGCCGTTATGTGCTGCTCCACTTAGAGCTATGTTTACTCTATGCTGGAAACAGGGCGCAGAGGAGTCATTTGTGACCTTGTTTGCTGATTGTAGTTAAATTTTACAGTTGATATCACGTATCGCCTTTGTTTTTATACTGTGAAATCGAACAAACCGTCGTTCGATCAACTTATAAATTAGTATAGGTAATGGCATGATTTGTAGTGATATTTGGCATAAATAGCAAGAGTGATATTTCGAAATTGTTATACGAAATTTCACAAGCCGTTAGGCGAGTGAAATTTGAGACAATTTTAAAATATCACAAGTGGTATTTATGCCAAATATTACGTACAAATCACGCTATTATTTGTTTATACTACTACCTCAAAAGGTTTGTAATTTTCACATGTTGGTATTTCAAATAAAGCTGAAATACCACTGCTCTAAGCCAATCAAATTGCAGAAATTTCTCATGTAGTAGTATAAACCTGGTAATATATCCAATGATCCGGAACACCGCTGAAGGTAATGACTGCGGACGAATAACAGCGACTAACACATTTTTTTAAGAGACCTTGTCTCTTTTTCTTCTCGGCGTTTCGTGCCTCGCTCGGAAAGCTTCTCTTTCCAAATACGTTGCCACCGAGCATTAGGTCAGTAATATTTTATTAGGTGTGTAACCCCATCGCGAATGAGCGGTTGAAAAGCAGATGCTGTTGGGCCCAGGATTGAGAAAAACTGATTCAGAAATAGTAAATATGAAAAAAAAAAAAACCTATGACTAGTGTAGTTATAATTAAATTTCTATTCGCCATTAAACCTCCGGTAGCTCAGTGGTTGGAACATCCGAGCTAGAGCTCTTTCGAGGGACGTGTGTTCGATTCTCATCTGAAGCTCGGATTTTTTTTGAGCAGTTTCTGGTCTTATAAAATTATTCTTCTTCTTCCAAATATTAAGGCTCAACATTAGCAAAACCAAAAGAAGGACGGAAAGTATTGGGAGCAGACAAAGCAGAGCGAAGTAAAAGGCTAGCTTGGCACGCCGTACTGGCTAGCCTCAAAAAATGAGAAAAAATTGTTTTCTATATAAAAGTTTAATTTAATCTTATGCACTTCTTCTCCTTTAAATTTTACAGAAGCTCCTTCTCCGTAATTTTCGGTGAAGAAGCAGCACTGGAGAACTGAAAGGAGGTTTAGGCCTAGATGAGGTTGCTTAACACTCGTTGAATTGGATCTGATTCTTATTTGAAGCCAATATAGTTAGAGACTAGTGACGTGAAATAAGTTGAAATAGAAAATGCTTTAACCTGTCATGTATTAATTATTAAAACAAACATGATACTTAATTTTCTCTCCTTTGTTGTTGGCTGAATGGTTTGTCTACCCTTACAAACTTGCAGTTTTTTAGTTTACTGAACAGTTCTCCAATTTCTGCATTGGTTTGAATTTCTCCACATACCACGACCATAGCGAGCAACAATCAAAACGGAGACAGCGTAGGACTTGTCTCTACTATAGATTTTAATCAAACATTAGAACAGCCTGCCCCTAGACATCCGCCATTCCCCACCCTCCCTTGCAGGTCGCGTCCCCCTCTTCGTCATCTACGCCAGATGACTGGCTACAGTCCAGCATACCAGTGGCGATACACCAAGATTATCTTTATCAAGGCATCTTGCCGCACAGCCGTTTTAGGGTCGTTACGCAAACGCTCACACCCTCACAAACGGCTGCTGAGAATCGAACCACATTCTTTTCCCGCGGTTAGCCAATTAGAATTCAGCTCCCATTTTCTGGAAGGTGTTCGCGCCACGTTTGCGGTACTGTGACTCCTCCGATCGCAGCTTTGCTTTTATCTGTGTCCATATGTGAATTACAGAACAATCGAAATCGTCGCGTGAAAAAAGCAATAAACTGCAATCAACTAAGAGTAGTGTTTTGTTGTCGTAGTCGAGTCCTAAACAAACTTTATGAGATAAGCAACAGCATCAAGCAGTCAAGCTAGTGTGATGCACAACATGGATGTGCATTAATTGTGCTTATAAAGTTGCCGGGTATTAAGTTTCGGGAAATCGCTCATCGATAATTTATAAGATTGCCTTTGTTTGAATCAGTACCCTTGAGAGTTTAGTCTTCACATGTACAGCAACACAATGAGCACATTTGGCACATGAAATTCATCATACATATGCACGTTAAAAAGAACCAACCGATCCTGATAAGAGTCTTGTAGGCCTATCAAACATTTTTTCACTTGGAACTTTGTTAATCGCTTAAAACAAACTTTTCTGCAAGTCAACCTTTTTGTTGCTTGCGGACACAGATCCCGTCCAAATTCAGCGACGATTGATTGATTTGTCGAAAACTAAGAAGTTTGTTCGCTTCCTGGCGCAGGCTGCGGGTCACGTATTGTCACGTTTCTTATACATGATTGGTTTGTTCGTTAGACCACAAACACTAAAAGAAAGGAATGTGGTTCGATTCTCAGCAGCCGTTTGTGGGGAGGAGCGTTGCGTGACGACACTAAAAACGGCTGTGTAGCAGACTACGTAGGACTTCTCTCTACTAGATTTTAATCAAACATTAGAACAGCTGCCCCTAGACATACGCCATTCCCCGACCCTCCCTTGCAGGTCGCGTCCCCCTCTTCGTCATCTACGCCAGACGACTTGCGACAGTCCAGCATACCAGTGGCGGTACACCAAGATTATCTTTATCAACTGAAGGCATCTTGTTCAGACAGCCTACGCCAGTCTTGGCTGGTGGTGATTGAGCCTCCTTTTCTTGTCCTCTTTAAAGAAGACAGAGTAGGCTCTACTTCAGGTTGATATTCAGCCAATGTCACCAAACAAACTTCGTCAATAAAGAATATATTATATGGCCGAAAAATACTTATCTTACAGGATAAGCCTGAGGTGGGCGATCCTAAGCGAGCAAGATATTGTCTCATCTCGCCCACTCAGATAGCCAATCAGAATACAGGATTCTCCTCATCTTACCGCTAGCGAAGTTTGCTTTATAATATCCTTAGACAATACCCCTATTGTCGTCATTACCATTATCATTATCATCATCATCATTATTAGGAGCAGCAACAGCATCGGCATCAGGATCAACATCAGTATTATCATTATCATCATCATCTTCATCGTTGGCATCATCATCACCATCATCGTCATCATCATTATCATTATCAGAGCACATTCCGCGATCATTTCCACAGAAGAAAACCCCTCAGGTTGTTTAAGAAATTCGTAGGCTTTTCTTCTATTCTAATGCTTTCCCCCATTCCCTACGACGGGAATCACCTTTGTCCGTACCACCAACACTTTTCGAACTTTTCTTTTGATACTTTTAGACCGTCTCCGTTCCTCTCTCTCTGTCTCTCTTTCAACCTTCTGGGTTGCCACGTCTATATTTGTAACTGCTCCTGTCACTCTTGTCTCTGGCCCAGCCCCAATTTAATGTTTGGTTCAAACACTGAAGTCCCACAAACGTTTTTAGCCGTCATTTTCACGAATATTCACCGGATGTCCATTCAACCTTTCGTGTTAATCCAACTCACAGGTCCTGGCGCCTTCCAATGTACGGAACTTTTCTTAAATTTTGAACCATCGTTTCTATGGTGATAGATTAGTCGGAATCAATTGAGGTTTCTAGGTATCTGAACACCTACAGTACCTCTCCCCTAAAAGACAAGATTAAGAAAACATTATTCAAATACATATATGCATATAAACATGATGCATGATACATAATAGGCTGATTTAGCAACAGAAAGGGAACGTCAGTTGACGACGGCGCGCGCAATTAAACAACTGGCTTGTACAATGGCAGAGCGGCAAATTGGGCACCGGAATTCGTGTTTAGTCCTTTTCCCGCGCTTTCCCATCGTCAACTGACGTTCCCGTCCTGTTGCTAAATCAGCCTATTTCAAAAGGTGGACCGCGAGGTTATCCCCATAAAAGGTCCTCTAACTGAACTTTAAAAACATTAAAAAATTATTAAAAAAAAGCGCGTAAAAATATTGAGTGCAGGTAAAAAATGGTATAGTAAGAATTATATTCAAAATGAAAATATATACAATTAATCTTCATCCATCTTTTAAGCCTTAATAAAAAATTTGTTAACGTTAATTTCGTCAGTAAAAAGATGGTTTGGCAAACTGTTCCAGTCTTTGACGATTCTCACAAAGAAGGAGTACTTAAATGAGTTATTTTAAGCTAAGGGACTGGTCAAAAAGTATATAGGGGGGGCGGTGGGCCGGAGCATTTGGAAATGTGGTTGATAAAAAACACATGGCCCACCCTCTCCCTTCGGCACAAAAATGACTGACCCACCCCTAAAACAAGGTTGGAAATTGCATGACCCACCCCCTAGTTAAAACATGGATGTTCGGTTTCCTTTTAATAATCCAATAAAACCTTGTTCTGTGCTTGACAAAATTTGTTGATACACTGCTACAAGCAATATCAAAATCACAGAAATCATACCTTTCACTGAAAAGACGAATGTGAATAACCGAACATTTCTTGTTTCAATGGACGTTATGAGTCTTGACACAAATATATAGCAAAACGAGGGTATATTGAAATTATCTGTCACAAAGCATATGAAAATTTCAACAAAGACAACCCATTCCTACACATTACTTGCCAGAAATGATTAGATTAATTCTCAACGAAAATTTCTTCCACTTCAGTGGAAAGCACTACCTACAAAACCAAGGAACTGCAGTGGGCACAAAGACAGCAGTTTTGATTCCTTTGCCAATATTTTTTTCTGTGGGCACCTCGTTTTCCTTTACCGAGACCTTAAGAATCCTACGAAAAAACTCCTCAGAAACATCCTTTGAGGAAAATAATTCAAATTTAAAAAAAAAACGCTTGACGGACGGAGGCTACCCACAATCTTTCAGGGGTACCCAACGTCAATTTTTGGAAAATATCTGTTCGAAAGACGATTTGAGATCTAGAATTTTCGGAACATTTGTTGTAAAATTTCTTGCTTATCTGCCCCTCCTAGGATTTTTGAACATCTAAAAAAATGGTATAATTGCCCATTTTTAACGGATTTTTACCCTAAGGTCACCTAGAATTTTCGGGAGCCTTTTTTCTGGCTGAAATTTTCGAAAAGGTAAGTTTTAATCCCTACAATTTTCGTATCACAAGACTTTCAGCTAGGAGATCCGAACAGATGAAAAATTTTTAGGGGATAAAAATATGCCTATATCTACTGTTTAAATACTAAAATACGTTTAACAATGCTACGTTTAAGTGGTTTTGAAATATATTCTCGTTGGGTGCCCCCTATCTTTGATAGAAAACCTACTATCAGAAAAAGATGTCACAAAAGGGAGTCTAAACTCCTAAAACAAAACAACAAGGAGGAAATGAAAAATTGTACGACCCACCCCTTGCACAAGGCTCAAAACCTCATGACCCACCCCCTCTCTGCTCCGGCCCACCCCCCTCCCCCCTACACTTTTTGACCTGTCCCTAATTTAGTTCGTATTTGTTATGGATGGTTGACTCTAGTGTTTTTAGTTCTACAAAACTCGAAATAGTCATTAAAGTCTATAGGCCATTTAGACACTGTCTTGTAAACACTGTCTTCTAAAATTCCACTACAGATAGGTATTCTCTTCGATGCTGAAGTGTGTTCCAGTTTAGCAATATACATCTTCTTTATATAACATCTCGCGTAGTTTTTGACCGAGAGCGATTCTCAATGCTCTTCGTTGTACTTTTTCGATTGCCAACTTATATCTTGACTAAATAGGGCGACCATGATACCGGGCATGCGTATTCCAGGATTGAACTAACCAAGGACTTATAGAGCATAGAGAAAATTTCCCTGTTGTTGCTACTAACCTACGTTTTAGTAGGCCCATCACTTTGTTTGCTTTATTTACAATTGCGTGCACGTGGTTCGACCAGGATAAGTCTCTTGACACACAAACACCCAGGTCCTTGCATGAGTTAACTGATTTTAATTCTGTACTGATTCGACAGTCGTGATAAGGATGTTTACTTTTGTCTCGCCTATGCGTAATTCTTATCACTTCGCATTTCTGAGGATTAAATTTAACTTGCCAGCCTCTTGCCCAGTTTTCCATGCAATCCAGATCCGACTGTAGTGCTAATGTATCCTTACCATCATTAATATCACGGTAAATCTTTGAATTGTCAGCGAACATTTTAATAGAAGAGGTAACAACATTTGATATGTCGTCTACGTAGACTAAGAACAAGTGGGCCACAGGATTTTTCCCTGGGGAATTAACACTTACTTCTTACTTAGGGCGACATTATGACTTAGTTGAGGAGTAGCTGGTCAGTTACCCAGAAACCTCAGCTTCCCCAGCCGCTGTACATCCTTAATATATAGATTTAGCCAGGGCTAAAAGCGAAGCTCCTATATATTAACTCGAATTTATGATTTAAATAAAACAATAAACTTGTTTTCCACAACTCAGTTAACTTTAGAGCACATTCATGTGACTTTTGAGGGAAAGGTTAAGTGATTTTAGAGAAAAGTAATTTGCAAACAGTCCAAGCTAAGAGTGAACTTAATCTTACATCAAGTTGATAGCCTTATATGTACACCCCCAAAAAAAAAATCATCTTCGATCACATTTAAGAACGCGGGCTCTTGATCAAAGTAGATTAGGCCTAGAAAACACATTCTTGGAAAACAAATCAGGCCGAATTTTTGGCGTTCGACAAGTTTACTTTGCCAAAAAGTCTGGGTAAGTGTAACCCAACCTTTTATACTTTTTATACATCACATCTGAGGTGAAACAGTACCATGAGGCGCTGTTTTTATCATACAGACCTCGGACAGAATGCAGTATTCCACAATTTTGCAATACAAATTGCACTCACTCAATATTCAGGACGATCGAAGCACGTGTGGGCTTTTAGCGAAACCGTTAAAAAAATTTCCAGAATCACCTATACGGCTAGCCGGTTCTCACTTTTGACAAGCGCCAAAGTCGACTGTGTAAATTATGATTAATAGAGTTATACGCTTCAACATAATAAAGAATTTATTATGTTTATTTTTATAACGATGTGTAATCGTCAAAAGCTTTTGATACGCGCGGCTTTTTGACTACTCCTGCATGCAAGCGATGTTCATGAGCGACTGAAAACAAACGGCACAGCGATTAAAATTGCAAGAGACTACTAACAATCAATAAAAGGAAAATAATTCGGTGAAACATATACAGAGACAACAATTTTCATTCACGAAGACAAGTATTAAAGTGTCTCTGAAAATCTTTGTTTATGTTTCTCATTTTGTAAGCCGGCTTCCCGGTGTTTGCTTTTTCAAAGATGAACTCGAGGCAAGAAAATCGCTCGAAGCTTTCTTTTACGGCCAGAATTATAACTAAATATTCTTTGGAACGTTTTCTTTCTATTTGCGGTGAGAAAATGTCTAAAGGCTTTTTAAAGTTCTATAAGCTTATAATCAAACCTGATACTCGGTCAGATCATTGTCTCAAATCTTACAATTAAAAACGTGCATAAACTAAATAGCCGCATAAACTACGCTCGACTTCATTAAATTAGATATAAAAAACAAACGTCAAATACAATAATTACTCAGGCTTACCATTCGAGATGCACTGAAACTATCAAGTAAGGCCAGAATCGCTTCAAACTTTTCAACCCTCTTACGCATGAAGCAAGGTAAAAAACGAAAACGATGCCATCCGAAATCGGATTTCCGACTTTGACAAGCGACATATTTCTCAACCAAAAACCCAATAAACAAACTAGCCATGAATAATAGAAGACTCTTGATAGCAGCTGAATTTCATTTTGTACATTCAGTGGAAAAAGACAGTTAAAAACATCACAAGTTGACACAAAACACTGTCAGCTTCAGCAAAGTAAACAAGTTTCAAGATGCTGCATAAATTTTCCGCATCAACTCACCTGTGAAATTTTGACCAATCAGAGCATAAAAATTGGACGTAGAGCGTGACCAACGCGTGACCTTGGTGAGAAATGTCAAAAGCAACTGGCATGTCTTCCCTGCCTGTAAAAACTGGCTGAATTTTAGCTTCCGAGGTCAGTTTGAAATCAACATTTTAATTGTGCAGCACATACAAAACACAACATATTTCATATGAATTAAAAAAATAAACTTGAGCCTGCAATCATTTGAAAACTAGTAACTTGTCAGCGGATAACTTCAAAAAGATATTCGACCTCGATGGGTCGACACCTGAGCCCGCGATACGGTCAGGTGATACTGGTCAGCGGATCCCCTTTTTGACAGCTGTCAATTGATCACAACATTGATGTGCAATATATGTGTGCAATATCTGTCTTCCTGTGCTCCCGAACTGGCGAGAAAGTGTGAGGATTAAACGCTGGTTGTCCTGTGGTGCGGACGGACGGACGGGCGGTGTACGGTCACGTGATTACCAAATTTTCTGGGATGGGTAGATTTACTTACCCATGGTGCTCCCCAGGCGCGCTTCGCGCGCCAGAGCTCCGCTATCATTCCTTATTATGTGTTGACGGTATAACCCAAATGCTCTCCCAAAATTGCCACTGAGTCAGGTGTTATTTCAGAGTTACTTGCAGCCTGCGTATCTCAGTTGCGGTGTTGTTTCACTAGCTCCCTATCCTCACGCAGCTTCACAGCCAAAAAAAACTACAGCATTCGCCCGCTAATCTTGCCATCTACGTATGGTAAGATACTAGTTGAAGTAGTTTACTGTATGTGCCTAATTTTTTCATTTGTTTGCTTACAAACTTTTTAAGCGTTCTGTTAGACGTGAATGATGATCTCCTTCTTGCAGTTTACGTATAAACTTTTATTAAAATACTGAATTAGGCAGGGCCTACACTAGTCCGCCTCTTTGATTTGTTTGAAAGAATTCATACTTATTTGTTTACAGGAAAATTGCATTTACCGTTAAGCCTTTCTACGGTGGTGACTTTTTTCTACTACATCAAGGCGATTTGGGGATCGTTCTCTTGTGAAAGGAAGTTTATGAGCGCACGGTTTAAAAAATTTAGCTTCAGCGGACACGTGTGAAATTAGTGGGTAGACTTCGCTGGTACGGCGGCGTAAAGAAATCCACACGTGATGCAGGGACTCAGTAAGTGGAAAACCGTTTACATGTAGAAGTAGATTAATTATATATACTTAAACATTAAATTTTCTTATATTGAATTTCACGAAAAGAGGGAAATATATAAGTCTTAGATCTTAGCTTAATTGTGACAATGAGGGATATTTTCTAAAAAGTTGTTGACTAGGTATGAGATTCGCCAACGTTATCGAGTGATGCCGAGATGAAAGGTTAAAACAAAATGAACAATGTAGTTTCTTTATCCACTCGCTGTAACAAGTGTTCGTGTTTTTCTGATAAAATTTATGTTGGGAAATTAAAACTGTTGATTTGTGAGCTGGAAGAGAGGCATAGAGGCAGGGGGAAAAACCGAAATACCCAGAAAATAATTTCTCAGAGGTGGACCTGTCAGAGGAAGGGCAAAATCAACCCTCAAAGTGTCATGGCTTTGCAGAGATAAAAAACCGCTGGTGCTTAGCGGGCCTAACTAATACTCTCACCACCAGCCTTCAACTCCGGCCTCAGCTGCGTATAAAATTCTTGTAGTCTGAAGAAATCACTTAAGTTGTCACGAGATAGATGTTGTCTTATTGTGCTTTAACGTCCCTCAAAACAACAGAGGAGCAAACCGGCCTCTTTGATTTGCATCGCCATATTAACCCAGAAAAAGTGTCCATCTAACACTATCGTTACTAATTAAGTGATATGTATGGGTGGAGGCCTTTACTTAATATTTTGCAAATTCGTAATTTTCTACTAAATTTCAATAGATGCCATTGCAATCGGCAGAAGATTCTAGGACAGCTAGGGATAAATACGCTCATCAGATTGCACTGACGTACTAAGCAAAGAAAAGTGTTTATTATATGAATCTTATTTACGACTGAATGTGAATAAGTCCAGCTACATACTGTAAATATGTCAGAAAACTTGTAACCTTAAAACAAACAAAAAGCTAGTTCATAATTTAATACTGAAATATAATACTCAAAATAAGTTCTCTCTCAATTTTAATTTACAACCGCCGCATCCACCAAACGAGAAACTCTAAATTGAGCATTGATTATAAAATTTCAATATTTTCTCATTACGGACTATCACTTCACAGGGATTCGTGTGAATCAAAAGATTAATTAAAAGCTCGTTTAGCTTGGGAATGTTTCGAGCTGCGAAGGTAAAACACAGCTTGTTTCGGCAATGCAAGCTAATGATATGTAGTTATTGCTCACTGGATAATTATTGTATGGTTCGTAATACGAAGCAATAGTTTTCCCCCCACAGTTTGTTTTTCGACAGCTGTGGAAGCAGGAATTCGTTTCTTATGGCAACCATGTTAACTTCGCTTGCCCAGCTGGAAGAAAAGGGTAATGATGCAGAGTAATGGAAATCCACACATTATCATTTTCTGGATGAGTCAAGGCTGATACGTAATTTGCTTTGCAGGAAAATAAGATGCTGTTGTCGTTACTGCTTTCTCTCTTCCTCCTTTTTAGCAGCAGCTTCGCTGAGGCAAAAGGTAAGCTTTGTTGGTCTTCCCTCTGAAAAAATTATGGCTCTAGTTTCAGAGATTTTTAGCATATAGGTGAATATTAGTAAATAACTTTAAAATCATAATTATCTCTTAACAGACACCTCTTAGGGAAAGACACTTATAGAGACCTGTAGACCTATAGTTAGCCCTTAATTGTGTCGTTCTTCAGTCGTTTTCTCTGACTCGGTACGAAAGGGGATACCTCCATAACAACGGATGTTTCCAATAGTGTTGGCCTCAGCGGGGTTCGTTTCAGAAAGAGTTCATTCAAGTGATTTAAGACTCGATTGCAAAATATTTTTATATAAAAAGACACAAAATTTTAGTGAAATGTTTTAAGGAATTCAAGAGTAACTCGAAATTAAAGGACTGGCTGGCTAGCTCACGCAATCGCTGACTGCAATTTTAGATTTGACCGAAAATCAACTGATATAGACGACACTCAAATGAAAGTATAAAAGAAAGGAATAGAAATGCAGTAAAGAAAAAGAAAACAGAGAAAATTTTATTGTTTTATTGTTCATTTTCTTTATGCTATACACACAAAATATACATATAAATTTTTTTAAAAATATGATCGTGAAACAAGGGAGCCCGTCAAGGAAGCAAATACGGCTTGGAATAGGAAATTATGTTACCTAATTAATAATTACAATACTGACTTCGGCAATTTAACTCTTAGTACGCACAGTTTGTTTGGAACATAGGAAACAATTCTTAAATGGATAAAAATAGAAAAGGCCGAACGTGTAACTCCAAAAACGAGAGAGAAAAGGTGAGAAAAAATAATGCAAGAATAAACGAGGAAAAAAAAGAGCGAAAGAAGCGAAAAACTGCACACAAGCATTAGGAGAGCTAAAGTGTGCTTATACCAAGAAAATATGACTTAAGTTTAGAATTGAACAAAGCAGTAATTGGAGAAGATCATAGCTAAGAAACATATTGCATTCGAATAAACGTCGGCCCTAGTGTCTTTTCGTAAAGTCAGTTATCTTATTTTAAGATAGAAGTGCGATCTAGAATGATCAATGAAAAATTGTTATGTGGACGCAGTTTTGTCATTAATAAAGACTTTTATCTTTTTGTCAGTTTGAATATTGAAAATCTTTAAACTAGAAAAGATAATCGGAAAAAAAGATAGAAAAATCATTCTCTTAAAATTTACTCGGATTTTGACGACTTCTGACTAATAAAGTGGTGGAAATAAAAAGACAAATTAAAAAATAATATTAATCAAAGTTTATAAAGAATTTTTCTCTCTTTTTGAATATTGGAAGGACCTTAGATCACGAAATGAAAGGTGTTTTCTTTTATGTTAATCCGTTAAATGTTAGAAGAAACGATTCATATACCGCAAGAGCGGCATACGCAACTTACAACCTGTCCGGCAATTTTTAGTTTGCTTTTCCGCAGCGATCGTACGAAGTCGAAAGATATACAGTCATTTCAGCCTGTTTGATACAAGTTATTTAAAAAATATATTTGAAGTTTTTCTTCTTTTAGGACGGGCCTATAATTTTTATACATGTATAAATTATAAATTATTATTCCTACGTCGTAGTGTCGGAAGAAGATCTAGCAGCAGGTACGCACTGAGTACGCTTCTGCACTCATAATTACAGCATTTGCCTTTTTAAAATCTGATCGATGGCATCATCTCATGGCACCCAGCCAGCCAACGGCAGTTTTCTGTCAAAAGCTTTTAGACGGAATCCATCCCGACATTGTGTATAGTACTGTTCTAGCTTTCAGGATGCAAAAACGTATAGCATTTAACATTTTAGTCGCTGAAGGCGACGTGAATACCGGCGCCGAATAGTCACCGAGACGAACCCGAGGTGACTATTCGCCGATATTCACGTCGCCTGAGGGGCATCTAATTGTTTTGGTATAATTACATTGAAGATTATTCGAGAAAATAAAATAAAAAAGAGACATATTTTTGAAAGATTTTGGGGCTTTAAGATGTCGGTCGAGGGCGGCTCTGATCGACAACAAGCTGGTTTTCTTATGATAGCTGCCTTCGGTTTTCCTAACGGAAACGAAACTTTTGGCAGACATTTATTTAATTCATCGTCTTCCATGTTTTCTAGTTCATTTGTGAACTCTTGCTGCTGTTGAAACCACGTAGAACAAAATAGTTCGCAAAAGTTACCAAAAGTTGCCGATACTTTAAAGCAAAAAATGTAAACAAACATACCAGTTTTCAGTACAGTCAAAACAAGGTGCATTATGGGAAATGTGGGAGTGGCGTATTACAGAAAAACTAATGTACAGTCAACTCTCGCCTTGCGGACACCCCGCTATAACGGACACCCCGATAATACGGACAGCAGATAAATTCCGGGCAAAAATGAATTACAGACGTTTGACTGAAATAAACTCCCGCTATTACGGACTCTCGCTACAGAGGACACTAACGTAAGGTCCCTACAGTGTCCGCTATAAAGGGAGTTGACTGTGTAGCCCTTGAAAAGCGTAAAAAAGAATGTGATATGGTTTAAATTATTCTGTTACAAGGTTTTTGTCCACTTTGATAAAATAAAAATTACTCAATCTTCTGGTGAATTGCGTCTTAAACTAAATATAAACTTTTTAATGCTTTCTAGAGTATTCTTAAAGCTCTGCAGAACAATAGCAATAGGGAAACGAAGCTTTAGTTAGTACTGCTCTTTTACAAATGAGCCACATTTACTCTCATGCAAGAAACACAACTAAGATGCGATAGAGAAACGCGTGAAATAAGCCACCAGCAAATTAAGTTTATCACTAAGACAATATGGAAGAAACTACCGTCGCGGTTGGAATTTTTTCGTTTAGAACGGGTCAGCCTCAGCGAACAAGACAACATGCTCCCCCTTGGCCTCGGTAGGCTGATCATTTGGCCCCCTATCCATGTTACCGGGTCCAAAGCACGGAGATGAGGTCTCAAGCAGGGGACTCCCTCTAATGGCCTATACGGGGAAACTCTGCCCGAAGGAGGTACCTTTGTTAAGTCACTCGTTGATCAGAAGTACATGAAAATGTGAGGAAATATGTCATTTTGGTGTGTAAAAGAAAAAGGCTAATAAACCCATCTTCCTGGAACTTCAAGTTAAAAGGGATGCAGTGTCATTCACTTGAAATGTTAAAGGAGTACAATTGGTCAATAGAAGGTATACGGAACGGGTACCTTACAGGTCAAAAATGTTGGTTAAAGGGTAAGGGGATGAACTTTGGGACGCTGCCTCCCCTTATAGAACTTTGTTGAGTGCCCCCCCCCCCCCCAGGGTGTAGGTCTAGTTTATTTTTGGTTCTTGTCATTGCCGCCTAGGGGTTTTTCCTTTCTAAAAGGAAGAGCGGAGCTGAACTAAAATCACATGTGTCTTTTTCACTGATTTTATTTTTTCATTCTTTTCTTATAGATTACGAAGTTCAGGTTAAAACGGCAAATAATAATCGTGCCGGCACGGATGCATCGGTGCATATTAAAGTGAAAGGCACGCGGGGGTCCCTTAATAAAAGAGAATTAGATAACAAAAATCACGATGACTTTGAACAGGGAAGGTAAGGAAATTCTTTTGTATTTTGCCTGGCACCACTCGAGTGATCATGGCGGGATAATAATGGAAAAGCAAACATCGTTATAAATAAAAATGGTACATAGAACTAAACAAAACGGTAACGAAAACGATTCAACTAGGCTGTGGTGCTTCACTTTTACCTTGCAAAGTATCAGCAAAAGTATAATAGGGAAGGGGCCAGAGATTAGCATTTTTTTTTTTGCCTTGGATGGCAAATTCCCAGGGGCGGGGACGAAAAAAGAGGGCAAATACCCCGTCCTCCATCAACACTGTAACATTTTTCATTGATCGCACAGTCGTCGAGGAGTGACAGTTTAAGCATTTTAATGTGCGAAATTTTTGTTTCAATTAACGTCTGCGTTTGCAATGGCGCTATTTTAGTTTTAAAAAGACTCCCGCCGCGACGCACCAGTTTTTGGTTTTAGTATTGTTATAAAATTATTGATATCAAAATTAATAGTGTGCTGTAAAGTTATCATATCTGTTCTGAATAGTTTTATAAATATGAAAGGATGTTATTCAAATAATATCAACAGAAATTTTATTCAATAAGCCAAAACAGTCTTGATTCACGTCGATAGCTCCCAATTTCGCTTCGTAATTCTGACTTGATAAGAAATGAAGGAATGCATGCATAAAATCAAGAACATGTCTTTAGAACCCTCTACCTCTACAATTTTTCCCGTCCTTGGCAGATGAGCAGATATACTTGTTCTTCCACTAAAATCCTCTGTGTCGTTATCTTCGGGATAGGAAACCACGAGCGTGTCAAAAGCTCAGGGATGGTCCCGAGGTTGGAGTGCCCGACCCCGGGCAGCGCAAAATTTAAGAATGCCCTCAAAATTTGCAGTACACCGGGACTGATAAGGCGAAAAAATGCCCTTCAGCCCTGTGACGGGGAGGGGCGGGGGGTGTTGGGAGCAGCTGGAAATGACTTCTGCTTTTTTACCTTGATATCATAATTTGTCAGACCGACGATTGTTTCAAACTGGCTCCTGAAGGATAAGTAGTTGTATGACTCAAATGTATTGAAATGCCTTTCTCGTGTTTCTTGCAGTTTAGATACATATCGTTTCAGTGACTGGGATATCGGATATGTTACAGGGCTCACGGTTTATCTTGGAAGTGGTGGCTGGTTTCCTGCCTGGAATCTGGACTACGTAAGTGCCAATTTGTTTGGTATAAGGGAAACATGGGAGGAAGAACCTATTAATGCTTTGGACAATGATAATAATGGATTAATGATAATAATGTGACAAGCCAAAAAGCTAAATTTTTGCTTCCGTACGTGTAATCTAACAGTTTACTACGGAAAATAGGATCATTCCATTTAAAAGCAAGAGCCCCCCCCCCGGACAAGCTAAGAGGACCGTGAATTACCGATTTACCCCCCTTTTTTCTCATATCCCTCAGAAGTATTTAAAGATCAAAGGTCTCGACACAGCCAACCCTTCAAAAATAAACTTTTGGAGCCCCCTTTAGAAAATCTCATCCACATAGGGAGGGGGAGTGGGGGAGGGAGAGGGGGATAATAAATGGGATTGCCCATATCGACAAGCTATTGTTCTATCCTTTTAGATTCTTATTAAGATAGCTGGAGCCAAGGACGCCGTATTCAACTACGGTGGCAAGGAGATCGATAAGAATTCAGAGGTTACGCTGACCCGTAAGTACTGTTGAAAACGATCAACGAAAGTTTGGGTCTCCTAAAGCCCCGGGAAGACACTCCCTTGTTTGGCCTACACGGGTGTGTGCAGCTGAACAGGATATGGTTTTTAAGGGTCTTGAGTCTTAAGAGGAGTATTCGATTTGACTTAAAGCGTCTTAAACACAATGTCTTTTACACGTGAAACCCTTATGATGTTAGTTTGAAAAATTACTCAATTCTGCGTGCAAAGTGAAACGCATGAGGATCGATCATGAAATAAAGTCTCTTGTCTTAAACAATTTTTGTCTTAAAAGGGGTCGGTCTTTGAAGGCCTTTGCTGTACATCTCTACCCAAAATACCCTTCAGTGTCCCCCCGGAAGAGCAGGTCGTCATGCGATATAGGACGCTTTAATTAATTTGCGTCACGTCCCCTGAAGGGGGCGTTACTGTTCAGGGGGGGGGGCGCCCTAAAGGGTACCTTCTTGAGGGCTCAGGTATATGCAAGGGTAGGGATTATACTAGTTGAAGTATAAGAAAGGGGTGGGAAATATGTCATTTTCAGTTTGCATAAGGGCCTAAAAGGCCTAACATATGAATTTTATGACTTTTTAAAACCGAGAAAACGTTCTTGATTCATATTAACCTGAAAGGCAGTGCATTTACAGCAGTTAAAGAGGGGCACAATTCTTAACTAGGTATGTGAAAATGATACCATTTTTCATTAGAAGGCAAACGAAAGGGGCTCCTTTTTCGTGAAAAATGACATAAAAAAATTAAGGTTAAGGGGTTGCATCTCCGGGCGAACCTCCCTGTATCAAACTTTGTTGAGTACCCCCAGGCGTTACGCGGCACTTACTAGATGGCTACTGAGAAGGCTTTCACGTAGGATAAAAACGTCATCGATTATTATTTTATTTTTTGAGATTTTCCTATCTAAAGATTTGTTGTCTCAAAATAAATATTACTTAGATGTTTTTGAGTTCTCCAAGCGTTGAATAGTCCAGTTTCGAGTTCTGAATGACCGCTGAATAAAAAAAAAGTGAAGTCGCATTTTTTACCGACTTAGTGTAGCTTCCATCTGAAGTAAATATATTCACAAATTCTAACAAGAAAAAGACCTGTTTATTACTCTGTCTATTGTTTATTTTCGAAGTTGATTTTATATATACGGTTCAAAAATACAGTGGTAAAATTTACTATTTTAACTTTTTTTAATCTTATGTTAAAAATTTCCTCCTGAGTTATTAGATTTTCAGCAATTTTTCTCGTTACATGTCTTTAGCAGAGAAATGTGACAACATTCGCAGTCCGAAAATATTACAAATTTGGGAAGGGAAGGAAAAGAGTAACCTATACTAAAACAAATTTTTTGTTGTTTTCAGTTTCTTGCAATGATGGGAATGTAGTTAACAGTCAAGGCTATTGTGACGGTAAGTTGACTTAGACTGTACCATATCGTACATTGTTGTAATGAAATAAAGAACTGTAATTTGATGAACTGTCCCGCTCTTAAGCTCAGTGCTGCTATCCTTATTTTTCGATCGTTTATCGATACAATTAGAGTGGGAAAAGCATTTATGTGGATCCCATAACTCATGGTATCAATTGTTGAGAGCGTTACTAATATAAAATTGCTGTATGTTTAGGATTTTCAGCTACTTTTAAAAATCAATTTACAAAATTAAATTTAACCGAAAAACATCTTTGAAAACCTGACCAAAACCGAAAAACTTCTTTTCCAGTTTTTTGTTTGCGAGACCTGACAAAGGCTTCAAATTCAAATGATTCCATTTTTTTTGTTTGGGATATGTAGCTTGACAAGAAGTCAGAAGTGAATTGAGAATTATTCATAATAAATAAGAAACCATTTTAAGTCTGCTAGAAATTTTCTCACAAAAGCAAGACCTTCAATTACAGCCTCTAATACGCAGTGAAACATAGCCCCTTACAACGGACACTCCGTTGGGTCGAGTTGTTTTTAATTCGCGCGCCCCTGTAAAAACCGAAAGAATACATTGAACAAGATGCCATGGTAGCGTATATTTGGGCGTCGGTGTACTAAGCGTGTGTAACGTTTTTTATGTGTATCAGTGATGTGTGAGTAGGGCAAGGGCGTTGTATACTTTAGCGGTTGGTTGTATAACCACATCGAGATAACAACCCAACGCGGTGGATTCTAAACAAAACGGCCTTTTTTACTGGCAAGTTGGCAAGGTTGACGTAAAACTAGAAAGAAAAATACAATTGAAATTCTTAGTGACATGAGACGAGAAATGTACTGGGTAAACAAATACGAATACAAAAACGTAACTAGAAAATTACAAAGGGAGAAATAATAAAATAAAAAAAATGAAAGAGAACGAAAGGACGGATTGATACCTTGTGAGCCTATACGATTCTAACGATCATGCATTTTTCAAACTATGGCTCGGTCACCTGACCCAAAGAGCGCGAAAATCTATCCTACCGCGCGGGCCTGGGCTGGCTAGCAGCAACAGGTTGAGATGCGTGAAGTGGAAGGGGCGGAGTTATATTGGACATGGATTGGTAAGATAGTGGCTGTAGTTTGTTAATCAGTGAAACTGGTTTCTCGTAGAATTCTATATGAAGTAACAAAAAATGTTTTTTTTGGAAGGTAGTTGTGGAAGTGCTAATTTGGTTATGAAGGGATAGTGTAGTTACAATCTGTTGAAATGAAGTGGTGGTTGTGAAAAATATCAATAGTCGAAAACATACTTGTACATTTCAAACGTTGTTAGGCTTTCTGTCTAGGATGGTTTTTCGGTTATTTATTTCTCACTGATAATGGTTGATAATGTTTGTATGGAGAGAACGTGGATAGGGGAAAGTTCATTTAAAATAGAGAAAGGGGTATGAAGATGTTGGTGTTGAAATTTTGTGTGTGTGAGTGTGTTCGGGGGTTTAAAAAAAATCGGTGAGGTCAAGTAGGGCTTTTCACAAATTGCTCGACACGAGATTTCCCAAAAAGTTTCCCTTAATTTCTCAAAATATTGCTCAAAAGTTGCTCAAAAAATGTTAAAAGTTGCTTTTTGTAACGAATATAATGTTGCTAAAAGACTTTTTTGGTGTCCCTCTCTTCCTTTATTTGATCCGATGCAAAAATAATTATGCAAACTGCACAACAAAAAGTAACATCTCTAATCATTGTTGTGCAATTTTGCGGCGTAACCAGCGTTGCTAAATAACTTTGTCCTCACTTAAAACCAAAAAATGTATGAGTAAAGACTATGCATCAATATTAGTATTAATCTTGTAAAAATTCAGTCGAGTGTGAATCTTCGTCCGCCATTTTGAATTTTCTTTCAAAAAAACCTCTGACCTAGCAGCCCGGCTGCATACATCTTGCGCCCATAATCTGCCCCAGGGGGAGGAACAGGCTCCTTTTCACAGGAAGTACACAAATTGTGTACTAAAACATTGTGAAATATGATATGAAAGCAGGGCCAATTTAAACACTAAAAGCTGCTCCGATATCTAAGAATTGGAATAAAACTATAATAGGGAAATTGCTCAGAATACATAAATTGCTCGAAGTGCGAAGATGCCAAAAAGTTGTCGAGCGACTGGTGGAAAGCCCTAAGGTCAAGGGGGGGGGGGGAAGGGGGGTTAGGGGAGTAAAATCTGGCTATAGAACTAAGGGCCTGATTACATGAGCCGGGCTGGCTCGCTTTGCAGAGATCGGCCCTGCACCTTGGTTAAACGGAACAAAAATCAACTTTGTGATTGTATAACAACCGAGCCAGCCCGGTTAGCTGGTATCCCAGTACTGTGATGCCGGGATCTCGGGTGGAAATTTTCCAAGTAATCACGCTTTTCGGGCGGCCCGGCAAATGAACTAATCGAGAAACAGGACAGCGGGTAACACACTGCTCTTGGCGGCTTTTCATGTAATACCAGGATCAGGGGAGCGGGAAAACTACTTCCCAACATGCTCTTAAATAAAATCCAAACGGTGTTCTCACATCTTGCAAAGCGATCATCAAAGGTCTTGACAGCAGATTTGTGTCCTGATCATGCGCATTACGTCAAAAACCAAGAATCAACGGTTTTGAGAGGGAACAAATCATGGCGGTAGAAGGCGAGACTGTTTCCCACTATTTTATTTTGGTAATTCGCAAATTTTTTGATTTTATGTCGCTTTTCATCAGTCAAAGTGTGTGGTTTTCTTTTTCTTTTAAACAACTTTCCTCTTCAGAGTTTAAAATATGCAACATATAGCGCCGAAGAGTTGGAGCTATCGGTATTTGCTGCAAACCTATCCTAAGGAAAGGGTAATAAGGTCGCATCATTAATTAAAGGTAAAGAGCTTTCAGAAATAGTTGTAAATTTTTTACTAGGATCGTTTTGAATTTTAACTTTGAATTCAAGGTCAGTTGACCGATCGTGTGCTGCGAGGACAATTTTTTTTTAAAAAGAAAATTTAAATGATTTAATAGGTTGTTTCACTCGGCGTTTTTTCTTTTTCCAATGCGTTTGTTTTCTATTGCCGATTTGTTTGCCGTGTGTTATCTGTGCGACGTATATAACGAAGATAAATGCTGTATCGTGGCACATCGCGCGGCAGACATTCGCGTCGCTTGAATTGTTTCCTTGTTTGCGTTCAGACGTATTGCGTGCCTATTGCAATTTTGAATCAAAACAAGCCATCTCGATTACTCTATCTGGGCGACGACCAAATAAAAAGACACCGTTATAATGACTCTCGCTACTTGTCCAATGGATTTTTGATATATTGGGGTTGTTTAATATATTTACCATGTATGCGTTGCCGAACGCGATGGTATAACCCTTATATAACCCTTTAGAACTTACGTTTTTTTTGTTTCATTATAATTACTTGTTGCCTTCTTTTTGAATATGGCGCCAGGTGTAGACGAATGCCAAAATCCCAATACTTGCATCTCACCAGCAACATGTGAAAACACTGTGGAGTCGTACAAATGCAATTGCCCGACCGGTTACACTAAAAAACCTGGAAGTAATAACGAGTGCCAAGGTATGGCTTTATTTTGGCTAATTATTTAGTACTTTCTGGAGGTTTTTTTGGCTATTAACAAAAGAAAAATCACGATCAGAACAGTGAATAATGAATGATGATAATAATAAAAATAATAACAATCATATCTACTAATAATAATAATAATAACAACTAATCGCATCCGAACCGCGAGGAATGTAGTGTACGTATATAGTTTTTTTAAAATTTTTTTTTCCTTGCGGCTCAGATGCGGTCAATAACTCTTGCAGTCAGTCCAGAGTTTTAAATTAAGTCATGATTACAAAAGAGAACTACCCGTCTCTGATATTAAAAAGAAAACAAGTTAAAAAAGAATAAAATCTCGTATTCCTAAATTCCTAATTCCTACATGTATATAGTACTTATATAGCGCTTATAATAATTTTTATTTCAATAAACTTCTAAACTTCTAAACTTCTGAGCTATTTAAATTATTTCTGTAAATAATACATTCATATTTTCAAAGTTACATAGACATCTAATAATAATAATAATAATAATAATAATAATAATAATAATAACAGTGACAAAGATAATCATGATAATAACAATACTACAGTGAAACCAGCGGTTTCGTTGCTCCCTACGAAATTCACTGAGGTTTTAGGATGACCTCTTTACAGTTACAGTTAAGAAATTAACCAAAGTTCTTGTGAAAATGTCTGCTTTCGCTCTCCCATCGATAATTAAAACATGAGTCCGTAACGTCTTATCTGAGAGGCCGCGTAATATGGACACCCGGTCAACACGAGCAATATGGCATGTCCCTTCGGTGTCCGTATTAACTGGGTTCCACTGCAATATTAATAATAATAATTATGATAATGACAATGATATGATAATAATAACTTCGTTGTCGATCGGGACAGGCCTAGCCGAAAGTTGCCACGCAAGCACTCATGGGGTTGTCTGGGAGGACGCGAAAGCCAAGAGGACAAGTGTATTTTCCAAACGCGGAAATAAGGCGGGAGTTGCAATTTACTCTGATGTCTGTTATTATCTCTTCAGGATTACGGTCAACAAAAAAATAAAAACGCATTGCAAAGATGTTCTTATTCCCAGCTGCTGATAGGCCAAGTCTCTACGTGAAAAGATGTTGGAGGTCACATGTAAAGTTTCTTTCACTTAATCAGTCAAGGGACGTCTCCCAAACAATTCTAAAAATGCTTGTGTAACTTCACTAGGTTCCAGCCAAACTCTTTTTCAAAGTGAGCTAATGCCGTTCGAATATTCTCAACTCAGGAGCCCATAACTGCAAAACTGATCATTTTCAGCTCGAGTAATTTGTTTACTAGTGTGCTATTTTTTGGCTTTTATTGATTTGACACGAGTAAGGTTAGGAACATATTTTCCAACTCGATCATAGTTGTCGTTAAAGCTTTTAAAGGTATATTGGTTTATTGTTTTATTGTTTGAGATCAGAACGAATGCCAGAATTCTCCTAATTTGTGCGCTTCACCGTCGACGTGCGAAAATATCGGGGGCTCGTACTACTGCAAGTGTCCCAGCGGTTATAAAAAAAAGTCAGGGACAAAAGACCAGTGTGAAGGTAGAACTTCACTTTTTCTTATAACACGTGATCAATGCCGTAAATCTAATTAAAACTGCAAATGTTGAGAAGGAAAAGCCTTGGGCTGTTATGTTAGAGAGGAAAAAATCATTAATTTTACGTCAGTTAAGTTGTGACCTTTCAAAATTATTTATATAAATGGAGAAAAATAACCTAGAAATACGTGTTAAAATAAAAATTTTAAAAAATAAGAGCACAATGTAAATTTGCAATAACGTATCCATCCATATCCTAAATATCGTTTTGTCAATCCATGATCTATAATTATAGTCCATTCCATTTCCCCTGAGTCATAATCGTAATGGCAGAAGCTCCCGCTCAATGATCCACTGACAACTTCTTCTTCCTCTTCTTCTTCTTTTTCCAAACGTCGCACTTATCTATCGTTTCAGTTTTAAGGTTTTGTGTTTTTTTAGTAGATTAACGTCGTGATTTCGTATCATTTTGCTCTTCAGATATAAACGAATGTTCACAAGGTTACTGTAATCACCTGAGGTCTACCTGCGTAAACCTCCCGGGAAGCTATCGCTGCGATTGTAAATCTGGTTATGAGAATAATACCCCCACGAATTGCATAAGTAAGTCGATACTTTTTTGCTTTATACATGAAGGCCGTTTTCACTGAACGAGGTTCTTTTACATTCCGTATGTCCAGCATTGTGCAGTCCAAACATATATGGCCAAAGTTAAAAAGGTGTTGCAAGGAATATTCTACTTTGAAAGACGCAAAATTGAGATCTATACATTACCAGACAACAAATTAAAAAAGAATTTAACTCAAGAATAAACGATAAAAAAAAATTTAACTTTGGCTTCCAAAAACTAACATATTTTTAAACAGATGGAAGGAACAGATCGCGAATTAAGAATTTAGATAAAGATAATAAAATCTTAACTTATAAATATTTAGATGGAAGTTATTTCAAGAATAAATCTTAAATATCTATATTCGATTTGTAAGGACAAAGATTTTTAGTTTCCAGCATAAAAAAGTTGGTTAACACTGGGTTTCTGTTAGATCACTTGGCAAGTTTGTGTTCAATAGCATTTTTGTCATTTTGATGTTAACATCGCATTAATTTATTCCATGAAATTTGGTAACAAAAACTTAACTCCGTCAAGCAGTTGCCAGCATAAGCTGCAGGACCGTTTTTTGCGTCTTTTATAACCGTTTTCCTCTTTTAACTATGATCGTATCTTGAGCCGATATTCAGCATCAAAAACCAACATTTGTCAAGGACGGCCCGAATACCTAAATTGAATCATTTCGTTCAGGTCCACCTTGCATAAAACCACAAGCAGCATCATTTAGAATCAGGGAATATAATAATTTACTCTTGAGCAGTGATGAAAAGGCACAGCGGACATAACGGCTTATGGTCATTGAGACACGCAGGCCTCACTGCCACAACAAGATGCCAGCCCAAGGTAAAAGTAAACTACTTATACGGCACATGCACTCTTCGGGTGCTTCTTTTTTATTTTTTCAGATATAAATGAATGCACAAGGGGCATCGATTCATGTGACAAGACGTCATCATATTGCACGGACAAAGATGGAGATTTCTGGTGTCGTTGTAAGACGGGTTATAATCAGGGTGCAAACGACAAGCTCTGTGTAGGTACGTTATTGTAGGCTATTTTCACAATGACTATACCAGGTAACTTTACGTGCCGACACTAAAAGCTTGATCCAGTATAGTGTGAAATAGTTATTTGCTATCTATTTGAATAGCTAAAAGGGGCCTGCTCCCAGTGGCTCCTGGTCTTCAAATTGAACTCCAAAAACAATGGTCCAGTTTTGTCATTAAAGACTCTCAAGAAAATTAAAGCATGGGTTTTTTTCTTAATTTCCTTCAAATGTTGAGGGGTGGTCTATATCTTGAGAATTAAGGCCAATAGCAGTAAAACTTGAGCAGGATAATGCGTCTAAAAAGTTACGCAATTCAGTTGAAAAGAATATGCAAATCAGGTCACGTGACCTTGAACGGCCATTTCGCACGAAAAAAACTTAAATTAGAAAAGGCACCAGTTTATAATAGCAGTCAATCAAAGAAATTGCTACCAAACATGTCACTGGTATGCTTAACGACTAAACATTTGTGCCTGGGTTTTGTTGAATAATTTACTGAAAGAGCCAATAAACGAATTTTTGTACTAATGCCCAGTCTCCTTATCAAACGGTTTTCGAATTTCGTCCCTGTCTAAAATATTAACTTAAAAGGCCCGGCTGCCACAGAATGATATATCTGTAAGTCTCATCACTATAACGATAACTGCCACTTCCAGAAAGTAATGAAAAGTGATGCCATTTTGCCAAATAGAATTTTGAGCTAAAAATGGCCTTGATAGGTCACGTGACAATTAATGTTTTCAACCATAATTCAAAGTTGTTGAAGTTACGCCACTGAAGTCTCCCCAGAAGTTATTTTGTGTTACTGATTGAAAGCTTAAAAATTTAGACCACGATCTGTTTTTGAGAAATTTTAATAGAAGCCAATGCCTTATTTATGCTATATTCAAGTTAGGCATTGAATCGATTGTCGCCTGTTCTTACGGAAGGCAGGGATGGACATGGATTGAAACTTGAAAACTCTGGGCCAACTTTTTCAAGTTTTAATGATTTGCCTACAAAAACCACCAAAAACTTAATACTATGGCTAGTGCGTGCTGCCTGATAAATTTTTCATATATTTTTCATAACTCTACAGGACTGCATTTTGTGTATTGGCCGGTAAAGGCGACGACCTTAAACAGCAATATTCGCTTGTCATAGCCCATTTAAGCTTCCTTTAGTGATCTTTACAGGCAGATAACTTATAAATTCTTATAAATTTCACCTTGACTTTAACCACTCATTTTAAAGATTTTGTCTATCCTACTTAGCCGTAGGATGCAGTCCTCTAGTCACTCCCGTTGGTGGCAAACTGGAGCCTGCGCGCTGCACTGGAGCAAACTCGAACTTCTACGGTGACAAGTGTGTCATGAAGTGCCAAGTGGGATATAACCTTTCTAACATGTCACATGGAATTCTCACCTGTGGCAGTAATGGACAATGGCAGGGGACCATGGGAACTTGTAATGGTAAGAACAACCTGCCAAATGCCACTCAAATTGTGCAGCGATTACAGTTTGCCAATTTGAAGGCGAAGTTGAGACCACAAGAAACGAGTTTGTCCACCTTCTGCTTTCTTCCACTATGCCACTTTTTTTCTGGTCCTCGAATTTCTTTACTTTCTCAAAATCAATTCGCGGCAACGCGTACACTATCAGCCTGCGAACAGGCTCTCCGTTTTGGTGGAAATGGGTTTGTAAAGTCCCGAGGAGAAGGCGAGGGAAAAAATGGAATGGGTTCCTTTCGCTTCACTCCCCCCCCCTCCCTCCCACCTCCATTTTTTTCGCTTCTAATTTTTTTCTTTCCTACCCCTCTATGGAGCCTAATCCCAGGCTAACACTATATTTCGTCGGCATGAAAAAAATATACGCCAAGCATTGCTGGCTAGTTGTCTTAGTGCATGTTAAACTAACTTTGCTTGTTTCAACAGCTGTCACCTGCCCACAACTTTCCGTTATTTCAAATGGAGGCTTACTGCCTTCATCATGTACGTCATCTGGTGGTAAATACCAAAACAAGTGTTCGTACTATTGTTCCAGCGGTTACACTCTCCAAGGTGGTCAATTCCGAGTGTGTCAAGCAGATGGGACCTGGGACGGAACCGCTCCTACTTGTAAAAAACGTACAGAATACATTTGTTTCTTATTCTTACGCTTCGATTTTTTAAATATTTTTAATATTATTATTAAAATAGTTTTCCTTTATGATTCTTAAGATAATAGATGAAATGATATGTAGGCGAGAAGAACATAGAAAAACATTTTGAGTTCTAGATGGAAATTGAACCCACGACCTTCCGTATACTAGTCGGATGCTCTAACCACTGAGCTACTGAGAACTCGGTGGTGATCAGGTCAATTGTGGGCTGACATAACTACCGCATCGCGCAGTCACATAATGTCATGTATGAACACACAATATTAACTGCATCGCGCAGTCACGTAAATACTCTTTCTCTCTTAAGGTACCCGGAAATTTTGCCAGTAAATTTCTTCATATTGGTAAGGAAGATAGCCTCCCACGCAGACGTTCTTATGGTGGATTTCCACTGTCGCGTAATTTTCATTACGCGACAGTGTAATTCCTCCTTTAGACGTTCTTCTTCGTCACGTGTTCGTCACGTGTTCCTTCGCTTTTTCGTTGGGGAGGATTGCGTGACGAGCCAAACATGGTAGGCTACAAGGAAGAGCGCATCTATGAAATGGTAGCCTGTACACAGACGTTGTTTTGCTTTTCTTTTCGAAAATCAACCTTCTCCACCCCCAACTCCGAATGCTCTAGTTGTCAATAAATCCCCCTCGGATTATATTTCCATACGCGCGCTCAACGATCTCTTAAGAGAAAACAGAGGGTCTGTGAACACGCTAATGAAATGGTGGGTTGCTTGGTTATGTGTAAATCTTTGGGTCTTTTTGTGTATAGCGATAAAAAATTCTCTCTGTAAAGGTTACCAGAAATCTCAGTTCAAAGGAATATTTTTATTGTTTAGGTGTTAGGTCTCTTAGGGCCGTACTGATTATAGGACCTTAATTAGTTGTAACAAACGAAAACGCAGTCTGAAAAAGTAATACTGGCACTCTAAGATTAGAATGCCATACTGATTAGTATTTTTCAATTTGTGACGACTGCTTAAGTACTAAAAATGTTTGGTCGTTTTACGGCTCAAGGTTCTGAATTCCACTGACATCTCTTCTCCTTTGGCATTGTGTTCAGGGTTTGTTTTACATTAAAATAAACATGGATTCAGCTTGTGCATTAGTACTGCCGAAAGTGGAAAGTGAGGTTTTTTATTAGTGTTTCACACGAAACAGTACTTGGAAGTGAAATAAACAATAGTCCTTGTTTGGAAAAGAATTAGCAAAGTTTAATTGTGAAAATTAACATTAGACAGCTTTTGCTGATCTATGATTTACAACTGTCTTCAATGTTTGAAAATTACATATTGGGACTTTTAATTGTGGAGAGGGGTGAATCAGATTCATTTTGACAGAGTGTAACGCCGTGATAATAAAAACAGCTGTGCCTTTGGTTTTAGTTGTATCTAAGCCCTGGATCAGATGCCCAGATCTTATACAACAGGACTTACTCTCAGGAAAATCAACAGCTGACGTCAGCAGTGTGTGGAAGGGACCCACGTCAAACGTTGAACCTGCACAAATAACAATCAGTCCACCTGAAATCTCCTCTAGTTACCAGTTCCCGTATGGTACAACAAAGGTCACGTGGACTGCAAGTAACTCTGAGGGATCAGAAAGTTGTTCAATCTTTGTTCACATCTATGGTAACTGAATTTTTTCTTCATGTCAATATATAGAGGATATCACACGGTGGCGAGAAGATATGAATTTTATGTTCGAGTGGCAAGAACAATATCTCACGAGTGAGCGAAGCGAACGAGTGAGATATTGTTTTTGCCACGCGAACATAAAATTCATATCTTCGAGCCAACGTGTAATGTTCTTTTTATTATATGGAGAAACCATTTCAACAAAAGCAAAAGGCGGGAATCGAGACGTCATTGAACGATACGACACTCACAAAGGTGACAAACGGAAAATACGCCAATCGGGTCCCGGATGAAGTGGCGTATGGAATCTACGAGTGGTTTAGTTCCCAGTAAAACACTCTCCTCCGTATAATAAATATGTATATATACATCCTCTTAGTGTGCCACGCGTTCAGTATAACATCAGTCCGTACCTTCATTTCAGCAATCAAACGTAGTTTGGTCCCGATATACTACTGTACAGGAACTGTTCGAAGGCAGCAAATATTGCTACCTATAGGTCTTTTGAAGATTAGGGTACAGTATTTTTTACTCGGTACAGAGACAAAAAATCCCTTAGGTCTGAACGTACCGCTACTCAATGACCTCGAGCGTTCGACCGGAGCCATCGATTATTTTAGCTAACAGTTCGGATGAGAGGAAAAAGCCACCTAAAACCTTCGAGAAGACCATAGCAGGTAAATATTTTTAAGGGCAACTTCAAATTAACCAAACAGGCTTCTAAAGCAGAGATAAAACCATTTGAGACACTTTTGGCGTATTTGGAAACATTCGCTAGCGCCCAGTAACGGCTGAGTCGGTTACCTAAATCCTGCTGTTAATTTTGAGGAATGCAGCACCTTTTTATCGAAAGAATGATATGTTATTCATAAAATACGAAAAGTCGAAAATTCACCTTTTAAGAATATGGAAGCATCACATCAACTGTCCCAACGTGCGGCATTAAAAGCGGAGATGAGCTAGACGAGCTACCGGCAGCTAATCTCAGTTTTTTTGGAACTTAATGTTATTTTGAAAAGAATAAACACTGAAATTGAAGTACACGATCGATACGAAATTTTCTGTTTTATTTAGATAAGGAAGCTCCAACAGTTTCAAATTGTCCTCAAAACATTCACGAAATAAGCGGTGGTTCCAAGGCTGTGACTTGGGTAGAACCGACCTTCAGCGACAATGTGAAACTCAAAACAGTGGACAAAACACACTCTAGTGGTAGCACATTTGGTCTGGGATCCACTCATGTCACCTATACTGCTGTGGATGCTGCAGGAAATAGTGCCGTGTGCAAATTTGTGGTGCAGCTCCTACGTAAGTTAACTAGCTCATCCCAGATATTTTAATCGTTTTAAATGTGCATATGTAGCAATAAATAAACAGGGGATGATTATCATATCCAACGATATGTCAAAACGACTCAAAGTTGAGAACAGAAAACCTTAACCCTGAGTCGAGTAGACAACTCCAGTTTAGTTTAGTTCATTGATATTTTAAAGATGACTGGGAACAATGCATACATATATGTACATCTATGTACGAAGAAGTCATGGAGAGCGAGGCCATATACTAGGTTCATATTTGACACGCGTCCTGCATACTGGGTGGTCATAGGTTCGAATCCGGTCGGGTTATTTTGCCTACCTGGGGTCCTACAGCTCCATTTAAATGGGCCCTTAGAGGTTTTCTAACTTTTTTGTGGATAAAATCTTAATTGAAGGGTTGGTAAACAAAGCTGTTACTCAGAATTTTGAATGTGGTATCAAGTCCTGGGGATACGTCTTTTAATACAAACAAGTTTTCTGACTGTTTGGTGAATGAAATCAGTACTAAACGGGATGAGTAAACAAAATATGTTACTCAGTTTTTTATATATGTGATATCCTTGCCATAGGGCCGAAGTGTTCCGATCCAGACGGGCCTGTCGGTGGCACCAAATCATGCAGCTCGTTTAGTGGCAATAATTTCTGCACTGTGACGTGTAATAGCGGAAGTCAGCTGTACAAAGCAACTGCAGCTTTCTGGAACTGTGATAACACTGGCAACTGGACACCCAGTGATCGAATTCCTGATTGCGTTGGTGAGAGAAACCACATAACAGTGTTTGCAATTTTACTATGGGGCGTTGTCACGTAACATCGCATCCGCTATATTGTTGTTCCACAAAAATGAAACGACGGCCATGTTGGTGTCCCAAACTAATCCTTTGGGATTTGAATTCCTTTCTTGTCCAAACGCTTTTTTCTTTGGAAATTTACATAGCTGGTCACGTGAGTGAAACCGCTGTATTTCCAATTCTAAAATTTGTGACATAAAGTTATATAGCTTTTTTACATGACGTCACGTCCGCCATATTGGTTTTCCAAAACAATAAAACGGCGACCAAGTTGGTGTTCCAAACAAGTCCTCAGTGAGTAGCCTGCAAACAGCACACGCATTTCCGGTCCTCGCCTATTTTTCGGAGGGAGAGTAGCGACGATTCTCATTTACATTCTCATTTACAATTTAAAATGAAGGATAGCGGGCAAATTGTAATGTCTCAGGTTACTTAGTCATTTGTAAGATCCTGAAGAAGAAAGGCCGTACACTGCCTTCCAAAATATTGGCAAATCACATTCCTCCCAGTAAAATTAGCCTTTCCTCTAGATCTTTCCGTTATAAATGGCTGATTAGATCCTTTGCCAGGATCCGGTGCCTCTATTTTGTCACTGCGGTCCTTACTTCCAAAACTGAACGGTTTATAGGGTCTTGAGTCTTGAACAGGGTAATTTAGCGTCTTGAACACGGCGTCCTTTTAGACTTAAATGGGTGTAATTGTTGGCGATGAGCGGTCTACATTCAAGGTACCAAATTGTTTTTCCAAAAAAATAAATTCCATGATGTGACGATGTCTTGTCTTAAACAGGGTAGCGAAATGAACAGTTCTTGTCTTTAAGAAATCAGGGTTTGATGGCCTCTGCGGCACACCTCTACTCATACTTTCCTTAAGTGCGCTACCTGGAGCTTTTAGTGTTGTCCAGAACTGCAAATATATCAGAGGACACGTTTTCACATCCGCAACTTTCACTATCACTTTCTTCTAATTCAACCAATGAAAATTCTAAGAGTTTACACTTTATTGCAGTAAAGTTGTCCCACAAAAAGAAAACAAACAAAAAAACAAATAATAAAAAAAAGCCAAATAGGAATTACCTGTAGTCATTTGTATAATCCCCCCAAATAAGCTTTTGAAGTGCGTTCCAATACCCCCATCTGAAATCACTTGAGACAAGATAAAGTAAATTGCTTAATGCAAAGTCGTATTGGGCTTTAAACCCTTCCATCAGAACAGATCTCAAAATGTAGTGAGAGTGCCTACTTCACTCCTATTCGTATTTCTCCAATTCAAGTTTTAAATTTTTCTATGACAACATTTTTGCAATTGGGTATGTATTGCTATGATGTAATAGGCCGTTTGGCGTCAATTTGCTGCTAATGCTCAGGGCCCCGTTGTTCGAAAGCCGATTAGCGCTTAACCCGAGGTTAAATTTAACCCGCGTTTCTTTTTCTTGTGTTCAAAAGCCTTTTCTCGGATAATTCTCTCTGTTATTTTTAGAGCTTCCAATCATCAACTTGTAGACAAAAAGAATTAAAACTGAAACGCTTTTAAGCTTTCAAATCTGAATAAAAAATCTCGCACTAACCCCGGGTTATCTTAACCCTGCTTTGATCAACTCGGCCCTGGATCCTTCAGGGATTTGCTTTCTTGTACAAATTAGGATTTTTGTTATTTCAAAGAATTACCAAATTTAAGTATGAAAGTAAAAAACGAAATGACTTATGGTCCTCTCATGACGTCTCGTTCAAATGGGGTGCCCATTATATCCAAGAGTTAACAATTTCTGAGTACAAATGTCGTATCCCTCACAGAGGCTAGCACTAAAGATCCAAACACCCCATGTCAAGAAAATCGAATCGAGATGACAGTGACCAGTTTCGTTGGGACCAATAAATACTGTGGTAAGTAATAAAGTTGATGTTTATAAAATCTAGTTGGATCAAACACAAAGCTAATACGCTGGCTAATAATACTGGCACTCAAAGTGAACGTAGCTGGCGCCAAGCGCCTTTATACGGAAATGCCAGTCGGTCGTTTTGATTGGCTGAGAAAGTAATAGAGGGGTTTTTCAACCCCGTTTTTTCAAAACGAGGATTTGTATTGTTTTTCACTAAAGCACCAGTGGTGGATGCAAAAGATTTTGGTAAGAGGTTTCAACTAGTGCATACGATTGAAGGAATTACTTTCTGCATGTCTTTGCACGCTTTACTGGCTTTAGTTTCTAATTCAAACCAGTCTCCTGTCCCTTTGCTATCATAGAAGGCCTGTGCAGGACATGTCTGGTTCCAGTTGTTCAAACGTTGGATGGCGCTATCTAAAGGATAAATTATTATCCAGCGGATAAGTGTTAGGAAACTGAACCAACTGGCGTGCGTTATCCACCATATAGATAGTGAGTTCATCTGATGGATGGCGTTATCAACCTTTTGAACAACTGTAGCCTGCTCGTTAGGAAACAAATCATCTAAAACATGTCTCTGATGTTGTTAATTAATTTCGTCAGTTTGAACAAGAGCCCCATGGTTGAAAGGCTCTGTCACAGTGCAAAGTAATATTCTCTTTTAAAGCGCAAGAAGGAAGTTGTCTTTGCGACTCACGCGTTGTAATTAGTTTATTCTCAAAGTAGTTAGTCAAGTACTTCTGAAAATCGTCTTGTCTAATAAATAAGGTGTCCGTGGGGGTGGGGGGGGGGAGATACTCCTTATAAGGGCCTATACGGGGAGGCTCCAGCCAAAAGGGGTTCCATTCTCAAGCTTCAGGTATATGAAAGGGTAGGGAAATCTGTCATTTTGGTCTGTTAGAAGGCCCAAAAGGGCTAGCAGGTAGTTATAGCTTCAAACAGTTGAAAAAAAGTTCTGGTTTTGCCGGTGATTGATTCATATTTAAAAGACAGTCCATGTACAACAGTTAAAAGGGATAAAGTTCTAAACTAGGTATGTGAAAGGGGTACCATTTGTCAATAGAAGATACACGAAACGGGCACCTTTTTAAAATGGTATGTAAAAGGGTAAGGGGTTGGACCTCAGGGAAGAGCCCCCCCCCCCCCGTGTAAAACTTTGTTGAGTGCCCCGGGGCGTGCTCGGACTCCTCCGACCTTGCACCGCAGGAAAGTGATGCTCGGTAGCATCCAAGATCGAGTTATTCAACAGATATAATATTGACATCTCTCACAGCTAAATGTCCCACCGGGACGTACAGAAGCTCCAGCACCGACTGCAGTCCTTGTCCCGTGGGATCCTATAATGACCAGCAAGGACAATTACAATGTACTCAGTGTTCTGCGGGAACTTCGTCACTACCTGGAGCCAAGAGTGCCTCAGATTGCAAAGGTAAGTTTCTCTTACCTAGGTGTATTAAGGAGAGGGTCAATTGAGGCATATGTGAAAACGAAGGGGGGTGGTCTATCTACAGTATTTAATAACAACAAGCTAGCTTTATTTGCACGACCATACAAGTACATGCAGTATTGCAAAAGCTATTTTAAGATGAAGAACCAAAATTACATCATAGGGCAATAAAGTTACTTTGGTAATAATTTTTCACGAAGATCAAAGCAAGCTGAAAAATATTTCATGAAATGTATATTGATAATTGAATAATTAGAGGAGTTCAACAGTTCATTGATCAAAACGTTTACCGTTAAATGAGTAATATTTGGAGTTGGAGTTAGGGCAACGCCTATTATATTTCGTTTTTTGATTGTATTTACCTATTTCTATCATCAGTTTGTCATTGCTTATTCGTAGTTTTACCGGCTAAAGCCCTTCTTCCAGCTGTTCCTCTTGTTAAGTCTAGGTAATTAGAGGTGGTATGATCGGTTATAAAAGATCTAAGAAATTCAAGTTTTTGAGAATGTCGAAGGGTGCTTTGCCAATATGACATATACTACTGTTTCATTTAACTTACGTAGCTTTTTATCATGGCGTTATCTAATATATTAGGATTAAAGTCAGGTAGGTTAAAATATTCTGTCATATTCATCAAATGAGAGTGGAAGCTATTTTTGCCATTACACAAGTCAAATGAAATTACAAAAGATTGTTTGACGAAAGATTCTTCATCTTTAGACTGAATATACAAAATGCAGTTGAAAATGTTTTGATTGAGAGTGATATTTAAAGGAAAAGGACCAAGTTCTGTCTGCTCTACAAGCTATTTAGAAGCCTTTTTGTTTACCTCCAAGTAACGTTTGCAAAATTGAAGGTGTGTGTTCTCGATGTGTGAGCCCTCCCAGGTCTTAAAATCTGGTTGGCATACACTTCCCGGCCAAATTCCGCTGTTACATGTTAGAATAGGGGAGATCATTATAGTATCAAATATTTTACTGGCAAGAGCTGCTTTTAGTTTGCTAAGATTCATGTGTCGTCTCAAGCTGAAGAGGGCATGAAGAGCTTTCTCCTTGAGATGTTCACGTGACACTGAGAAATTCCCGACGAGGACATTTGAGTTCCTAAATAAGTGTACTCTTGTACAACATCGATAATCTGATTATCTATGAGAAAGCGAGATTCAGCATTTTTCCTCACACCTTTATGAAAAACCATAATCTTATCTTCAAGATAACGAAAAGAAACGTTGCCAAGGACTCACACTTGACAGGCTGAATCCAGTTGACAAGACTTTGTCACCAATCAGTCTCACGTTACCGTAAATGATATCAAATTTCCTTATTTTCTTTAGGTTAAGCGCACTCTAGTTTAACACAAATTGACACGCAAAATGAGGCTTGAATGGTTTCATGAACTGGGAATTCTACGCGAAACCAATATGCCATTTGTAGGATGACATCATTTTACTACTACGACCAGAATCCTTCAGGGTTTGCTTTCTTGTGCAAATTAGGGTCTTTGTTATTCAAACCTCACTGGGATTACAAAATTTAAATATGAAAGGAGAAACGAAAAGGATTCTGGTCGTAGTAGTAAAATGACGCCACCGTGCAAATGGCATATTGGAATACGTGTCCATGTCATGTGACGAATGAAAAGTGACAGTGTTTTGTCATGCAATAACCGTCAAACCTTGATGTCGCCGTTCAATTACATTTGAAAAGAGGCCTTAAAAGTAATATTGCAAAAAAAAAATTCAGTGAAGTTAATTTTTCCTAGTGTGTAGAAGCCTTTGAAGAACAAACCGGAAGTTAAGGCAAAATTAAATTATTTTTTATTCAAATGCATAGTATCTTTATTGATTTAGTATTTTTATTGTCATGCGTTTTATACATGAGCCTCGATCTGGCTCCGATGATCGGGGCAGCACCATCCCATGTATTACGTTAATAAATTGATTGATTGAAGTGGTCGCGTGGTGGGTTACTATGAGAACGCTATTGTGCATAGAGCAATTTTCAATTGAGTGTTGAAAGTCATCCAGGATTGAATTGGTTTTGCTTTACTGTGCTGTTTGATTGGTCTAGAAAACTCGCGCAACCCTCTCAGCCAATCAGATGTAAACTAAAACCAATCGCTCCTTGGTCACTCGCGTTTTCCCGCGCTACAGGCCGGTTACACGCGTTTACTTCGAGTTGCCATTGGCTCCCTCTGATAATTTCCTTTACTCTGATTGGCCGTTGTGATTACTTTAGTTTTGGTTTTCGACACTCAATTGAAAAGCGCCCTAAAGCTCACTTGATCGTATGTTGTTGATCAGACATTTTCTTTCAAAGATAGACCACTCCGCTTGACTTCTTTACAGAATAATGTGTGACCCACTCCTTAACTTACCTGAGTAGTTGATCTAAAATAATTCCATCTACGTTGATGTAAAGGAGTAATACCCCGTCAAAATTTCCAAATGCGCTTACCCATTTTTCATGACACGGTGCTGAATTGGAGCGTCTTAGCGAACAATTCTTGCAAGGACCACTTGAACAAACAACAGCGAGAAAAAGCCGAATCTTGGTGTAGATCAGGATCAGCAATATAGAATATATAACGCTTAAAATTGAAGGTAGGGCTGATTGGCCGGACAGGGTAAGTACATGAAATTACCCATCTATAGCTGTCCGATCTGCCTTGCCTTCAATTTTAAGTGTTTTGGAGCATCTTAGTTTGTTAGAAAAAGTACGAACTCGCACCTTTACAGGATAAAGGCTAGAACTAAGGCTTATGGAAGTGGATCTTGGTTCTTCAAATTTGAGTTCGTACCGCCGGCTGTCTAAGTAGAGTTGCTTTATTTAATAGCTGGCCATGTAAATGCAGTTGACATAGTCCAGTTTCGAATTAAAAGTTACCGCTGAATACAAACATTAACTAACATTCATACAGGGTTAGCCTCGACGTAAAGTAAAATATTCAGAAATTTCTGCGAGTTAGTGTTTAAAATTTGAATATACACAATAGACAAAGTAATAAACAGGTCTTTTTCTCTCTGGAATATATTACTTCAGATGGAGGCTAAGCCTGTAAAAAATGCGTCTTCACGTCTTTGATTCAGCAGTCGTCGCGAACTCGACACTGGACTATTAGTTAAAAAGCCGAGTCAAAATGTGCGATACACCTTCCTCCTCCCAGTTAAGTCCTTGTATATTTAAGTGTTTAATTAATTGTTTTATTTTACTCTTCTAGCTGTATGTAATGCTGGACGGTTTTCTCAATCTGGACTGGGACCAAACTGTCAGTATTGCCCACGCAATACGTATCAGGACAAAGTCCAACAAAAGAGCTGTACGCCATGTCCTAACGGCACTCATACTCTCTCAGTGGGCGCTTCAAAACTGGCTGAGTGTGGAGGTTAGTCAACTAATGTACCAAGTCGACTGTAGATCGTACAAAAACCTCTGCCGCCCTTAAGGGAGTGTTTAAAACCTGTCATCGGTCTTGAGGAATCCTACCAGACCAGTTGCTAAGAATCCAGGGTCCGGTTTCTCGAAAGTCCCGGTAATTAACGGGCCCAGATATCTGTTTTACCGTTGCTGTGTTTACGTCAGAGACCTTAAGATCCTAAGACAAGGACGACGACAAGAACGACATTTTCTCAATAATAGACTAAGCAGTGAACGCGCTTGAATCAGCGTCATTTTGGTAGGAAAACTTGGTAGCCGTAATCATTCAACTACGAATTTTAGCGAGAATGTCCTAGTGGCGGAAACAAGTTATCAACGGTTAGAAGTTTTATCATCATACGATCGGGAGAGCGCTTAACCTTCCTCATTAAAAATAACCGTGCTAACTTTTGTGGTGAAAGAAAAAGTGCAATAAAGCTTTCCAGGGTGTATAATTCTTTAGAATACGCGAATTGAAATAAATAATAGAGTGGTTTTCGTTTGAGTGTCGTAAAACCAAAACCAAAGTAATTACTCTGGCCAATCACATAGGACACAGACAATACATTGAACCAATCAAAACTCGAAGTAATTACATGTGGCTGACGCAAAGCGCGGGAAAATGCATGAGAGCGCGTCACAATTGGCTTTGGTTTCACTTCTGATTAGATGAAAAGGTGGCGCGAATCTTTTAAGCCAGTCGCATCGTGTAGAAAGTGCAAAACCAATTACTTTTCGACACTCAAATGAAAACCGCTCTATCATAGGTGACGAATTACTCCTAAAATTTGGCGCGAAATTTCAGCGCAAGCAAAAAAAATAATTCCTCATTAAAAATAACCGTGCTAACTTTTCTGGTGAGAAAAAAAGTACAATAAGGCTCTCCAGGGTGTATAATTCTTTAGAATACGCGAATTGCTCCTTAATTTTGGCGCGAAATTTCAGCGTTTATTTGTAATTTCACATGTGAAATTACAAAATTGCCATGGCAACCCTCCGTACGTCTCAGTGTCAAGTTAAAATGCCGTGAATGAAGATGTCAGGGCACAAAAAGACGCTTTGAACACACAAGAGAACATCAGGAAGGATTCTAACAGGTATTTTCCCGAAAACGTCTGAAAAATTCTGGATTTATTTCTTTATTCATTTGACAGAGTGAAGTTCTCGATCGATACGATCCAGGATAAACATGTCAAAAATCCAAGATTGCTAACGTAATTCGTCACCCATGATATAAATAGGTAATCAAATGGTATACTCGTGAAATTAGGGAATAATTTCACGCGCGTTTTGTCAAAATCCTTATAATTTCCCGAGCCTTTAGGAGAGAGAAATTATAAGGATTTTGACAAAACGCGCGTGAAATTATTCCCTAATTTCACGAGCATACCATTTGATTACACATGCTAATCTCGTCCTCGTAGTCCTCGTACTCGTCCTGGAATCTAAAGAGTCTCTATTCAACAAAACAAAATAAGCAGGTTTGTTAGGCTAACACTTGCGCCGTGATCTCTCCACAACTGCTACTTTATTTTACTCCGGTGGGCAGACCATAATTTCACTTCTGTATCACCTACATAAGTCACTCAAAAGCAATCATATCATATATAGCCATTTACGTCCCTCTCAACTGCCGAGAAACCTCTCGACCACGGCCAGTTAGAAGCGTACAAACTGAGTACGCTATGTACCTTAATCTTTTACTCGGTCTGTTTTGTCTTTATTTTTATAGTCTAAGTCATTCAAAATCAGTGTCCAATCACATCCCTTCATCCATGTTCCTCGAACCTCCCAAGCAGGGCCTTTCCCGTCCCTTCCATTTTCTAAGGAAAAAAACCCTGGGGATGTCCCGCCCGACCGCTTGCATTTTCTAAGGAAAAATACCCTGGGGATGCCCTCCTTCCACTTTCTAAGGGAAATAACCCTGCGGTTGGCAACTTAAACCAAATAGACCACTTTCGACAAGTATTAAATTCAGCATGATAGCGAGTCTTATAGGACAGAGACTCTTTATCATTTGTGGGGAGGAGCATTGCGTGGTGACACAAAGAACGGCTGTTGTAGACTAGATTGGCTCATGTACGTGACTGTTGCCCACTTCACACTATTACAATCTAACTATTAGAAAGTGTTCCATATGTAAAATAGAATCATTCTATCATCTGATTCACGAGGAACATAATAGAACCACTTAAGGCAACAAATTTCTGGCAGTGAGCACTCTTAAGGTCTATCTATAATAGCGGGAAGTGGGATTAGGTAGGGGCGGCACCAGGGATGGAGCTTGTATTCCCGCTCGTGGTTCATCTCTTCTGGGTAGGTCTGTATTCAGTATACAATTGTGGCCGGTAAAACATAAAACATCTCCTCTATGCGAGGAAAATTGAAGGGCACCATAAATAAAATTCGTCAGGAGCCATAACCTAGAGCGTGTAGCCCCCCATACTTATCCTACGCAACGGCGTTTTCCGGCAGATCAAGTTATTTTAAGCATCATTTTTTCAGCACCTTTTCCCGCGAAAATGGAAACATCTTTCCGTATGTGTGCCCATCAGTAGTACCATATTTGCAAAAAGAAGAGGTAAATGCTTCCAAAATATCAGGAATACTTTTTTCTACTGTCCGGTTTTTAATGCATGACTGATTTTTAAGACAAATTTGATATTCAAAATTTGCAGGAAAATCGATCTAAAATAAACTGGTCTGTGATGAATCCGTTGCATGGCACAAGGGAGTTACTCGCTCCTAGTTATGGGCTCCAGAGTGCGTGTAATTGGTCAATTCACTTTGATTTAAATCTGTTTTTTAGCGAGAGCGATAATAAACAGAATGGAGCCATTGGTATCCAACATTAAAGAAAGCGAAACCGTGTCGGTTGACTGTTATGCAAGTGGAATCCCAGCCCCTGACTACTTCTGGAAATTCTTAAAAAACATAACGGGTAAGCAGACATACCAGGTAGCAGTCATACCGTGTAAGCACTGAGATATATTGGGTAAGACAACATGCATGCCCTCGGGAAAGCAGACATACCGGGTACCAGAGATAACGGATAAGCGGAAATAACCGGGTAAGAAGACATACCGGGTAAGAGGACATACAGGGTAAGCGGACACACCAGGTAGGCAGACATAAAGGGTAAGCAGACGGGTAGCAGACATAACGTGTAAAAAGACAGGGGGTGTTTGCATAAGAAAACTCGCATCGGCGCGAGCTTCATACCGGGATGACCTTTTGATTTTGTATCCCGTTTACATGATAACTGGGTCATTTCATATCTCGTTATTTGAGGGTACACTTCATGTCAATAAAATATACGTGTGATTCAAAATCGCGAACATTACGCATGCGCTACCCGTTCCAGTCCACCGGCAGACCGATTTCACACCGAAACGTGTGTTTGTTTTGCGTTTACATGGTACCGTTGCGAGTTTTCGTACCGGAGCGAAATTCTCGCCCCGGTACAACAACCGGGGTGAACTCACGCCGGGGTGACTCGCGCCGGCATAACATTTTGTGGTGGTATCATGTAAACAAATGTAGAGCCATGAGAGGGAACCGGAGTGAACTCGCTTCGGGGCGAAAGTCGCCCCGGTGTCATGTAAACACCCCCTATATACAGAGTGGCAGATATACCAGAACAAAATTGCTATTTCTCCAAAGTGAAAAACGTCTTCTGATTGGACGAGAATGTGCCACCTGCCATGTGTCAAGAAAAGCTGTCAAATTTTCAGCTGTTTTTTTTTTTGGTTTTTCCTTGGAGACAGTCATTAACTGGGAGTGTTGTTTTCTAGTGCCACGCTAACGGCATTTCATTTCTTTGAAGCGAGTTTCCTTGGCAAGATGTCCCAGGCCGAAATCGAAGACGGCAGTGGTGCGGTGATTGGCTCCAAGCTGACCATCACTGGTGCTACGTATGAGAACTCTGGTTCATATGAGTGCCGTGCTACTAATACACATGGAGAGGACAAACAAATTGCACAGATTAATGTGGCAAAAGTGATTGACGTCGGCTCTGGCTCCTTGGACGAACCGTTTTATTAAGGTACGATTTGCCTTACCTCTCTCCTTCACCGAGGCTTCCTTGTGTGTTAGGAAGTCTGGGGAGAGTAAAAACCCCAGAGGACGATGGGAAGAGGAAAGAAAGGAAGAAAGGTTCCCCCTTTTTTCTTTTCCCATCGTCTACCGCAGGCTTACAATTTTTAATATTGGAATACCCGACAGGAACCTCTACGGAAGAGAGACCTTGTTTATTTCAGACAATACAACAATTAGTTTTAATTACAAATTAGAACTTTGCCCGACAGGAAATGGGAGTGAGGAAGTGATTTCATTGGATGATCATACATGCGATTTAGCGACGTAGATGCCAGTTGCTGGCCCAACGACATAGACCCGCGACTAAAAAATGTTCAAGGCCGGATCTGCTTGCATGGTGTCCAAAAAGAGAAAACTTAAGTGTCATTGTCTGAGAAAGTGTTCCAGGGGCCAAAAGTTGTGGTCAACCGATTTGGCTGAAACTTGGCGAAGAAGTTGGGTATAATGAGATATTTCAAAAGCCACTTTGGCTCACTTCTCTGAGTTTTAGTTTTGGAGTTACAGGGGGGGTCTCATTTTTTGCCCTTTGAGCACCAAAAATCCAGCCTTCCAGGGGGCATTTTGAAAGTGTGATAAGACCCCACTGGTAAAATGTGCTGCCAAATGAATTTGGCCATGAACTCTACTATAATAGAGCTTTCAGTTCATGCACGTAACTTTGTCCTCAAGGTATTGCACAGAGAGGGGCCTGGGGCTAGAGTTTGGCCAAAATAGCCATTTTTCAAAATTTCACTATATTCACCTGCCTTCTTGCATAACTTCCAAACCTATGCCACTGTTTACTTTAGTCGCCCAGTTATCAAAATCAGTTGAGAAAAATTTGGCTTATTATGGTTTATTGAATTTTTGGAACAAACACTTCATGCCCCTCTAAGGCGATGCAAAATGGAATTTTGAGCCTAATTCAGGCCATAAACAAACCAAATTGTTGACAAGAAGCCCTTATTCTGTATTTGGTAAGTGAAAATGAATTGTCAAAGCCAAATCAGTTTCGTTGTTTAGAAATACACCGATTCTTACCTTAAAAATTGATCTAAACGGGGCCTCTGATTAGCGCAACAAACACGTAATTTAGCAAAACAAAGGTGATTTTATTCTTTGAAAACCTAGTAACCACCATAGAACACAAATGATGATGTTCTGATGTACATATAACAATCTTTTTACAAGATGCTTAAATTTTTCTTTGATTTATAGTCAGTTTCACGTCATATTTCTAAGCATTACTCCAAGCATGAAAAGTCTCCATATTTTGTCAGGCCCATTTTTTAATATTTTTACCAGACAAATTTAGCTTATCAAAAGGTTCGTTAACATATAATCTTCGTCTGACCTTGTAATAGCCTGAATAAATGTTTTAAATACCCATCAGCGAAGGAGCATGACCATACATACGTAGAGTAGACAGACATATACGAGCTTCAGTGAGCAGTATCGAGGTGAACTGTGATTTTCCGAGTCCTTTAGAGCTGAAAAAATGAAACCATCCATCCACGGTTAGGAGAGCTGGATAACAAAAAGCTTGCTTTGCTTTTATAAAGAAAATAACCCAAACAAAGCCTCGCATTGAGATGATGCACTTGTTATTACATCAAGTTAGCTGGCCCGCCATTTTGGACTTGAAGAGTGTGGGGACTGGACCGAGTTCCCGTCCAATCCTTCTCCCGTTTTTCGCGGGAATTTTTTCTGTTTTTCATCAGGTGTGTTCGAAATTCTAGAAAGCGATCTGTTTCAGAATAATTTTATTTTCGATGGCACTTTATTCCTTTGGAGGAGTAAATGACCAGTGCGGTGTCACGTCATGGGCTGTGCAAGAAACAGGAATGCTTCCTTTGTTGTCTTGCGATAGTGACATGACTGCATGGTTGAAGCACAAGTAGAAGGGTTCAGGTGTGTCCGGAGAAGAAGAGGAAGAACTGGCGATGCCAAAGCTACAGGTGATTCAAATATCAGTTAGGGATCATATACGCGCACAAATGGCTTTTATCGTGATCTAGGCCACTCTTCTGACTGAAGAGAGATTTAGAGACGACGATATGTAATTTACGATACTGTCGTCTCAAATTGTTTGTTTATGGTTGATTGATTCCCATGTTAATATCCTTGGTCCTTAAGAAGAGCACTAAACATTCATCAAATTTGTCCAAACAAAAAACAAGTACGATAAGAATAACTTGAAGGCTGTTTTTTGTCTGCTCGAGCTTCTTGTTTACATTAAGCTTGTCGCCTGCACACGCTTATCTTGCAATGCACAATTCAGTTACCGGTTTCCATTATTTACCCTTTTCGTCGAAGATCTTTGCAAACATGCTGCATCTAAGTTTTTCGATGAAATTGACATTTTCAGGGAGAAAATGTCTCTAAAACGTCGTCGCAAAATCGACCGAATTAGTTGATATTATTGGATTTGCTTGGAATAATGCATAGGCAATGAATACACACATGTCGTACTTGAATGGGAACTGACTCTGAATCGTTCTGGAAGAGCACGGAAGATTTGTGTATATTTGTAGAAAAAATTGTTTCATTATTTAATTAAAAAATTATTTAAAATAATGTTAACTACTCAATTAAAAGAATAATGAAAAAATATACCTAAATAAGAGTGTTATCTTCTAAAACTCTCTAAAATTCCCTAAAAAACTCATAAAATTTTTATTCTTTTTTGATAGCGAGGGCCTCTTTTGGTGAATAACCGCTGATTAATTGTAGTGTAGATGACTGATGAAAAACTGCTGATTTGTTGTGCTCAGTGAACAGTACTCTAGACACTGTTGTAGCATGTGGGTGGACTGAGCCCTCCTCTTGGTTGGTAGGAAAACAGAAAAATAAAAACGTTTTTTCAACGTTTCTGCCTGTGAAATGTTGCTATTCAGTATTCTCCTATATATACTGCTATTTAAGTTCTAGTATTTGTCAATTTTTTTCTAATATTCTTGAGATTTTCTAAAATTCATTTTCGTGTCTAAAATTTCCAAAACAATTCCTGCGGAATTATGTAGCTAAGCCTATTTTAAGTTCACTTGTCTTCGACGAAACAGGCAAATAAAGGAGACCGGTGGAGTTTCAATGCAAGCTGGCTCGAATTGTGCATTGCCAAACTTAGCCTTGCTTGATAAGCGTGCCCACGTGACAAGCTGAATGTAAACAGACAGCTCGAGCAGACAAAAAACAGCCTTCAAGTTACTTCTATTATTGTTATTGTTATTATTTTTTTTTTTGATAAAGATATTGCTGCGATGAGTTTGTTGAATGTTTAGTGCTCCCTGTGCTCTTCGTAAGGACCCAGGAAATTAACATGGGAATCAATCAACCATGTGAACAAACAATTTGAGACGGCAATGTCGTAAATTATATATCATTGCAGTCTTTCTTCAAGCAAAAGAGTCCCGTAAACTGCGATAAAAATCATCGCTTCTACTTGTGCTTTAGCTATGCAGCCATGTCACTACCGCAAGACAACAAAGGAAGCATTCCTGTTTCTTGCACAGCCCATGACGTGACACCGCACTGGTCATTTACTCCTCCAAAGGAATAAAGTGCCATCGAAAATAAAATTATTCTGAAACAGATCGCTTTCTAGAATTTCGAACACACCTGATGAAAAACAGAAAAAATTCCCGCGAAAAACGGGAGAAGGATTGGACGGGAACTCGGTCCAGTCCCCACACTCTTCAAGTCCAAAATGGCGGGCCAGCTAACTTGATGTAATAACAAGTGCATCATCTCAATGCGAGGCTTTGTTTGGGTTATTTTCTTTATAAAAGCAAAGCAAGCTTTTTGTTATCCAGCTCTCCTAACCTTGGATGGATGGTTTCATTTTTTCAGCTCTAAAGGACTCGGAAAATCACAGTTCACCTCGATACTGCTCACTGAAGCTCGTATATGTCTGTCTACTCTACGTATGTATGGTCATGCTCCTTCGCTGATGGGTATTTAAAACATTTATTCAGGCTATTACAAGGTCAGACGAAGATTATATGTTAACGAACCTTTTGATAAGCTAAATTTGTCTGGTAAAAATATTAAAAAATGGGCCTGACAAAATATGGAGACTTTTCATGCTTGGAGTAATGCTTAGAAATATGACGTGAAACTGACTATAAATCAAAGAAAAATTTAAGCATCTTGTAAAAAGATTGTTTTATGTACATCAGAACATCATCATTTGTGTTCTATGGTGGTTACTAGGTTTTCAAAGAATAAAATCACCTTTGTTTTGCTAAATTACGTGTTTGTTGCGCTAATCAGAGGCCCCGTTTAGATCAATTTTTAAGGTAAGAATCGGTGTATTTCTAAACAACGAAACTGATTTGGCTTTGACAATTCATTTTCACTTACCAAATACAGAATAAGGGCTTCTTGTCAACAATTTGGTTTGTTTATGGCCTGAATTAGGCTCAAAATTCCATTTTGCATCGCCTTAGAGGGGCATGAAGTGTTTGTTCCAAAAATTCAATAAACCATAATAAGCCAAATTTTTCTCAACTGATTTTGATAACTGGGCGACTAAAGTAAACAGTGGCATAGGTTTGGAAGTTATGCAAGAAGGCAGGTGAATATAGTGAAATTTTGAAAAATGGCTATTTTGGGTTGTAATTTTAACATCAATTTTGGCCAAACTCTAGCCCCAGGCCCCTCTCTGTGCAATACCTTGAGGACAAAGTTACGTGCATGAACTGAAAGCTCTATTATAGTAGAGTTCATGGTCAAATTCATTTGGCAGCACAATTTACCAGTGGGGTCTTATCACACTTTCAAAATGCCCCCTGGGAGGCTGGATTTTTGGTGCTCAAAGGGCAAAAAATGAGACCCCCCCCTGTAACTCCAAAACTAAAAATCAGAGAAGTGAGCCAAAGTGGCTTTTGAAATATCCCATTATACCCAACTTCTTCACCAAGTTTCAGCCAAATCGGTTGACCACAACTTTTGGCCCCTGGAACACTTTCTCAGACAATGACACTTAAGTCGAAAGACGCCATTAGGACTATGCCTTACTGACCCAACAATAACAAAAACATTAATAATATGATTTTTGTCACTTTTTACTTACAGAAACGTATAGATGTTTGAGAGAACTGGACATGCTGTTTAGCGTAAATCTTTCCCGAACTAGATAAAAGCAAACACTATAACTGAACTATAACATCAGCATTCATTAAAAGTGATTTGGTATCAAGGTTCTATTTGTGCTTTTTATTTTTTACGCCTGTGAGGTCTCAGGCGCCACTAAGATGCAGAACATCATGGGAAGGATGCTATAGAAAGCAAAGCGTAGCATCGTTCCCAGGGTTTTCTCTACGCCTTGAGGCTGGCCGAGCCCCAAAACGAAGGGTGAGGTCCTGGAAACGAGATTGCGTGGCGATCGAGTGGTGTGTGATTTTTTACCCCATATGCCGTGTAAAAGGAAAGAGGAACGCGTGGGAACTGGGGAGGTAGTCGCTTTATTCCTGCATTTATTTCAAGGGGAGATTGAAAAACTTGAAAAGTAGGTGTTCATTTTCTGGTTGGGGTCACATTAGAGTGTGATTTCATAAGCGCTTCTCTTCGTCTTTAGTCGATCAGTAAAATGACTGGTCGCTCATCACATATCCATCTCTCTTGAGAATCCCGATGATTTTTCAGGCCGAAAATTAAAATGATCTATCACTGTCGGTGTAGTTAATCGTCGTGGCCTTCGAGGAATGGTTCATGAGGCGAGGGCTAGCCAAATTCCTCAATGAACAGGTTTTTTATACGAAGAAAATTTCCTAAAGATGAATGTCAAATGAGCTTTAGTAAAAGAAAACCCCCGATGTATTCTCTATTTTTTAAGATTCACTCATCAGTCAACGGCTTTCAGACCTTTTCCTTTTATCAAACTAGGAACTTAACTCTTTCCAAGGCCTTCCCCCTTGCCCGTTTTCTAAGGGAAGTGAATGCCTGGGTACGAGGCTGACAACGACCCCAAGTTTTTCCTTTTCTTGGATGTGTTTGCACTTCTTTTGAACTTCTTGCACCTGTGCTTACGTCGCTTATGAATAACCCAAGTTAAAAGAATAATTAAAAACACAAAAGAAAAACTGCAAATGCTTTTATTATTTCTTCATTCTTTTTGTAAAAAAAAATCAGGCAAGTAGTAAGACACATGCATACCGTGTTCATTATAACTAAAAATGGTACTACATAAACAATTTCTTTTCATTCTCTACCAAAAGTTCACTCTTCCTGATATTTCCTTTGACATATCCTTTTGGTCAGTCAACAGCCTAGGCGACATCCTTAGTGAGCCAAAAATGTTTTTTCTCATCAATGCGATGACAAAATTCGTGCATCACTGGGGTTCCCAAAGTGTTTACTTTTGGATCTCGAACTACCTAACAAGAAACATCATATCTTAGCTTTCAATGCGTCAATATTAAAGCTTTCTTATAATAGATTTAAATCAGTTTTTGTTTTTTTCATGACATAATGTGCAGCCATAGGAAAGATGTAAGCTTTGACTCTTGAATCATCTGCTAACCCAGACAAGAGGCTACTGTAACTAGCTGGAGTTAAACCAATTTTGAAGACGTCAGGGACATCAATGGTGCTGGGTAACTACAGAGAAAGCACAACAACCAAGACACCCTGGGAACGACGCTTGGTTAGCTCAGCTGTTTTAGTAGAGCAGCAGTGTGTGTTTGCACAGTACTATAAACGTTTAGCTATTTCGTCTTCGCCAAACGTGTAAAAAGTTCCGCCACTTTGTTTTTGCTGTACCTAAACAACTTCGTCTCCGGGGCTTCTCGGGTGCCGTCCATTTTCTGGCATTAACGCTGTGCTATTGACGTCATTTATCAAATTTCGTAAACGTCTTGCAAATGTGCTCAACTCTAACTAATTTGAGCCTTCCAGAAATGGAGAAACATGTTGAATGAATAACTTTGTCTTTCAACTCCATTTCTGCAAATCAATACGTCAAAGCAAAACGTACCTTAACATTTATCTTCTTCTCTCCTATACCAAGGCAAGCGCTGTAGAAGGGCTTTTTTTGTTTGATTCCATCGGCTCCCTCCTGCTCGCACCAGCCAATTTTAGGGAGATGCAACTCCTCGATGATATCATCGGTCAACGTCACTATATCGCTTCCAGAGTCAACCATGAACTTAACTCTTCGACTACGAAAATCCTTCACATCTTCTTTCGGGTGAAAAATGTCAGCTGTGAGACAAAGAAATTTACCGAACCTGTAAGGGAAGTTGAGACACCTACTCGTAACCCAGACGGGAATCGGGGAGATTTTTTCGCTGCACCTTCTTTCCCGTCCCCTCCTTTTTTAACCTTTCCCCTTCTTACCCGCACCACAAAGATGAAAATCGGGGAATCTAGTCGCTCACCTTCCTCCTCTTAACTGCTCGTGCTCTTCCCAGGCTCCCTCGGCCACCACTTTTCCTTGTCTCACCAGGTTTTGAGCTGTTCATATCAAAGCAACGCATGGTTCAGCTTAAGATAATTCAGTCCGTACTACCCTGACAAAACAGCCGACATTTTGCGATGCCACTACTGGTTTCGCCTCGAAATGACGTCTGAGAATACCCTGCTCGCATTGTAGTCTGAGAAACGAGCACAGCTCAGAAATTTCATACCCAGATCAGGGCAGTACCTCTGATTGGTAGTACCGCGTGGGACATTTGCTTCAACCAATCAGAAGCACTGCCCAGTCCTGGGTAGTGACGTATCATCAGTATAGAATTTCTTCGTTCGTTTCCGCCAGACATAATTTCGCGGGGAAACCAGCGCGGTGGCGTCGCCAAATGCCGGCTGTTTTACTAAGCTAATTCTGTACCATTCTGTTAAGTATTGCCAGTTACTAGCCACTACTTGCTGTGCATGGGAGTTAACGTTAATTTGCGCAAAGAAATTGTAAATCAGATAAAATTACGGCTTCGCTCTAAAGCGGACCAATCAGGCCATGCAATAACCAGAATACCTTCAACTGACATGATAGAACGGCTTGACTACCACACAGGTTGTCGAAATCGCAGTAACTGTCAACAACAGTCCTATACAGGACTACGCTCACCCGAACGATCACATTAAACCTATATCTACTTATGAAATTGAAAACTATAAACAACAGAGATAACTTAAGCTGTTAGAATGAACATGCAGTTAATCTAAACACCAATTACCATCCCTGTTAATCGTCTTCAATTTTGTCCTTTGAAACTTATTTTGTATTTGCTGTGTTGTTTACACCTTTCTTGAAATTGTGAAGAGATTATTTTCATCTAACTGAGCTATGTCACCCAAGATCTTGTTTCTTGTTTCAAACGTTTGTAATAATAATAATACAGTGGAACCTGTCCTTTGGTACACCCCCATTCAGGGGACACAAAATTTTTGTCCCGGATAAATGTTCTCATAATCTTTGTATTTGTTACCTCTGTAGGCCGTTTGCAGCTAGGGTCACGTGATCAAATCTTTCCTTAAAAAGCCTAAATTATGGGCTATAACTTAAAGAATGCCAGAGATGGAAAGAGCATATCGAAGATACTAAACTGGCCAAGTTCTGACCACTGGAATTACAGAGTACTGTTTATACAGCAGTTTGAACTTTCGGAAAATTAAGAGGATTTGTATGGAAAATTTTGCTGGAGAGCAGGGCCTTTCTCTCCAACAACATTTTCCATACAAATCTTTCATAAAATCTCATTCTTGAATGATGGGGGCCTCAAACTCGGCCATTTTGATATTTTCGACATGCTTTTTCCATTTCTGAAATTTGCTCAGTTATGGCCCATAATGTTATGAAAAGTAGGTCACAAGATGGCTTAGCTGCAAAGGGCTTATTGAAGAGACAGCTCTCTTCAGAGGAAAGGGAGACTTTTTGTGGGTCCCGAAATCCAGGTCTATCCCCATTTAGGGGACATCTTAGCACCCAAAACGTGACTGGCCACAAAAATCATTAATAAGAGTGTGCGCTAATCACAATGGCGACAGCTTTCAAAACATAAACTATCTCACCTAAATCGATGTACTGCACTTGCGGAAATTCAACATACAAAATCGCAGAGATAATTTAATCACTGTTTTTAATAAATTATCGAGCTGCTTGAAATAATAACTACTAACAACAGATTCCGAGGAAGAATAAAAGAAAAATGTCTTATTTATTGGTTAATTATTGACAAACCCCTGCCCAACCTGCAGTTTATTCAAGAGACACTTGCCTCGGTAACGAGGCAGCCCCTTGAATGGAATTTCCACTGAGTGAACAGTGGAATCTCGATATAACGAAGTGGCAAGGGATCGGCTAGCAAAATTTTCTCGCTATAACGAGTTTTCGTTATATCGTGGTACTTTCCCATATATTTTCCTGTCAATGGGGTAAACAAAATCATTCGTGACACCGGGTTCTTCGCTATATAGAGGGTTCCACTGTATTTGATTATTTTATACAGCATCTAGAAAGTTTGTAATCTGTGCAGGACCTAGTCGTTTGATTACCTTCCCTGTAAAGCCGCCTTTTATGTCCTGGAAGATCTATGCCCATGTCAGTCAGTGACTGCAGGCTCATTTTAGCGCAAAGGGCCAAACTTGTGAAGCCAGAGGCCTGAAACTGATTAAAATACTGTTCCAGTCCTAAAGAGTGAAGCCACATTTTCACTAGTTCAGGGTCTGAAAGGAAAAATCATTGAGGAGTATTCGACCAGAGTGAGGTCTTCACTCTTCACTAATCTCTTAAGGTGGCTCCGTAATTTATACTAGAGCTTTTTGCTGTGACAAATTTTCCGTCATAACTTTTTGGTTTTTAACGGGATGGCTGCGACACTTTGCAAACAGAAACAGATATCGTTCGGCAATAATACGAAATATTCCGATTTCATTGATGGTAAATATTTCTTGAGAAATTAGCGCTTAAAAGGACCCTACTGTTCAAAGAAAATCGCGTCTAGTAAAAAATTTTGCTGATATTTTTTACTGAAATTTCTGGAATCGGCTTTCTTTGATATAATAAATATGCCAGAAAAAATTTCAGAAAAATCGTTGGAGCAGAAGTCCGTAACTAAAAGTCGCTCAAAATTCAGCTGTGAAATTGTTTTGGAATTTCAAAAATAAATTACTATCAGGGAGAAGGAGCCACCAGTTTGAATTTTCGGGACAAGTAAATTCAACGTTTGCTAATTCTTAAAACAAAAGCCGATTGCCTATCGTGCTATTCTTTAAAAGGTACTTTTTAGTTTTAGAAGGACTATAAACTGCTCCAAACCTTGCTCTGAAGTAGAATGACTTGTTCTTCGACAGTTTTAAAATCTCCCTTGACAGTTTTGGCTCAAACTCCTGCTGCATACATTTTGATGTATTGCAATGCATTTTCAACGGCTTTTCCTGCTGTTCGTTGCTTCCAACTCAGGAAAAAAGTATTGAGATTGGACGCTACCTCGTATCAGAGCTCAGATAGAACTCTCCAGCACCTTTGTTTATGACTAAAAAATGAGCACGAGCGGCAGTTCTGCGAATAACATCACAGTGCAAAATAAAATTATCGCAAAAATACTGCCCGTGAATAAATTTACAACTGTGAAATTTTTGTCACTCCTTCCTTCAATGAATGGGTATTTTTTTCTTGATTATTATGTTTTGCTCTGCAATACATGTTTATGCAGATCGGTTCACAGACATGGGCATCATTGTCATTCGTCCCCCCTGGCTGAGGTGCGAATTCCTCGCTGGGCTGCCGCTGGTGCTCATTTTCTGGTCATAAACAAAGGTGCTGGACAGTTCTATCTGGGCTTCGATACAAGGTAGCTTACAATCCCAATACCTTTTTCCTGAACTGGAAACAACGTACAGCAGGAAAAGCCGTTGAGGATGCATTGCAATACATCAAAATGTATGTAGCAGGAGTTTGAACCAAAACTGCCAAGGAATATTTTAAAAATGTCGAGGAACAAGTCATTGGACGTTAAAGCAAAGTTTGGAGCAATATATAGTGCTTCTAAAACTGAAAAGTACCTTTTAAAGAATAGCACGATAGGCAATCGGCTTCTGTTTTCAGAATTAGCAGTCACTGAATTTACTTGTCCCGAAAATTCAAACTGATGTCTCCTTCTTCCTGATAGTAATTTATTTTTGAAATTCCAAAACAATTTCACAGCTGAATTTTGAGCGACTTTTAGTTACGGACTTCTGCTCCAACGATTTTTCTGAAATTCCTCTGGCATATTTATTATATCAAAGAAAGCCGATACCAGAAATTTCAGTAAAAAATATCAGCAAAATTTTTTACTAGACGCGATTTTCTTTGAACAGTAGGGTCCTTTTAAGCGCTAATTTCTCAAGAAATATTTACCATCAATGAAATCGGAATATTTCGTTTTATTGCGGAATGATATCTGTTGTTTTTTTGTAAAGTTTCGCAGCCATCGCGTTAAAATCGAAAAAGTTATGACGGAAAATTTGTCACAGCTAAATGCTCTTGTATCAATTACGGAGCCACCTTAAGTAAGGAAAGAATAAGCCTTATTTTTTTAATTTATTTCAATTCTTTCCAAACTTTAGAGATTAGTGGAGAATAAAGACCTCGCTCTAGTAAAACCCAATCTGAAAAACACTTAACCAGTGTAGGATGAGACACAAAAAAGGTCAGAGTCAGTATTTTCTCGATATGATGGGAGAACTAATAATCTCTAGTATAAATAGAATCCGTGTATGGTAATACCACTAGGAGAAAAATTGGCCTGCTAGCTTGTAATAATAAATCATCCTTTCTTTATTCTTCACTCTTACAAATTGTCGACGATACCCACTTTCGAACAATATGTTTTGTAATCCCCCCGACAGTCCACAACCCTTCACCCATGGATTCTCCCATCCTCATTCTGTATACAAAAGGTTTCGAGAAAAATAGTTGGGACACTTCCACTCGAACGCTATTTTTTCCGTTCTCGCTCGTCTCCTCTCTCTCCCAATTTCGTTTGTCGCAGGTAACTTAGCAAATCTTTTACTCCAACATTGGGAGGACAGGGAGAAAGTAGTGTCCCAACACTTTTGACTGAGACTGTAGTTAAATCTACGAAATTTAGCGTGAAACGGCCCACTTTGTGACGTGCGGCAAGATCTGCTGAAAAGTCTGACGAGTTTCGAAGTGCTGAGTGGTCATGTTTTGAATCTTCTCGAGATTTTATTCGATGTGAAAAAGGCGTCAATTAGTCAGAATAAAGTGATTATCAGTCACAATGCATACGACCATTTCTTATGACATTTAATAATACAACTCGATCCAGATCATTGTTATCGAACACGTGTTGCATGCATCGCCGCACAGTGAATTTCATTATTTCAGTTTTCGAAGTACTTGTTCCTATAAAACAATGCCTGTCCATATATTTCCTTGAAAACATCAATAACATTGAAATAAATCCATTATTTCACGGTAGGGCAATAATCTGGTTAAAAGCGTTAAAAGTATTACTGTTTAATTCATTTGTTGAGTTGGCGGAAATAACTTTTTAAAAAGATGTTAGTTGTTGATGCACGTGTCATAATAATGTTTTCATAAAACAAGTTAATATTTGCATGAGTGCAGAGACCATGCGACACAGCGCAGCTTACTCGGTGTACTCTTAATTTCACTTAAGTCCGATAACAAAGAACAGATAACAGATATACGGAGCGTTATTGTATCCGCAAGGACTACTGGTATTATATAATTGGGTTTTCTAGGATTACTCGACCAATGAGAATGGCCTATAACAGCGTTCAGTTTATGGTTTACAAGGTCAGTATATTAGAGGTTGTCTTGAGAGTATTTTATAAAACTGATATAGCAGGCGAAAGAATTTTCTGCAGGTGCAAAGACTAGAAAATGCTCATATTAAGTGACTCTCAATTTAATTTTTACTACAAAACTGTCAAGTACCTTTCTGAAGTGCTGCTCTGTAGCTTGATTGTAGCTTTTCATCCTGGATAAGCGAGGTAAGATCTTCGTTTTCAAGATATAAAATATCGCACACACGGTCATATCCGCGCCCAGAAAAACGAGAAGAAAAGTCTTGCAGACCCAGTTGTTTCAAGAGGTGACTCACACTACCCTCCTCGGATGACATCTTAATTCAGTTTGTAACACGGACGGGACTCAGCAAATTCGTGGCCAGTTGTATTAGTTCCAGTTTTTCTCAAAGGCAGTAATTTAAATCTGTTGACCGATGACAACTTCACTGGTAGACTCAATGAAATTATTCCTACGTCCTCGGTGCTCGTCACTCAATTGTCAACTATCATTGTGTTTTCAGATTTTTCCTCATTAAAATTATCACTGGACGCTATTATGGCGTTACCTAGCAATGAATAGGCCACAATTCACTTTATTAGCCTTTGCTGCAGTCTAAAGTCTTCAGGTGCTCGAATCGAAGGACAGGAAGCCTCTATGAGTTATATGTGTTCATTAGAGACTTAGCGCACGTGAGTAAATACGGGCCAAATCCTATTAGGAGACACTAGTATCAAAGCAAGAACTTTAACAAGTTGCTTTGTAAACAAAGCACCCACGTGTCAGAGCGGAGAAATATCGTACAGCTGAGTAATTATTCCTTTCACGAACTTGACAATCTCACTTCATTTTCAATTGAAAAACTAACCGGAATACCCAACTACTGTCTCTGTCCTGTCAAATATCTTTTCGACTGGGAAGTAACTAATGGATTGAACTTTCTCTAACCGACGGAAAGGCTAAAAAAAAATTGGAGATGACTGTGCCATTAATCATAACCCGTCCATTTATAGATGTTCGAAACGTCACTATTTACTGACCACCGCTCAGCCAGGTTGAAAGAAAGATGAGAAATAAAAATAAATTTTCTCCTCTAGAAAATAATCATTTGTTTTTCAACTTAAGTCAGCGGACACCCAGAAAATTGCCTTGCCTAACTACTATCTGTTGCTCTGCTTTCCCGCAGCAAATTTCCAAATTACCCGGTGATTCTCAGAAAGGTCCAGCTTAATTCTGGGAAGCAGATTTATATGTATTATATTATAAATTCTTGGAAATACCGCTGTCTTGGAGACTCCTTTGAATAAAACGACTCGACCTCTATAGGAAGTCTGTGTTAAAGATGTCTTCCGAAAATGCAGTATGTTTTATTGGCTAAAGTTTTTTACTACTAGAACGGGTGAAATCATAAATAGAATCGGTAAATGTTCATGAATGAGTATCCCCTGGTCTGTGTGCGTTTACGTAATAGATTTGATCGCGCTAGACCGTGAGTCACTTTTTGCCGCGCGAGAAGTTACTTTGACGGGTAAATTAAACGTTTCTAAAATGACTTTTAAAATGTCGTATAGCCTGTCCTGAAAGATTTTGTTGATATCATGATCGACATTGACCCATGATCACTCCAAGCGTGCAAGCCTAGAGATAGAGCAATTTTCAATTGAGTGTTGAAAGTAATCCAGGATTGAATTGGTTTTGCTTTACTGTGCTGTTTGATTGGTTTAGAAAACTCGCGCCACCTTCTCAGCCAATCAGATGTAAACTAAAACCAATCGCTCCTTGGTCACTCGCGTTTTCCCGCGCTACAGGCCGGTTACACGCGTTTACTTCGAGTTGCCATTGGCTCCCTCTGATAATTTCCTTTACTCTGATTGGCCGTTGTGATTATTTTGGTTTTGGTTTTCGACACTCAATTGAAAAGCGCTCTATACACCAGAAACCGTTTGATTTTCTTTCTTTTTGAAACCTAAAAGTTAAGTAAGGAGGGAGTGTGGCCGAGGCTCTGAAGTCCCTCCCTGAATGCTAGCCGGATTTGTTCGCGGCAGTCCCTAGTTCAAATGCTCGACCTCGCTTGTAAATAGCAAATAGGCCTTTCACGGTTTTGGAAACCATCTTAACGAGTAGGCAACCACGTGAGAAATTACAGTGTTTGTATGAGAAATTAATGTCGAATAATTTCCGTAAAAGGGCTGTTCTGAAAAAAAATATGAATTGCAAACTAATAAAAGCCACACAGCAAAGGATTTTACTAATGAATTTTGTGGACCTTTACTGTGCTTAAATTTCTCCAGACGCTTGCTTTAGATTTTCGATATATTTGTCTGCAATTTTTCACGGGAAATTTTAGGGCCTCTTCATATGAGCCCGGTTGACCGGGCTGGCCCGGTTTCCGAGATCTTGCCTCACCTCTAAATCCTTTGTAAAATTTTCGATGTGTTCATATGAGAGGGTGGGCTGGCTCGGTTCCTGAGATCTCGGTTTTTCCAACCGAGATCTCGGTAAGCGGGCTGGAAATTTTGCCATATGAACACTTCATCCCGGTTATCGGGATGAACGGCGGCATGAATTCTGGCGGCCCGGATGGCATTGTCTTGCATTGCCTGCTTTATTTTCCACATCATAAGCATCCATTTAACTGCAGTGATACAGCTTTAAGAGTTACCGATGCTAAGATAGGCCCAAAAGTTAAAATTTTTGTGTTTCGCTCTGTTTGCTTTGTTTCCTAAATTTGGCGCCAGAACTCGTCCCCAGGATCTTTGACCTTTTCTCATATGAACCCAAAGCAAAATTCATCCCGGTAACCGAGCCAGCCCGGTCAACCGGGCTCATATGAAGAGGCCCTTAGTCGGCAGGAAGAGAAATTTTTACAGACAAATGTATAGCAAAATTTTAATAAGTGGTTCTAGCGTATACAACTCTGTTTTCTTCTCTAGCGTATGTAATTCCAGGGGCACCCAACGACAATTTTCGGGAAAATATCTGTTCGGAAGACGATTTGAGATCTAGAATTTTCGAAACATTTGTTGTAAAATTTCTTGCTTGCCTGCTTCTCCTAAGATTTTCGAACATCTAAAATATGGTATAATTGCCTATTTTTAACGGATTTTTACTCTAAAAAGGTCACCTACAATTTTCGGGAGCCTTTTTTCTGGCTGAATTTTTCGAAAAGGTAAGTTTTGATCCCTATAATTTTCGAATCACTAGACTTTCAGCTAGGAAATCCGAACAGATGAAAAATTTTTAGGGGATAAAAATATGTCTATATTTACCGTTTAAATACCAAAATACGTTTAACAATGCTATGTTTTAGTGGTTTTGAACTATATTCTCGTTGGGTGCCCCTGTAATTCTATGCCCTCAAAGTTTTTCGTTAGAGTCGTTAGGAGTGGAGCTTTAGTTTACAATTCATATTTTTTTCAGAACAGGCGTTTTACGGAAATTATTCGACATTAGATTCTGAACACGCTGTTGCCACGGTCTATTTCATCCCGAAGTCCTTTCCGTGTTTGCTTCTTTTCCTTTGCAGTTTTCCTCAAACTATCAAGTTAGCTTTGAAATTCAAGGACTTTCCAGCACCTACTGCAATTTTCAAGGACTTCGAAGGCCTTAATTTTGTATTTATAAAATTCAAGGACTTTCAAGGTGCGAGTGAACCATGCATGTAACTAGCGCTAATGTTGGGAAGGACTCCCTAAAGCAAAATCGGTTCGAATGGCGCCAAATGGTTTGGGTTCCTGACAAATGGACAAGGTTTGCGAAACAAGGATCTGGCACACCCTCAATCGAATTTTCCAGGAGTAGCTAACCCGTTCTATGTACCATGACAAAAACAAAAACACAGACGATACTGCTACTGTTAATTTCATTTATTAGTGTCTGCATACACATTCCACTTAGGGAAATACTGTAGGGAAATACAGATTAAGATTACGTCTACAGTAAAAACCCCAACTAAGAATCAGCACTTTCCCAAGCCAGCCTAAACAGTCAAGTTAGGTTCTTAGATAGGTTCTTATTTTCTGAAGAAAAAAATACACAGTAGCTGAGAGTATTTATTTTATTGGTATTCAGCTCATTCCTAAGGCACCCATGTCTCCAAAGAGGATTCTGAATGTTGACCTATCTTATTTGCCCAAGTGTACAGAATTTTTTTTAATAGATTTGAGAAAATAAGAACCTGTTCTGAATTTCAGGCAAAACAGGTTCTTGTATACAGGGGGCTTAAACATTTTAGCCCAACAGGTTTTTACTGGTTTTTACTGTATTGTGACTCCATTTTATCTCTGATGCAAGAGTGTGTTGTACGTCATTGTACTACGGCGAACATAAAAAACTCATTGGCGATTACCTCATGCAGTAATAGTTGGGTTAGTGTGAATTTCGTTTAGCGCTTGACTGCCGGTGGAGTAAGGGGAACTGAAGGGTGGAGTACTTTCCCCCCTTCCCTCCCCCTCCGCCTCGCCCTGCTCTTTCAGTCTAACTTCCACACACGGTACTTCGTCATCCAGTAACACCTTTCTTGTGGGCGGCTGGAAATTAAGCCTGTCGACTGAACGTAACGAGCTGAGGAAAGGCAGCCTGGTCTCTAGGTCAATTCGTGCTATGCGAGTGCGCGGAGAAGGCTTAACGAATCCTCCCGACAAACTAGATGGGTGAAATGAGGAGGAAGGAAAGCTTTCCAAAGATAAAATTGAATCACTCAAAGTTTATCTTGTAAACAACTATCGGCTCTTTGTGAGGATAGAAGACACAATGTTCTGTCAATCATATATCACGGTCCACAGAACCTAACCCAGAGGCAACTGATTTCGTCAAATTAAAAAAAAAATTGGATAAGTAAATGAAAGAAAGTTAACGCAACAATTAAGAAAGTGGAAAGAAGTGACTGATGGAAGCAATATGTGAGAATTTTTCATAAAAAAATATATATACAAAAAATGCAACGAAGGCAAACAAGTAGTAATAGTATACTGGCAGTCAATGCCAAAACAATTGAAGCAAACTGATCAAGCACGTGCAGACCAGCAAACAACCCGGTAATACAGCCGTCTCTTCAGTCTCGCTCCTGGGACCCGTTTCTCGAAAGTCCCGTTAACTTTACGGGCCCGAAATCAAATATTCAAATCGAGATATAAAGAATATGAGCGCAGGTCCTAGCTAGCAAACTGCTCCATTTTGTTTCACTAACTGGTAGTTTTATCATGTTAGATGCAAAACTATTAAAACCTCGATCTTGAATGTAAACGGGGACAGCGTACCGGGCCCGTTAATTATCGGGACTTTCGAGAAACGGGCCCCTGGCCGGTAGGGACGTGACGCGGGAGAGTCGTTCTCTCTATCCCGCGAAACGCCCCGAGCGGGGAGGACCGGGGAAAGAAGGCTGCATTCGTACTGAGAAAATGCTATTATCTATGACTTCCTAGTCTAAAGAAGTTGAGCAGAAAAAGTAGCTACTTCAAGAGGCGCTGTTCCGTAACAGTTAAATACATGCACGGTAAGTTTTCTGGTTCAAACTTAAAGCGAAAGGCTGTGTTTTAAATATTCTCCTTCGACATTTTAAGGAATCGCCGAGTTCAAAGGGCTTTGAAAGAGCACCGCACTCACGTCCGTGTTCCGCTTCATTCTGAGCAGCGCCAATTGCATCAACTACGCAGGGTAAAAAAATAACTTCAATTGAACACAAAAATACCAAAATAAAATATTGCCGAATATTTTCTCACTAAAATGACTAACAATCTAGCACATGCTTGAAGCTGCCATTACTTCCACATTTCCGTTCTGTGCTAACACAGAACCATCAAATCAACCACAAAGAAATTTTATCATAATATAGAGAATAGTCCCTACTTTTCAAAATTTTAAATAATTTTTCCCTTATTTTTCGGAGTTTTAATTTTTTCCTGAACAAAACAGGCGGAATTTCAAATAATACAAACGGACTTTCATAAGAAAAATAATGACACCAAAATAATTATATACAACTCAAAACTGTTTTCTTTCACCCCTGCATTCAACAGCCAAATGCCAAATTATATTTCGTAAAACCACGAAAGGAGAGGAAACCATCTGAAATAACTACTGAAGAGATTTCAGTTGAATGGGCATATCATAGGGTTTTGTTTTGCAGTCTCACAGTTTAGAACTACAAACAAAACAAGCTACCCGACACATGAAATAAGAACTAAAGAGGTTACAATTGAATGGCTTTATCATAACCAGTAGCGGATCCAAACCTTCAGATAAAGGGGGGCCCGGTCATCCAGACTCTGAGATAAGGGGGGAGGGACGGGGAGGGGCGGTCTCGAAAAAAATTTTCAACCCTTCGGGCCTCAGTTTGGTCTAAAAATAAGGGAGGCGGGGCCCTCCGGGCCCCTCCCCACAATCCGCCACTGATAAAGATTCTGCACCCTGTCAGCAGAGCCTCCTGGCCCCAGTTGTTCAAACGTTGGTTAGCGCTATCCACTGGATAAATCGCTATCCAGCGGATAGCGTAATTGATTTCCGTAATATTTATTCGCTGGATAGTTATTTATCCAGCGGATAGCACTATCCAACGGTTGAACAACCGGGGCCAGGCCTTTTGCCTTCTTCTGGTCAGTATCTCATGTAAGAATCCATAATATGTCCCGAATAGTCTTCTTGATCGAGGAGGAGAAAAGGAGACTGCTCTCACGAATCACGTCACGCTTTTGAAGTCGCCGCAACCCGAACGTCTGGACTAGTCAATCCTATTTTCTCTCGTCAAACTAGTCTTTCCAAGGCGAGCATCCGTTTATCGATAAACCAACGGTCATAACTGAGCTCGCTGTACCAAGTGCACGGCTCTTAGGCCTGGGTTTGAAACTGTATTCTAGCAACATAGAGCGCATGCTCAACAAAGACCTTACTCGATTCATGCAGTTTTTTTCGAGTACGCCAAAATGAGGCAAGCTGCTGGCAGGGTGAGGATTCCATTTACACAGCCAAATAACGTATCTTTATCGTTAAATACAGGGGTGAAAAGGGCAAGGAAGAAAAGAATAAGATCATAACATATTTGGTGTTAGTCTCCTCGAGGTTTCTTTAGTGTGGTGTCATAACGACGGATGAGCTCAGCCTGGGACAAACAAACAAAACAATCAATCAATTGATAATAACTGGCCAAAAAATTACTGTAGAATAATAAAGCGATATTCGGTCTTATCTTGTGCGTCGTTAAAAAAAGGACCCGTTTATATGAGCCCGAAAAACGAGGGTCTCCAAAAGTGGACCCCTCTGCACCAGTCAAGAGCGGAAAACAGCGCTCGCGCACGCCCTGATTGTCTATCTGATAGTCTCGAGTTGACCTGGCTTGTCGAGCCAAAATGTTCGTATGAAGAAAGGCTGGCCCGGCTAGCCGAGCCAACTTTTTGTTTCTCGTGTAAACGGTTTGCCAATTTATTAAGGAAACCTAGGAAAAAGGTTGCCCGCCCAGGGCAGCTCAGGTGGGCGAGTGACTCTTCTACCCGGTGCAAGTTTACTCGTCTCGGCAGTGAAGGGTATACGGGTTCCCCCGCTTATTATATTATCATGGCTATGCCATGTTGATGAGCCCCAATAAGGGCGAAACAGCTGTCCATGGCTGCCACTGCCGGGGTGATATGGTTGTACGCGAGCATGCGTAAGGTACTGGCCATACCGCAGAGTTGGTACGTGTGCCTCAGTGCATAATTTGGTATTTTTTCATATTTTTGTTTATGTCATCAAGGCCAGGGTCAAACGTCTAATTTCATATGTGCCGAGCCTTATGCTAATGAGCGACAATAATAGAACACCCTAACTAACATTAGTTCCGGGACTTGTGAGACTAGACGAGTTTGACCCGGATCTAACACAAAAATCTGTGTAAACAAACGGCTTCAACATGCACAGTTACAGACCTGTCCTACTCGTGCATCTTCTTCTTGAGAAAACGCGAAACCGACTGCAGCCAAAAAGAAAAGAACAAGAAATGTTAGTACAACAAGAAAAACTTACTAAAACTAAAAACATGCTGGTTAACAGAAAGAGTGTGTCCTGATCAGATGGGTAAAGTCAGAGGCATTAGACGAGGTAAGGTAAAATTAAAGGCTTTCTAAAAGTCCGTTTTAGTTAGGTCATCGGTCAGTCGTTTACGCGACTTCGTCGCTCAAAAAAGGCAGATTTAGAATCCAAACAAAGGCAAAACGCTTACGTGCAGAGGCGCCGCGGTCTTTTCTGTCTTCAAACGCTTCGTCTCGAGTCCATATTTGCCTGTAAATGAAAAGACCACTACGTAAATAATAGTGTCTCCGAAAGATGGACGCACACATCATTCAGCGTAGCCATCGCAATATTGTTAACAAAGCTTTGTCAAGGCACCGTTAAGTCCATATTGTTTAGTTTTGCCAGTTGCTCGCTATAAAACTTAGTGTTGGCGAAATATAAGAGTTAGTTGTAAATGACAAAATGACAGCTTTTTGACATAATATTACGTTTCCTACGCAAACCAAAGATATAAACATAAGAGATGGACTGTTGGGCTGAACAATTTTTAAAAAACCACAATTGCCCCGATCAAGTTTCTTGAACTTTCTCCATCTTTGCCTCTTTCATTTGCTACGCATTGCAGTTGTGGGAGATTTCAAAAAGCAGGAGGCGGGGTTGCCAAATAATTGTTATTCTAACACCATAGAGCATACTGTACTTACTTGTGGACCGCATGATCGGATTTTATGAGCCGGCTTGGATCTCCCTGGAGGCAAAACATTATAATATAATTTATAATCAATGAAAATACTATAAAATTACAAAATAACTAGAAATACGTTTATGAGGATCAACACAAAAGGAAAATTTAAGTGGGCCGGCCCAAGGAAAATACGAAGTGAAAATGAAAAACGTAGAGAGGAAGCGCACGGAGCCGAGGGTAAGGTGAACGTAGTAAACGAATGAGGTCAGCTTGAAAAGAAATAAGCGTTTACATAATGGAGAGTGGCACGAAATGGAGAGCGGAAGAACAAACAGCCTCTTGATACCGTCCCCTCCATCTGACCACCTGGAATCAAGGCTACGAAGAAGACGCTTACGCATCGATCAGCTGGTTCAACTTACATGCTCAGTTTCTACTTCTTGAATTTCCTGCATCAACGTCTTGAAAAACGTTCTTTTAAATCTAACGAGATAGAAAAATATTAGTCAAGTTACGTGCTAGCAAGAGAAAATAGTAAGTGTGATTCACATTTCAATTACAACAAACGAAGAGAACATGCCTCAGTTTCACTTTATTAATGTTACTAGAATACCTTTCAAAAAATCGATATCACTTGACAACAACCTCCAACGATTTTTTAGAATAAATATCAAAGTGCCAAAAGTTGACAGGGCAGGCTTCTATTTTACTAAATTTTTCCATTTCGCATTGAACGAGGACTCTTCTTAAAACTAATACAATTCGGGTCTTGCATCCTGACTAAAAAAAATGTTACCTAAAATGTCACTGTTTTGAAACGGTTCCAGTTTGCTCCTGCCCTAAAAAGCTTAAAAAGCGTCCTTTGCAGTATTATTAACGAGGGCATAACACTAGGCCATTTCAGAGTTCACCAGGGCCTCTGTATCAAAACGAGGTTAAGCGCTCAGCCTTTGATATGGAAAAACTAATTTTCTCAAGAAAGGTTTTGAACTTCACCTCATTTTGAAAGTGAGGGTTTTTTGGAACTCGGAAGTGTTATTATAGAACAGAAAAAATAAATTTAAACTTACATTTTGTAAAGGAAGTCCGCAAGGAGAGTTATCATGGGTATAATAGAGAGAGAAATCCAAAACACCGCACATGAGTATAGCATACGATCCTACAATACAAAAGCAGTGGTAAAGCGTAAGTGTTAAATTTAAAGAAGAAGAAGTTATAGACGCATCTTTTGCAGTTGCAAAAAGAAAATTCAGTCTTGTACGGGCTCTGCCAACTGAGCTCAGTAACAAGCCAACTCGGATCTGGTCATTGAGTCGGCTCGTTAAAAACCCATAAAAGGATGACGATGATGTGATGAATATACGAATCACACGAAAGAATTACAGGTAGTAAGCGTCGTTAAAGAGAACAGGCTATGGGAGTATTTCTTAGAAACAGACTGCCGAACGAAAGTTCTAAAATTACTTGAATTACCTGTAAAACCACTTAATCATGTTCTTCGATATTGGCCAACCGTGGCCCATACAATGGACCCAAGTTGGTAGACTGAATAAACATACCTGGCCCATCATATCAGGTGCGATGTACAAAGCTATATCAGGGATACAGTAAATTAGCAAGAAAATAAACCAGCTGGCAATACTGCCCCATATGGCCACATGACAGAGCTGTCAAGAAAAGAGAAAAACTTGTAGATTAAAGTCTTCCTTTACTGGAAAGGCATTAAAAGCGAAGACAATCACTGTTTTTCCACATACCCAGTTCCAAGTGTCCAATTCCATCCCGGCTTTTAAACAAACAGTTATGACGACAAGCTGTAAAACGAGAGATCAGGAAGACCTTATTCACTGAAGATACCTGTGGTCTTCCTGGCAAGCGCGTGAGGATTGATGGTATAAAAGCAATATCACGTGGTTTCTCGATGGCAAACAGCTTAAAAATAGTGGCGAGTTTGTCTATTCATTCTATTTTACACAAAAGATGAAAAATTTGTAAGGACGATAAAAGGAAAGAATAGGTCTGTGATCATTGCCCCGTTTAACTCGTGTTTGGTTGCAATATCCCACTGGTGAACAATAATGACACGAAACCCGTTCTTTACAGGGGAGGCGTGTGTGGCCGAACGGTTAACACCTCGAGATCCGGATCTGGAAGTCCATGGTTCAAGCCTTGCCCGTCGCGTTGTTTCCTTAGATAAGGAACTTTACTCCACTTTGTCTTTCGTGTATAAATGGGTACCGGTGTTATACTGCTGGGGGGGGGGTAACACTACGATGGACTAGCGTCCCGTTCGGTGGGAGTGGCAGTACTCCTAGCCATACTTCATGACAAGGAAACCGTGATAAACTCCAGTTGTTTTGGGCCTTTGGCTAGTGTGCGCTTTTACATTTTACCTTTTACATGTTGCAAATAGGCTGATTTCTCATTTTGACGGGATAAAAAAACTTCATTGCGATTGTTTAGTCGTTTGCATCTTTCATCTGTTACCTGCTAAATAAAAGGCCACGTGGCATTGTACCCCATCAATACCTACGTGTTTGTAAAGGTGGCCGCTGATATAAGTTCTTCTCACTAATTCTTAATTCATACTTGTTCTTACGATTAAATACAATACGTTTGACGTTGAATGATGTCTGATTCAGTGCGCAACATACCGTGTACACGACATTTCCCAGGAACCACTCGCCTACGACTACTCCACTTCTAAACGGAGCCTCTGAAAAAACAAACCACAAAAGAAACGAGAATAGACCTTATTCACGATACCCACCATCTTTGCACGCGCGTAACCTTTTAAGTCCCAATAGTGACCAACAGCAATTTTCTCCTAACGATATCCATACATTGTCATGAGATGAGGTTATGAGAATTAATAAAATGATCACCTAAGAGAAAATACTTTGATCTTTTATCAAATTCTCTTAACTAATTCTTAAAGGAAATGTATAGAGATCAGTTTGGAGAATTTGTATGTGGATATTGGGGCTTAAAATCGTCCTCATGTTTTGAGAGAACAAACAAACCGCCGTACCGCGATTACTCGTATTTGTTTCCCCCTCTTCAATTCTACAGCGCGTAAAATGATGGTGGGTGTCGTGAATAAGGTCTAGTCAGAAGTAAGAAAGAAATTCGTTCAAACCTAAAAAAAACAGACATCAGTTGCGTAACACATAACGCAAGACGTAACTGTTTGACTGGGCCAAACATCAGACGTTAGCGTTTACGTCCGACGTGAATAGGGACTTTAAGATCCAACGACGCGGACGGCAACAAGAACGTCAAAAAAAAAAAACAATAGGTTTTATAAGCAAAACAACAACTTTGCACGTGCACCACGCTTCTTTGTACATTTCTCTGCCCGTTTTTGCACGACTACAACGTGAACATGCCTAATTTCGCGTTTTATGGATAACGTAAACAAGCAACGACGAAATTTTATTTCTCTTTTTGTTCTTGAATATGGTGCCTAGGAATTCAACTCCGGGAGGGTTCGCCTACATTTAACAAAGTAAGTGGGTAAGAATAATTGCGGAAAAGACTGAAAGAACGCAAATTCACTTTTTAAGCGACGTTCTCATTGCCGTCGCGTCGTTTGGATCTTAAAAGTCTCTAATAGGGAGCTTTAGCAGCCACGACCGTAGCGGCAACGAGAACGTCGAAAAAGTAATAGGTTTCATAAGCAAAACAACAACTCTACACGTGCAGCATCCCTTTTTTGTACATTTCTTTGCCGTCACTACACTACGACGTGAAAATGCCTACTCAGTGGACAGTGTGATACGACACTAGGCGTCATGCCTAAGTTATTGGACAGTACGCGCCACCACGCGCACACTTGAATGTTTTTTTATTATTACTTTTTTCATTGCGGGCAAACACTCTCGGAATATCTTACAACATCACAACCTTTGTTATAGTTGTGATTAATTGGTAACAGAACTTTGTGTCGTCCAATTCGGTCTGTAAACTACGTGGTCGTACGACTTTGTTTATCACTCGTATGACTACAGACCGAAACGGACTGCACTCAGTCCTTTTACCATTATAAATTACAAAAGCAAAGTTTGGCTGCCAGTGAGGAGCGCTACACTCACCATGTCGAAGCATAAAGCAGGGTAAATAAAACAATAGCAAGGAATGATAAACCGACTGTGCGATCCACATCCAAAACACCTGCAAAAATACACGCGGAATTAGCCATTATCATACATTGTACTCACTATCTGCCGTCTCTTCATTGGCTAATAGCCTTCCCTTAATTTTGGAAATCAGCGCAACCTACTGATTAGTTAGTTATCTGTATCTGTAGGTTCCACGCGCAATGCATGATTTCCAAAAGCAATCTCAAACTGTGATCTGCGCGACAGGGTGTTTGTCGTTATTTTATTGCAAACAATAAACAAAAAACATCTACTACATTGGGTTTTTGTGATATCCGGGGTAATCAAGGTCGAGGTAAATTCTATATAAAACTTATAGACTTTGATACTTGGGATGTCACAAAAACCTTTTTTTTCAATAACTGTTTGTTATTGGCTTCATGTGTCATATGTTACTCGATAAACCATTCACCAGGAACATGAGACACTTCGGGAAATACACAAAATGCAGGATGAAGGTAAAGAGTCCTTACTTTACGTCGGCGGCAGCTCGAAATAGTCATCTGAACAACAACATTGACGCCGATGGTGCGCTCAATTTTCCCCTACAACCCCCCGTCTCTCTCCATCATTACTCCGTTTTACGGGTATCGAAAGCTATTTCAAGCCACACGGAAAGGAAAGAAATCGAAAGAAACAATTGAGGTCACACGTAGGAATCGAACTCGCGATCACCTCCCACACAGAAGGCTGATCAGTTTCGGTTTCTGGGAAACTGCCCACCTACCCCACCCCTAACCCAACATTTCGCTTTAAGTGAGAAGTAAGTGATAATGTTGACTTAAGGGAGGGGCAGGTGGGCAGTTTCCCCGGAAACCTAAATTGATCCCAGAAGGCCGCACACTATAATCAACTGCCCCAATCTTTCCTACTATGAGGTTGTGGGATCTAATGCTTTTTATAATCACAATCAGATAAAATGGCCCGAAACCCGATCTAATTCAGTCCCTACCTTGCTGTTGTATATCTCAGCATTCTGTGACGCCTTGTACAGTTTGGGATATTTTAGCATGCTATCAGAAGATACAGTGCGATCAAATAACCCGATAGCAAGAGGCGGAACTGATGTGAAAACCTGGGATTAAGAAAAGAACAATAGTCAGAGTACAAACAATCGAAGTAAAAACTATTGCAAACTCGTGAATACCTTGTTTATTAATAGAGCAGTGATGCAATAAGATAAATATTTTATGACATGAATGACAAACCCAAGAAAAATAGCGGCTGCCGTGCACGTGTTGGTCAAAACACGCTTCGTGTATTCACGAATTCGTTTTCTAGAAATTATAAGCCATCACAACACACAGAGATAGCTTCGTGAAATACCTTTAGAGTATTCACGAGTTAAAGTGCAAGAATGCCGAAAAAAATTAATCGGGTAGAATTTCTTTCTTTACGCATTCTCCTTAAGAAACTCTTTCTTCTTTTAACAATGCCTGTGACTTGACCGCGCAAGGAAACTCAAACGATAACTTACCACATTGTAAATACCAATGCACCATTTGTCGAACAGGATCTGACCTGAAAATCCATTATCAAGCGCAAACCAAAGCTGAAAAGACAAGTGAGGATCAATTAGATCAGGCGATACTGGGAAGAGCTGTCAGACCTTTGATGATACAAAAGGTTCATCTACGTCGAACTTTACTTTTGAACAACATCGGAACCAATCCACGTTATTTAATTATTTCCGATCGATGAATGTCTTAGTTTTTTATTGTTGCTCTAAAAGCTATCGACCTAAAAATAACTAAATAACCTGTCAAACAGGTTTAACCACCTATAAATAGCACATGACTTAACGAGATTCCCTTCATTTTTTAAAATGAGATAAGGACAAAAGGATAAAACGTCATCAGCGCTAATGTATTCCCCCTCAAATAAATGAGATTTCCGGTCAAAAAGAAGGCCCTACCTGTGCGCTGTATACGACTCTCCTACTCACCTCAATAACATAAAGGCAGACGTTCTTGTAGAAAGAGTACAGGATGAGCTTTGCGAGACGCTGATAACTCCACGCTCCATGGACAAACAGTAGTTTGTTCAAATAACGGAACTATAAAAGAGAAAGATAAAACATACATTAAGCCTTTTAACAGAAAAAGCAATGCTGTGAACGAAGAAACAAACCCTAATAACTCAACGTTGTCGTTGTCGTTGTGGGCACAGAGTGGCCACCAATACGGAGTCGTGCTTCTACACTGATTTACACCAAATTTGGTTAAGAAATGCTGATTAATGTTTCTCTGCCTGGTGAATAAAATTTTGCAATGGAGGTGTAATTGTAGGCAATTTTTTTTAAACCGCTTAGCGTAAGTTGATAGCGGAGCACCATGGGTAATAAAACTTCGTTAACTATGCATCCGAGAAATTTTTGTTGTCAAAATAGGGTATCCGCTGACCAGTGTCACATGACTGTATTGCGGCCTCAGGTGTACAGCTCATTGAGGTGACGTGTTTTTTTTAAGTTCTCGCTGACCAGTTATTGGCTTTCAATTGATCACAGGCTCAGGTTCCTTTTAAGGCGGCAAAGTTGAATTACTTCAGAAAGATTGTTTTAAAAGTTTCGCTTTTGGCCTTGGGTAAATCTAAATAAATTACTATACCTGAGCTATGGCGTAATCAGAAGCGCTGGCTGCTTGCAGACCTTCAACTCCACTGATCCCAACGCCGACATGTGCTGCCTACAAGACATAAAACAACGACAAACATTCACCCACATTTGCCTCATGGATAATTCTTGTTAAATAACGGAAAGCATTAATAGTATTGCAGAGAAACCACTGATTTCGCTCGAGCCTACACAACAGGCCCCAGCTATTCAAAAGGTGGATAGCGCTGTCCATTGGATAACGCAATTGGATTCTCTAATACTTATTGGCGATCCCGCACCTATTTGAAAGATTGTTTTTGATTAGCTGGGAAAACAATAGGGATTGTCACATAACAATGCCCCTATCCCTAAAAATAGTACCTTATTATAGGAAATTAACGCTCCATGAAATTAACGCGAATCGTTAAAATTCGCGTTAATTTAAGTCGCGTTAATTTTGTTGAGCGTTAATTTCCGCGCTCTTAATTTCCAGTATTTTAACCCCAACTTTGGAACCTGTCCAGACATTCTTGACACCTAAAAAACATTAACTACAAGCTTTCTTTCTTTCCATTTACCCTTTATTTTTCATCTTTCACAAGAGCTAAGGCGAAGGTTTACAATACTTCGAGTCCATCTTCATCGTTGTCGCAGTCAGAAGTGATGCCAATATCTTCTCCTTTGATTTCGGCCAAGATAATCGTGTTAATTTCCTTTTTATGAAATTCTGCCTCCTCTTTCGCGCTAATTTCCTTTATTCCAAAGTCGTTTTCCATTAAATTCGCGTTAATTTAAGTCGCGTTAATTTCCAATACCTTAATTTCATGGAGCGTTAATTTCCTATAATAAGGTAGAAGTGCAGATTAAAGGCGACCAGTGAAATAAAAGGTTTAGAACGGTCCAGGTCTACTGACACTTATCCAGTGGATAACGATTTATCCGGTGGATAGCACTATCCAACGTTTGAACAACCGGGCCAGGAAAATAACGTATTTGATCACAACCGAACCTGAATCATGCCGACATCGTTGGCTCCATCGCCGATAGCAAGAGTTATGGCATCTTTCACGTGTTGTTTGACGAGTTTCACCACTTGAGCCTTCTGTAGAGGAGACACCCTGGAAAATAAGAGGTTTTTACTAAGACAAAGATCAATTATTTGTTCCTATGTTTGAGTCAGTAGACGAAATCCAGCTGTTCTAGTTCACTTGATTTAAAATAAATTATTATAAAAAAAAATACCGCACGTAGCATTTTTATCGCAGTGTGTTCAATATCTAATGCTGTACAAGGCGGTCACAAGGTTCACCATTCGATTGAATGATAAATTGTGGATGAAATTTCACGGGATCTAAATTTGGTAAATGTTTTAAGCTATGTTAATGGAAAGACTCTCTACCTGAAATAATACACAAAATTTTCAGTTTCTGTCATCAACATTCGCAGAATTTATTAACGGCAACAAACTAAATTGCTGTATATCATGTAAGTACCCATTAATTGTCCCCAGTTAGCGGTGGGTTTGAACTCCGAACTAGTAGTTTTGACCAGAAAATGTTGAATGTTACTGACTCTGAAATGCAAAGTCGCGAGAGAATGTTCTCGCCTCGCAAAATTGAAAATCCGTGAAATTAAACCCCTCACAAAATTTCATGCACACGTTATACGAGTAATTTCGCTAACCTGCAACAGATGACAGCTTTGCAACTGAGCGCAAGATCCAAGAAACTCATCTTTAGTTCGTCTGATAATCCATGCAAGAGAGTCTAGTAAATAAAAAATATAGTTATTGTGGTTCATTATTTTACCACAAAATAGGCAAGGCAACAGGAGTACAACTAAAACAAAACCATTACCTTGCCGGTAACTATAAGACCCAAATCTTCCTGAAAGGGAAAAAAAATAATCATCATCACGATCATGTAAACAGAATAACCAGCAAATCACCTAGAAAAATTGCCTTCCCACGTTTCCTTTCCCAAGTGTATGCAAAAAGATCGGTACTTTTCCCTCCCTGTAAAGGAAAACGTGATAGTGAAGAATGTCTTGAACCAGAAATTATTAACATTTAACTGCTATGTTGATATTACCCTTATTTTTGGCGGTTTTTTGTGCGATGATACTCGGCCAATGCTTCGCAGATGTTCATTCAACCATTCTCGCGTACCCTACAAAACATTGAAATAAAAAAGAAAGGCTCAAAGAAACTGTCAGCTGGTAGAGAAGGAGAACGAACCATGGAGTACGAATACAGGCGTATTTTCGGTCGCCGAAACAACAAGGTTTATACAAAAAAACCAACCACTTTTCAAGGACCTTTCAAAGACCACACTCGATTTTCAAGGACCATCTACGAGGAATCTAATTTCACAGATTGTCCAAAAATGCACATTCCCAGTCCATTCTAACAGGACTTTGCTCCACCAACGTCTATATCAAGTTCACTTGATAGTTCAATTGATAGTTAATTCTGACATAAAACAAATACGCTTTATGTAAATCACCATTAATTTCCCTGAGCTATGACTTGTATTCCGGGTCTCGGACAACCAAAAAGCATTAAAAAACTACAGGTCACTAGATTCAAAGTTGAAGAAAATTCAAGGACTTTTCAAGGCCTTACACAGGAATTTAAGGACTTTCCAAGTAAAAGTGAAATTCAAGGACTTTTTGAGAATGTGCGAACCGCTGAGTTACAGCAACGGACGAAAATACGACCGCGTTCGCAGGTTAAAAGAACTTTAACTTACGTCGAGCGTTTCTTCACCACAGATCAAGAGCTTCATCTTGGCAGTAAGCAAACGACACGCATAACCTGTTGGAAATAAAAACAAAGCATTTTAGAGAAGCTACAAGGAAAGGGAGCTAAACAAATCTTACAGCACTGTATTACTGGAAGCATAAATTTCGCTTTTGAATGTGTTTCTTACATCTACGTTAGTCTGCAAGGCTGTTCGCATCACTACCAGCACCTTTTTGGGGGGGAGGGGAGAGTGTAATGCACACGGCATTTTGACTATTTAATTGCGGGCTCCTCTTATCGCCCACAATCCTAATCTCCAGGTTGTTATTACGCATGCGTGGCACGTATGTAGCCAGCATTCGTTTGGACCTCCACCAAGAATGTATGGAATGCACAGAACGCGCTTTGATCACGCGCGTTTCGATCTTCTATCACTCGTAATCTTATCACCCGTTTTTTTTTTTGGCCATCTGTCACATGACACTTACGCAAAGCGCAGCGCTAGTTCAAAAGCGTTTTCACCAGGAGTTTTGACCTTCGATCGTTGCCGCCCGCACTCCGTAACCTTTGGTTATTACTAGTAGCATATCTACTAAGGCTTTGACTAAAGGTCGTGTTTTGGCACTGAAAGCTACCGTCGTAAGATATTGGAAAATGAGACAACTTCAATGCGTTACCAATGTTGATGGCAGTCTCTTGTTTATCACCCGTCAGTACCCAGATCTTGATGTCTGCGTCAGCAAGGGCAGCAATGCTTTCTGGGACACCCTAAACAAGAAACGGAACAAACCAAGGTAAATAGAATTCTGCAAAGGTGAGTTGCATACTTCTTTACATCACGGGGACGTTAAAAGGGCAGTAACGTTCGACGTTCAGCCCAGTCAAAGTCCTTGTTTTAACGCAAGAAGTTAACAATCTGAGGTTAGTTTTTTAAATTTAAGTGGCTAAAGGTCTTCAAAAAATGCTATTTTTTTGTAAAGTTACGTACTTTTAGCTTTGCAAGGGCGAAGAAAGATGGTCTGTATATCGAAAAAACAGAAAAATTCGCCAGAAATACCCTTGGCGGCATGAAGGGCATCTAGAAACGTTCACCCAAGTATTACAAAGATTTGTTGAGATTCTTACAACAACAGAATACTACTCTACGCGTACCTCTTGGAGCTTGTCCTCAATGGCTGTGGCTCCCAACAGGAACAAATTCTGTTAAGAAAATTCGAAAACAGAGAAAACTGATGGGAACAATTAACTGCATATAACCTCAGCCCCGAAAAAAAACAAACAGGATCAATAAACACTCTCCTGAATTTAAAGTCGCCTTCTTCAAAAGGGTGCATCTGAATTTCGAAAAAGGGCGTGTTACAGTATAAGCTGTTTTTTTAATTTACAATATTGTCTAATATGGCGTTTTCATCAGAGCAGCCCTCGTATATTAAAGAACCGTGGAAAAATCCGTAACCACCTCTGCGAAGCTACAATCGCCGACAAAATGAGTTGAGACACTTCGCCCACAACTGGGCTTTTTTACGTTTTATCAACTTCAAAAGGAGGAAATATAGCTTTTCTCCCCCATCCCCTCCGTGCAATGTTGTGCCCTTGTTCTAGCTACCTATAGAAAACAACAAACACCCCAACTTTGAACGGAGGGGACAGGGGAGGGGTGCGGATTCTTTTGTTCTCCGAAGTTACCCTGTTTAAGTACAATGTCTCAACAATTTTGTCGCCGATTCTAGAATGATTTGGTGCATTCTAAAGGCTACTCAACTGAACCACCGCTCGAAGCAGCCATCTCACCTTTTCAATGAGTTCTGCAGCTTCGTCAACATTTTGTTCTCTATTTTCCAGGCTTGTTGAAGCATTGTAATAAATGTCACTCCATCGCTGAAATTCTTCAGGCTCCAACTCTGCCATTGCTATACACAAAGTTCGTAAACCTGACCGGAAAAAAAAGTCCCAAATAAGGTCGATCGAACGAGCCCTGAATGACTAAATTCACCTTTTGCTGTCTACTGACTCAAGGGGATGTTTTGAACTGTTTACTGACCAGTACAATGGCTTACCTTCTTTAGCAAACTCCTCCAAATGCTTAACAGTGCTGTCCATGTACATCTGTTTTTCTTGTAGCCTCTCGAAGATAACTGTATCCTATTTACAAAAACAACAATGAAAGTTATAAGTGCACTACACGATATAAACTTTTGAACGTTCCACTTTTCCTATCTCACGTTACACGAGAGTTATAAGCAAGCTAAGCAAGCTTAAAACGTTTTCGCAAAACAACTTTCTCTGGACGAAATTGTAAAAGAGCGGCAACTGAAAACAAAAACGTGATTGTCATTACCCACTTGATAACTTGTTTGAAATCCTTACAACAACGAGGGAAAAGTCAACAAGTAACAACAACATTTCAAAACATTAATTCTCTCTACAAACGTCGAAACGATTTTGACTGTTAACAAAACAATCCGTATTTTTGCCTTGGCCAAGAGAGCGAGAGTGGTCAAGTCTCGCCTGCATTGCCCCTTGTGAAAAACGATAAATTGAGAAAAAAAAAGACGACTGTTTTGCAATCTATGATGGACTTGGTTTGTGGGGAAGTTAATCTGGCACTACTTACCGCGCCCTTACAGTATAACTTGATTTTGCCTTCAGGAGTTCGAACAATCACAGACATCCTCTTACGAGTGCTGTAAGCGTAATAATAAAATACCTCAGTTGTCCGATCCGTGATAATGGTAGTACCACTCGCTATGAAAACGTGGTGCCGGTTAACTGATTCTTCCGTACAGACATGGACTAGAGGAGCAAGTGGGGAGGGGTTAGGGAGAGGTTGTGGGACCATTGCTGTCAAGAATTTGCAAGTTGGTGACCGGTACAAAGTCTGGCGTTTCGATAAGAACCCAAGCGGTGAAAAATTACTCAAAAAGTTTGACCATCACTTCAAGTTTAGTTTGCGCGTGAGCAAGAAAAACATTTTGGGTGAATATTATTAAACAAAGTTGTATCGAAACGACCGAAAACCGGTAGAAAATGTGATTTGTTTGTTCAAACATTAAAAGCCTCAAAAACAGTGTGAACATTTGCTGGTAGAATTAATCAGGTTTTGACCAGAAGTCAAGCATTCTTCATCCTGTTCCGTAGGATCTCAAGTTTAAACTGAGACAAAGCAATAAGTGTGATCATTGACACTGAGAAGCCGGAATCATGTAAAGACGGATGCGCGAGTAACTGTGGAACGTATAAATTATCATTGTCCTTTTTAAAAATCTATATCCTGGGAAATACTGTAGTAACAAAAAGTCTTGTTTATTGTTCCACCTATTAATTTCTTGTCGTTCAGTTTCTTGATGCTTGCGCTACTTTCAGTCATGTTTTTTTCATGTTACATTTACAAAGATGCGACTGCCCACAACGTACTGTAGGCCATCTCACCTATTAAATTCCAGAACATTTAAGACCTCATATACTTCTTCTTGCCCCATCTAAACAAAGAAGGTAGTTAAACACGTCAAACTATTGGTTTAAGAACAGAAACCAAGAGTTATAGCCTCAAGGATTGTATCTCTGGCAAAAACTGGCCTACGTCAGGTTTTCAAAAGATGTATCATAACTTACGGCGCCCTCCTGCCATATAATTATACTGTTATACATGGATAGAGATCAGCATAACCACAATCTTTGTGGCAAGTAGCATATACTACAAAAATATTTTTTGAATCGATTATTTACCGCATTAATGATGACCGAAGTTGGAGTCCTAACATTGAATGAGAATCCAAGTTTCTTGGCTCCTTTCACTAAAGCACCCTCATCTGTAAACCGTAATTAAAAACGTTATCAATCAATACTAGTGACTGTATCATGTCACCTCCATGCTCTTATCGCCCTCAACTCTTGACCAATCCGCACGCGAGAAATCGCTCAGTTATTGCCAACGAGCCATCCGAGCGAAGACGCTCGGATGGCGAGGCGGCAGCAGAATAGAGCCGCGTAAGACTGGGCAATAGGCAGAAAAATTCTCGATCGAGCTGAAAAAAGTGTAACCCAGGGCGCTTTCCATTTACGAAAAAAACCCGGAAATTTCGGTGGTAGCAAAAGTGGAATTTCCGATTGGTAAAAAGTTCTTCCATTTGGTCGTAAACCCCGGTACGTGGCTGGGTGCCCGACCGTGGACCTGGAACTGGTACAAACTGCAAGAAACGTAAATGGAACACGACATTCCGTTCGGAAATTCCAACCGGGAAAACGGGACCACCTTTTTAGATTTTCCACTTTTTCTGGGAATTTTCCAGTGGGACGAACCGACGAAACGTGTTCCATTTACCGCCGAACCGGAAATTCCGGAAATTTTGACTAAATGGAAAGCGCCCCCAATGTAGTGTAGATTCCCCTGAGACCAAGTGGTCAGTTGTGAACCAATCAAAAGGCAGTACCTGGCGCACGGGTTCAAGTTGAATAACAAACAAAATTTCACACACTTCCCGCCGTCGTGACTTCCTGTGTTTATTTACCTAAATTTTTTCGTCAAACCCGGCCACTGCAGTCAAGAGACATGAGCACTTGATATATTCTATTAATTTTAGGGGCCATAATGTTAAGTTTTAACGAAAAGAAGATTGTAAAACAGCAAAAGTGTTCTATGTGCAGCCAGCAATATTCTCACCACTAAAAAGGATCAGATTACAAGAGGAGATAAGGAAAGCTTGACACGAAGAATGCAGTCGCTTCTGTTGGAAAATCTGGTGTTGGGGAAAAAATCTAACCAGCAAACAAAAACGATGAGAACAAAAACGAATTACAAGCCTAAAGCGAACGACAAAGGAAAAGAAAACAACGACATTATTTTCGAAACCTGGCCGAGTTCAGTATAAAAATAATGAACTAAAATTAAATACCGACGTGCCGTACCGTACATCCCATGTCCTTGAAAACATTTCAGATGGCCCAGCGAATCATTCTAAGTTTCAATCCGATAACAAAAAGCCTCGGGAAATTTGGAAGGAGGTTTAAATGATTAAACTGTGCAAATATTTATCAACAATGTGAAACCGAACCGACAGTAGATTTGTAGCTGGACTTAATAATATTCCCGATCGCTTCCTCTGCAAAGCTGACTTTATTCTTTCAACGCACTTCACACTTTTACATAGCAGGTTTGTAAAGTCATCAGACTGAATCTGAGAACTTCTCAAGAAAATAATCCTTGCAACAGGAAGGGACCAAGAAACGGTCAAATGGGAAAAAAAGGAATTTTATTGCTAAGCAAAATACGCATGATTTCCTCGTTGGCACTCTATCGATAGGTATACCTAGTTGTAAAAGACGTTTAGGATATCGATGTCTGTTTTACCTGGTGATGCAGCTTGATAGATGATCTTGTCAGGATTGCTTGGATCTCTCTCTGGTACAACTGTGTGACACACAGCTAACAAAGTTAGAAACTCCCGAATCACTGATGCTGTTGGCTGCAATTATACAACAAGAATAAACGCGATGGTTACTAACTTTTATCACGATTTTTTTACTTCTATAGTTTACTAAAACATGACCACAAAAATGTTTGCAAAGCCTGGGAAGCACTTCTAAAGAAATTGCTCTCTTCAGAAAAAGTACTCAAGAATTTATGGAGGCATAAATGTGAATACTGACTACAATGAGGTCACGGAAGAAATTCTTTTGCCAATTCTTGCGCGTGCATTATTTCTAGGCTGTACGGTACCAGACAACTTGCTTTGTGGACATGATTAAAAATTACCGGTGACCCTAAACATTGTAACTCTTGATGCCAGGAGTTCTCTGGAAGAGCTCTCCTTACTGTTACTATTATGTTTTTTTAAGTTATTTACATAATTTAATATGTACTCACATGATGTTCTCTGAGATTATCTAGAAGAGCTGGATCAATGAACGCTTCTTCATCTCCACTACAATAAAAAAAAGAAGGGTCAACAATTTTATTTACATCTTGTTGAAGGAAATACTTCAGTGTTCTAGTTCACACCTGTAGCTTATTCCTCCGATGGAACATTTTTTGAACTCCATGACATTTCGCGTCAGAGTTCCTGTCTTGTCTGAGAAGATGTACCGCACCTGCAGTGAAACATAAAAGTGTACAATTTGAGTCAACTTTCTGAGATACCAAATTTTTAATTCATTACAAACCAAGGACTGTCTTGCCTTCCAGTCGCTAGAGAAAACAGCCAACATTTCGCTTATTTTCAATGGTTTCTCCACAAAATGATGTCTGAGGAGTCGTCTGAGGAATGAACTCAGAAGTTTCACGCTGATGTCTTGCCACTACCAAGTTCTGGGTAGTGGTTATGATTGGTTTACAACTGCTTCAACCAATCAAAACAACTACCCAGATCTGGGTAGTGACACATCATCAGCATGTTATTTCAGACGTCATTTAGCAGGGAACTATTGGTGTTGCAATACGTTGGCTGTTTTCTCAAACCAGCCTTCCGGCTCTTACCCCTCAACCTAAAACTTAATAGAGACCTTTGAATTCAAGGACGAGAACAACTACGAGTACGGGATTTAACCCATTCGCCCCTGAACCGCCCGTAACCGCCCGCGCGGATCCAGGTCCTTTCTACCCTTTGTGACGTCATCAGTTTTAACGGTCAAGGACAACTTTCTTCGCTAACTTGTACAGAGTGAACAGATCTTTCAAACCATACCAGAATGAGCACAATTCAGTCAAGGACACCGGAGAAAGAAGCAAAAAACCACGTGACAAGGACCTGAAAATCTCCATGAAAATCTTGTTCCATTACCCATCTACCTTTCCTTTCACCTAATCCTAAGATCCTAAAAGCTTTCCTAAAAACTCTTCCCACCAAAATGAAGCCTACTAAATGCCCAGCAAGAGAAAAAAAAATGAGGCAAGAAAAGCGAAAAAAGAAGGGAGGAGAGAAAGCCAAAAGTAAAAGTCAAGACTGCTGTGTCACTTTTAAACCCAATCTCGAAATTTTGCTTTCTGCGCATGCCCGAACTTCGCAAGCTGATATTTTGCATCTGGATCAGAAGGCCGCCAAGTGTACGACCTGTAAACCGGTTTGTGGTAAGTTTTAGCTCTTTATAGCACGACAGTGACCAGAAAACCACTCGACTAGCTTCAAAACGTGTTTTTCGGCAAAATCTCCAGGAGCGAATGGGTTGACTTAAAGTTTTTTCGCGTATTCTCAAAAAATAGACTCCCCGGAAAGCTTCATTGTACTTTTTTTCATTTGAAAAGATAGCACTGTTATCTATGCACCGTATTCACAAATGGCGGACACGCAGGAAAAAACTGGTGCCTAGTCATGAAAGCGAGGCGTTGGAGGGTAAACAAAAATTGCAAATGAAGACGTTCAGTGGGCCGTCGATAAAATCCGGAACATGGAACATTCCGGAACATGCCGGAACATTCCGGAACATGCAAAAATAAAAATAATTTTCATGAAAAAAAATATAATAAAATAATAATAGTAAAATAATTTTTGTAAAAATTAATAATAACGTAAAATAACAAAAAAAAAACGAAAAATAATGAAATAATTAAGAAAAAGAAACTGGTATCCTCTCTGAGTATGAGAAAACAATATTTTGTCGCAACCGATTAAAATTTGTTGGGCGAGTGAGGGTTCATGCAAATGACAGTAATGAGTGAAGGCTTGCTTCTAAATTCAAAATATATTAAAATGGGTCGCGAGGAGGGGGTTTTTTAAGCTTTCGTCACAGAGCTACCTCTTGTAATGGTTTGCCATGAGTTAATCATTTGGCGGTTATCCATTTACGGCTCTGCGATGGTCTAAAATGTCGGTGCAGTATTTCATGTCAAGCCCAGTCGGTAAGTAGCTCATTTCAAGCCAACATATATAGTCTCCTTACATATAACCGACATTTGCTTACTTGAGGTGCTTTGCTTCACTTGAGGTTGACATGAATTACTTACAGACTACACTGAGACTAGGCGGCTCTGTGAACTTAAGAAGAGTATAGGGGCTCCTGTCTTTGGATTTTAGTGGACAATACTCACATTCGTAGAAATTTCTATACTGTTTACAGTCAGCATGATATTTCAGACGTCTCCTCGAGTCGCAAGAGGAGTTTGCGGGGAGACGGCTAAAATTCAGGCTAACTGATAACAGGTAGAAACTACCGCTGCGCTACCACTGCCACTGCAACTATTCGCGGCGAATGTGAATCTTTAATTTAATTATTCAAGTCCAAAGCGACGAGCCCCTAAGCTCTTCTTACGGTCGCAACGCCGTAAATGAATAACCGTTAAACCGCATGGCAAACATTTCCATGGACCCTCGCCCCACAAATTATTTGCGACAAAATATTGTTTTCTCACACCCGGAGATGATACGAGTTTCTTTTTCTTTATTTCTTTGTCTTTCGGTTTTTTGATATTTTACGTTATTATTAATTTTTATAAAAATTGTTTTATTATTATTATTATTTTATTTATTTATTTTCATGAAAATGTTTTTTTTTCATGTTCCGGGATGTTCCGGAATGTTCCGGCATGTTCCGGAATGTTCCATGTTCCGGATTTTATCGACGGCCCTTTCAGTGAACTTGCAGAGTGTTTAGCACGGATTCCACCTAAAATAACTTTGTATGGACGTCTTTTTAAATACAACGGCGTGGGACGTCTTCTGCTTTTAATGGTTAGTAATGATTTGCTGTTTGCAATCAAAAGGGACGCGTATATCTTCAAGGAAACAGGATGATTTTGTAGGTTGCCGAAGCCTCAGAAGCTCGACAAGTGGGTGATGGCTGGAGAAAAGCGGCAAACATGTTGGCCCAGGAGTTTAATCCCTCTCTCGATCACAAAATGATAAAACTTCTAACAACTGATAGCTCGTTTCCGCCATTACGAAAACTCGTAGTAGAATGATGACGGCTACCAAGTTTTCCCGCCAAAATGACGCTCGATCACGCGCGTTTTATACTACTTAGTATTACTTAGTATTGAGAAAATCTCGTCCTCGTAATCGTACTCGTCTTAAAATCTGAAGGTCTCTAATGATACCCCATGTGGTCGATTTACAAACCTGGCCTAATTCCTCATTGAGATTGGATGTGCGTGCCATAGCTGGTGTGTCTGTCTCATCATAGTACATGTCAATGTCCTACAACATAATAAAGCTAAGTCACTCAACAATCAAAATGCTTCCCCTCAGTTTACTTCATAGTTTTTCTTTTTTTGTTGCACAATTAATGTCCTGCATGTCCTGGAGGAAGTGCTGTTGGGTCAGCAGTTAGAAATGCTCAATCTTACCGCTTGTTTTGAAATACGTTGTCAATGTTTATACATATTATTTTGCTTTTAGATGTTTACTTGTTATATTCTAATGTTATCTGCTGAGCACCATTACAATGATAAGCTTACACTGATACGCAATTATATCTGATAAACAAATAAAGACAAAAATAATCTATCTGGCTTCATCTTCTAAAATAAGAAAACTATGGTACTTGTTAATAAAAAGTAATAATGGTCAAGTATGTAGGGGGCCGAAAAAACTCCACCATTTTTCTAAAAACTGTATAAAGCTGGGTAAAAGAAGCAAAGGAGTCATTTACAAGGTGGTAGTGCGTATTTCATTGCCTTGCATAAAGTTATCCAGCTACATTTACATGTACAAAACAACTAAGTTATCAATGATAAAGCTGGGTACATACCAAGTTTATGAATATGGCTTGGATGAACTTCACAACCTGCAGTAAGAAAGAGAAAATTATCAGACAAGGTTAATTCAACTGCTACTTAAAAAAAAAAAATTCAGTACCACACATGAACATTAATAGTTATATGAAGGTGTACTATACCTCAAGTGTAACAGTCAAGCTGATAGGTATGAGGTTGTTATATAGAATGATGAAAGTCAGGAATGACATGCCAAGATTCTGTGCCTTTTTACCTGGAAAACAAGTTAATACCCATGTAATTAATACCACATTATATTTAAAAAAATTGAAATAATTTCTTCATGAATCCTAAAATATTAAGCAACAAGCAATAAAAAATGCAAGTCATAGTAACTCACCAGAGTATCCAAGATACCAATCAGTATCTCGATGATTATCTAAAAACATAAAGTTGAAGCTGTTATTTGAACATGTTTATGTGACCAGTTTGTTCTTACAGTTGTTCACAATCTCCTCGTTGAAGGAAGCCCCTTACATGACCTGTAAGTTCTCATAGTTTTTGGAAAACATTCACATCTTTCTTGTTGAAGGAACCCCTTAAATATAAGTATCTCTCTGGAAATTCAGAGACACATCTCCCTTGTCCTTTACAACTTTTAAAGGTCTTTCATATGGAGAATAATATTATTATTGTACATACATTTCCTTTCAACTTAAAAAGGGATCTTTAAAAGACTAGTTCATTCAACTATCTTAAAGAACACCTCAAGGTCTATAGCTGGTTCCTGCTGATCTTCAGTCACTTTCTTTGCCTAGCTCTGTTCTTAATCACGTGCATTAGGCCAAGATGGCTGAATGTTGGCCAAGTTCTATCCTTTTGTTATTTTGTGGACAGTGCATGCCGGGAAGTCCAGGTCAATGAACATGCAAAAGCAGCCACCTACTATAATTTGCAGTCTGTCCACTTTGAATTGGTCAATAAACATGGCTATGGGAAAATATTTTTCTGCAGGAGGAAAGCAGGACACCCTGAGCAGGGAACATTGACCTTTTGTGCCCACTGAGTAGCCAATCAGTACACATATTACTCCTACAGTCACCTACAGCAGGTGTTCATATGTCCCCCTATGGGAGATGTTTATTGGCAGTGGTTTGAACGTAATCTCACTAACCTGTCCATATTTTGAAGCCAATAGTGCTACACAGAGCTAAGACAAGGAGCAAGCCAAACAGGAATAAAATCTGGATGTTGGTGGTATGGTCGACATTTGATCTCTTGATTGGGGCAGCTGTAGAGTTCTAAACAAAAACAACACAGAGCAAAAAAAAGTTCAGCAGTTTTATGGCAGACCATATTTACTCAAACAAGCTAGCTGTAGCACTATAAGCACCCTGTTATCTCAAATGAGAATGTAGCGCTTACTTATGTTTTGAAGTAGTTAAGGCTGAAGACAATTAGGGTCTTAAAAATTAAAACTTACAGCTCTTTGCAATATTTTTGAAAAATTAGTAAATAATATTGCATACCTGCATAAGCTTGGAGTCATGTCCTGTGTAGACCGCAAGACCTTAAAAAATGATAACAAGAGGCACTTAATGACAGAATTAACTGCGTCCCATGTATAAGAACATGCTTGATCTTGCTTAGCTAAACAGGTTCTTGTATTTTTGGTTATTATAGTGGCAAATTTCTGCCACTAAAGTTATTATTCGTGGGTGTTTACTGTACTGCAAGAGTTTTTAAGAAAGTGGAAATGAGATGTCTGGTATGAAGAATGTGTCTGCAATTCCATTATAATGGGACTTTCATTGAGACAATTTTGTATCTGTAATTTTTCCAGGGGAATAAGCAGATGTCCAAAGTGTCTGTGAAAAGAAGGTGCCCACAAGGCCATAGTTGACTTCTGGCAAGTTGAACACTCTGCCATTGACAAAGGTAGTAACCTCAGGGGCAAACTAAATTCCAGTGTTAAATAATGTTAAATCTAATGATTGTCACTGACAAACCTACCAAAGACCCACTGAGTATTCCTTAAATGTGCTCCTCTTAGCAAGATTTGATCTGGTCCAACTGGTACTGACCTGCAAATTAAAGAAGTCATATCATTAACTTATTGGTAGACTGTAATACTCTAACTTCCTCCTATTTTAATTTGTAGATTGTGTCGCAGACGAGAAGAAGACCATGTTTAATTTAAAAGTACAGAAATAGAACAAGTTTCCAAGCTTCTGTAATGGTTAAACAAGGACAGGCTAATGAAGAAATTTTTACATCAGAACTTGACCGATCATTTTTAAAATGAAACTGTCAAAAAAGTTTCCTCACATCTGCTTTATGGGGATATAACTAAAACAATGTACATGTTACTCTGTTCAGTATTGTACATACTTCTGACTTTGAAGAGTAATGTTGCCAACAAAGTCATAAAGCCGATTGTTTGGTCCTTCGCACTCAACACGCCCCTGAAAATCAATGTAACATAGAATCTTGTAACCCAACTTTACTAAATTTCTCTACTACATAAAACAATAATTTAATTTTGACGTTCCCAGAATGAAAAATTCTGCATCCAATGCAACTTACCTGCATACAACGAACTTCAAGCAGGGATGTCATTTTAGCTGTGAGAGGTAAAGCCTGCAAAATAAAACACAATCTGATGAAGTTTACAAAAAATAAACATTAAGTTGATTTCATTATAAATTAAAAGGCTATAAAGTTTTTTCTTGCTCATTGCAGTCATGGAAAAACCCCTGACCCTTGGCCCTTAGTGACAGCACTGCTTAGAGGAGAAGCTTTCAGGCACTAGTGGTTGTTCATTATTATGGAAGGAACAAAATACACAACCAATAATTATAATTTAAACACACTTATTTAAAGGAGGATTGTTTCTTGAAGATACTCACTTGTCTTATCTTCAGATTAGTCTCCCCATCAAGATTTGAAGTCTCTATGTAACACATCCCCATTGGTTCACTATTAAATGAGGTAAGTATTAGCAAATTAATTTAACAGTCTCTTCTACCTACTTACATTTTACTGTCTCCTATATAATCAATTATTATTAAATTGATGTCTCAAGCTGTAAGTGCAGCACGCATTTTAAAAAACGAGCTAGTGGTTCAAAAGGTCCAAATAATAAGTGGTAAAAAGGCTATTTTTTGTTCAGTTTGTCGAAAAATTATACTATCAATTTATTGAAAATAATGTCACACTTATTTTAAAAATAAGTACAAAAAGTAAAAAATTCACTGATGGAAATTTGCCAAATTAAGTGCCCTTTGAAGCTTTTCATTCCATAAGTTTTAGTGCTCGTACAATGAAAGCTCAGCCCAAAATACCAGTGGCACTTGCAGCTGAATCTTACATTAATAGTAGTTTAGAACAATATTCATACATAAACGAAAAAATAATATTTATAATAATCATAATAATTACCTTGATGAGAGTATAATAAGATCAGCAGGGAAAAACTGTCCATTAACAACCTTGACAATATCTCCAACCTGGACCTAATACGAGGAAAAAAGGCCTTTTTATCAAACCACTTATGAACAGAATGACAAAATTCTAGCTGGTCTACAGGTATGGTGAGCAGAATACCATGAACAACAAATTTCAATCCTTACCTCAGTCCATAGTAATGACTGCAGGGTATTATCTCTTAAAACTGCAAGAACAATACAGAATATATAGTAGGTAACTTGATGCTACATTGGTTGTTTCCATGATTTTTTTTATTATCAACGAAAACAAGAAAATTGCTAAGTTCAGCCTTTGTTTCTTCTGTCTAGCACGAAATGCTGACTAAGCCTTGTTGCTTTTCAAACAAAGCAATAAACAACCAAAAGCGTCAGAGAGCTTGAATTTCAGTTCTTACAATAAAAGCAATTTGAAAAATATTCCCTAAAAATGGAAAACTAGGTCACTATACACCTGACAGCAGTCCAGTAGCACAGGCAAACATTTTATTGTGACTTAAGAATTTCAGCATCTAACAAGGATTGTAAACATTTCGGATCTTGTTTACTGTGGGTAATGTCGACTGAGATATCGGTCGACATAGCAGTCGATATAGCGGTCGACAGTCGGTCGATATAGCGGTCGACAGTCGGTCGATAGTCGGTCGAAAGTCGGTCGATAGTCGGTCGATAGTCGGTCGATAGTCGGTCGATGGTCGGTCGATAGTCGGTCGATAGTGAGATAGACTATCGGCCGAGTATCGGTCGATATTTCTTCGACGCACTTCGACTTACTATCGGTCATATGTCGGTGATATATCGGTCAACTGTCGGTGATATATCGGTCAACTGTCGGTGGTATATCGGTCAACTGTCGGTGGTATATCGGTCAACTGTCGGTGGTATATCGGTCAACTGTCGTTCGAATATTAGTCGTGTGTTAATTTATCAGGTGAGTCCAATGGCTTTTTTTTAAGCAAAGACGTCATTAATTACTGTTATCATGCGATGGGGAACATGTGGCAGTGCAAGGCGCGATTACGCTATGAAGAGAACCGAAGAGCACTGGGAACTAAGGATATGATAACCTTTTTTTTTCCAGTTTGTATCATCACCGATCGTCTGAGTTTTAGCTGTTAAACAGAACCTGTCTCAGCCTAAGTTGAATCTGCTGCTCCTGTGGTCCCGCAAAAATGTAGGAAAATGTAGGAAATGCTAAGTGTCGACCGACCATCAACCAAGTGTCGACCAATTACTGACCGACACATCGGTCAAGTATCGACCAACTATCGACCAAGTATCGGCGAAGTGTCGGCGAAGTGTCGGCGAAATGTCGGCAAAAAGTCGGCGAAATGTCGGTGAACGAAAAGCTATATCGGCCGAGACACATCTGGAACGACTATCGGCCATGTCTCGACCGAGTGTCGACCCACTATCGACCCACTATCGACCGCTATATCGACCGACTGTCGACCGAGTGTCGACCGACTATCTACCGAGTGTCGACCGAGTATCGACCGAGTGTCGACCGAGTGTCGACCGCTATATCGACCGCTATATCGACCGCTATATCGACCGATATCTCGGTCGACATTACCCACAGTAAACAAGATCCAACATTTCTACATGTAGCAACAACATTAATGTAAACCAAGGCTAGAAATAATGCATAGAGCAACTGTACATGCTGGTGAGAGAGGTAGGCAGTTGGGAATTACACCAATGACTGTCAGTCCGTAGTAAAAGGAGGCCTTATATGGCAAAACTCTTGATTATTTAATAGAAAAATTACTACCTTTAACTCTACGATTATTGACTTGGTCATCAGCTTTGTGTCTTTTCTGAAATAACAATGCAATTTAGCTATAAATGGCAATTCTCTGTGAAATTTTATTGAACAATGAATAGATATAAGGAATTTGTATAATCTTTTTTAAACTCAGTTTCAAAGCCCAGTGCATTCTTAGATAATGGCTGATAACTAAGGTATAAACTGCTAAAAATGTAAGGATACTGTGAAACATTTATGTTCACTGACAGTTTGGTTAGAATCAACTACCAAGCTAGCCATCAGGCCTCTAGCCACATTTCTAGTGCCAAGTTTGAACCCAGTGTTTTGTCTGGGTCAGGCTGGCCCACCAATCCCCACTTCCCTGGATGAATTGAATTGGCTAGCCTGGCTCAATGGCCAGGACATGGCCAGGGTAAGCCCTCCTTTCAGACCAGGCTTTGGCCCGGCCCATTCTGATCGCGCCAATCTTGCCTGCTGGCTCCAGATTCACTGGAATTTTTATTCCATGGCCACAGTGAATCTGGCTTTTAGGCCGGGCTTTGACCCTAGACTGTCTTCACCAGGCCAGCTGGGCTCCCGACACAAAAGACTCATTAGAAGCAAGCTAAACTAGCCAGGTTTTTAGCCACATTCCTAATCCAGTGTTCTGGCTAGGCCGTGTTTGCCTTCCAATCCTGGCATCCATAAATTTTTTAGCCATTGGCTAACCGCGATGGCAAGGGTCACCCCGGCTTTCAGGCCAGGCTTTGGCCCTGTTCTGGTCGGGCCAGGCTTGCTTGCTGGCCCCGGATTCCCCAGAATTTTTATCCCATGGCCAACCCGGCCATGGCCTTGGTGACCCTGGCTTTTAGGCTGGGCTTTGACCCTAGCTCTCACCAGTCTGGCCAGGCTCCTGACGCCAGGGGGCCTCAGCTTAATATTGTATCTAGTTGGATTTTTGAAAACCTTTAATGACAGCAAAAATAGACCTCAACCTATCTAACAGTGCAACATTTACTTTTTTCTCTTCTCCTTCTTTCTTTTGCCTTGCTTTAACTATTTTTCCTCCCTTTTTTCTTCCATATAATAGTGGGATTTTCAGGCTTAACAAATGTAACAAATTAACATGACTACTTGGCCTTGTTTCAAATGGCCGCAATTTGCATTGCTACAGTGTACATTTTTGCTACAGTAATACTGAAACCAATACAACTTACATAATCTTCTATAATCTCTTTTACAGCTGAACAGGAGAGAACAAACAGCAGGGGAACTGCAGTTGTGTATCTCCCAGTAGGGGACACATCATCTATTTGCTGTAAGAAAGCAACATCAAATTCTAGACTTATACTATACTTATAACTACTATACTAGCACTACAGAAACAATTAAAACTGTTTTTTAAAATTTTTAAATTCAAAAATTGAAGGACCATGCAAAAACACCCCATGGCTTTCTCGTTGGTGGTATTGTTGAAGAGGACATTAATTTTTCCATGGAGCCATTCATTAATACTATACTTTGCATGCAACTGTTAAAATTCCAAAATGGGTAAACTCACCTGTAGAAGTGCAATGAATAAGAAGAAAACATTGGAATATCGACTAAACTGTTCCAGAAGAAACTTGGGAAGGAATGTCAAGAAGTTGTACTTGGCAGTGCTGCAGGGGAGCAAATTCATTTCACACAAGTTTAAATAGGATTCTCCAGATACTGTACATGTACTCAGAGAAAATTTATAATTTTTTTGCAAACCCAATTTCCCTCTCTCCCCTTGCCAGTTTCAAGTGCCTGTAACGGGGACAAAGTCTATCTATCCGTATGTATGTTTAACATTAGAAGGGTACATGGAACGATACCCCCCCCCCACCTCCCCCTGAGAGTCTTTACGAACCGTATAAAATTCTCGTCATCTATCAATTTATTAAGCCTTCTGGGAACTTCTTTATTTCAAGCAGGTTTGGGGGGTTGGGGGTGGGGTTAATAGAGAGCGGGCTTATTCAAAAAAGGGGAGATGGTGGTATCAGTTCTCGATAAAGAATAGAACCCAAAGTGGAAAAACCCATGAAAAGTATATGAAGTTGTCGGTCACGCAGCTGTTAGATAAAAATAAGTCCAAACTTCCAGCACCTGAATAAACTGTACTGGATCAGTCCACATGAAGTGTTACAGTGTCAAGATTAATTACGTGTATGTAATAAATTATAATGTAATATTATTCAATTATTAATATTGGTTGTAAAGAAGAAAGGGGAGGTAAGGAGATTATTGAAGAGACAGGGGCAGCTTATTAACTTTGTTCTCCTGAAAAGGGGGGCTTAATAGAGGATTCAGCCAGGGTAATCTCAAAACCCCTACCTTTTACTGACAACCCATACAAGATAGGTTAAGAAAGGATCACTAATAGGGCCTTTCCAAGTACAGTGTATACTACATGTATATACAATCCGTATAATCATTGCACGAGCGGTTGCAATTTTCATACCTAATTTTGTTGCTGCAGAACTGGTGAGTCTGAGGTTTATTAATAATGATGATTCTGTCTGCTTCAGAACCATCTGTAGAGTCACTCTTGAGAGATCCATAGTTTTCTGCAAAAGAAAGCATGCCAACTTTAATTTAATTAAGTCAGAGAAGTTTTCTAATGTGTGCTTAGAACTAGATCTAGATCTTAAGGAACAAATTTTTCATAGAAAATTTTAAACCTAAAGAGGGGAGAGAGGGAGTTGAAACCAATAAAAAAATAACAAAAGTACAAACGTAAATTAACTGGCTATTTATGAGTTTTAAGCAGGGGCTCAGGCCTCTTCAAAAGGCAGCTTTTTTAATACGTACATCTTCAGACCAAAAATTGGAACTGAAATTGTCATGGCATTTTGTTTGAAGATGTATTAAAAATGTTACTAGGTCTGTCTTTTTAAGAGGCCCTCATGGGTTTTTTTGGTAGAAATTATGAAAGAAGATGAAACATTGTTGAAGAATTTTGTTACCACTAAACTTTAAATCAGCCAGCCATTGGATATGTGCACCTGTTGGTTTATCAGAGAGAGTGTTGCATTTAATTCAAAAATTTGTAGCCACACTATATACTCTCATATAGATCAGAAATGATCATCTTATTATTTCTGGTACTGCCAACATTTGACGGAGTTTATTTCCCAGCAGTACAGTGGCTTTATTTTCTAAATAACTCTTGGAGGACTCTATAGAATGACTCTACACACTAAAAAATAAAAATGATCAATTTGAGGCAATGGATATGAGGAAAATGCCTGCTTCTGCGACTAGAAAAAAGCATTTTACTCTGAGACAGTTTTTGTCATCAAAAGTACATTTCTTATAACTAATATTGCTATGACATATATTGTATCAAAATTACATGCAAGCACATCTATAGCATTCCAAAGCAATTTCCTTTAAATTTTAACTTTACTATTATATAACAGTTCCACAAAGCGGATAGTTTTCTGATAATACTTGCTATCTTATTAATTCTATGAAGAGCAATTCAACAAAATGGGGCAGGTCAATTTTGGATTATCACAAATAATATATAAATATCAGACCCAGACCAAAGATGTCACTCTTTAAAGCCTGGTCTCCATATGATCATTCTAATGGGTTATACTAGTAATAAGGAAAATTTCAGTGCAAACAAGTTGTATCCTTGGAGGTCTATATTTCAACTAATACAGTTAAGTGCTTTTTATAGTGGTTATAAAAAATACCCAGTATACGGCTTTTTTTCCGACTTTTAAGGGCTCAAAACATGGTTCGAGTTATCACGGGTAAAATAGGCAGAAAATGACCTGAAGGGAAACGAAAATTGGTTCAAGTGAGCGGGAGTTTGAGTTATCAAGGGTTCGAGTTACTGAGGGTAAAATTACAGTCAATGTATGACAGAAATCCAGGGGAAATCGATTTTGGTTTGAGTTAGCGCGAGGTTCAAGTTAGCGAGGGTTTGAGTTATCGGGAGTCGACTGCAGATGTAAAATTTGATTTCCTAAGTTGATTCCCAGGAAGGGGGAGCTAGATCTTGTCATGAAAGTCTTGCCTAAATGTGGGTAAAATTAGAGCTATTTCTGGGACTTTGGATAAATGGAAAAGGAGCATGTCATGTAGACCATCCCCCCCCCCCCCCACCCTCCCGATGTAACTAGGAATATTTTCAGTCCATTCTTTCCATGATTAAATATATTATTACTACAGCTGATTTTTTTTGAAGAGAACCAGTATTTTTACCTTACAAAATAAATTCAGGTTTCTGTTTATATTTATTCAAGTAACACGATAAATAAAAGAAACAAGCAACTCTTTTGGGGATTCATGACCATAAGTTTAATAGCTTTAAATAAATTTCTAATATTATAAAAGAAAATGTCTAGTGAAGACACATCCTCCTTCCAAAATAAGCAAGAAACAACGAGAAACAAGTAATTTTCACAGTCGAATCCAGTAAGTTGTTTAGATTTTTTGGATAAGACGTATATCTGCATGTTGTTTGTCTCTTGTAAGCTTATACCGCAGACGATTACACCTGCTTCCATCAGCTTATCAATGGCTAAGCTGAAAACGCGCCGTGATGGTACAAGATTTTAGTCTGAGGCAAAACAACAGTTTTAACGTTCAAAAAATTCCACCAAATAGTGTATATGTTTATCGCCTCAGTGGTTTTTACGGTCAGAAATCAATGCAAGCCATTAAATTACAAGCTTATGCCTAGAATATTAGATTTTTGAAGCTCGAAAGTGAAGCTTTAAAGCGCTAATACTTCAAGACGAGATATATGCCAGCATATAAAAGGCACCAGGCGTAATAACAAGACAATCGCTTACAACTTTCACTGTAAATAACCGTGGCAAGAAAATCCCCTGAAAGAAATAATCCTGACGCGGGAAATTTTAAGACAATTTTTCAGTCTCATTGGTCTGAAAACGAAACTTACCATTACTGCCATCGGCCTTCGAGCCAACAGACGTCAATTTGTATCCCTCTGCCATGATTTGAGGACCAAGCCATACAACTTGGCTGGCAGCATAAAGAGGTTCGAAGGAAGGGAGAAAATCCCCAACAAAACGCCTAAACAAGAATCCACCTAAATTTATTGACAAGAAACGCGCTTGCGCAGTGCTTTCAATTTTCAGCTGTCTCTTTTCTTCCGGTTTATACCGGAAGAGAAGATCGCTTTTGATCAGCATGCAGAACAGCTGCTAAAAAGGCCTCTACTGACAAGAAAATTGAGCGAAATAACAAAGCCGTGTGTATCAGAGCCCGAATTGTTTAATATGCGTGAAAATAAGGCCAAACCCCACGCCGCTCGATTCAGATTTTATCAAAGCATTCACTTCGATTTGACGTGAGATATGCCACGATATCAGCTGGTATGTTTTTAAGAAATAAGTGAATCAATACTTTTCAACTGTCTCTTTATCTCGATAAATGAATAAAGACCCACTCTGAGGTTTCGTTCTCTATTAAAGAAACGCGCAAACACGACGCAAGAGTTTGGCGTTGAAATTGTCATGCTGAGATGAGATCAAGCAGCGTATTTTACCTGTGGCGCTCGTTTCTCCACTTTCCAAGACATCAAAAAGCTCTGAAGATTCTCTCCGGTTTACAACATTGTAAGATCCTCTGCCGATATTCATGGTTCTAAAGAAGGAAAATCTCCCACACCAACATGTTTAATAGTGCAGGGGCATGCAGATCAGATCAGCTTGTTTATCGTCTGCCGCTTGTATAGAACCGGAGACCCTAGGGCGGTGGGGTGGGGAGAAGAGTATCTCCTTTTTTGGAATATACAGGGAGGGTCTGTTTTTCCGGTGTGTGGGCATGTGCTTCCCTCAGTGCACTGAACCAGCTGGAGCGAGGGTTTCCAGGTTAGTTTGTCTCAAGTAGCTCCTGTTTATTTTTTAATTTTTTTTCTAATAGCAACCCCGATTTATTTATTATAGCCTCTAAGAGCTGAGGCATTGGTACACAGGTTATTTATATATAATATAAATCTATTAGCTATTATTAATCATGAGTGAGACACATGCAAGTCATGAGATGGTGCTCAGATACCCTAAATGCTATACTGTCTTATTCTGACCATCACCCAATTCAGGAAGTAAAGTAACCGCATAATTTAAACTGCTCTCACTCAGAGTCACATGAAGGGGAGTGGGAAGGAATGCTCTGTTCCTTCTGTTGTTCCTGCCCATTATCCAAAAGCTTCCGACCAGGTTGCCGATAGATAAGTTTGTCCTATTGGTTTATACATGACGGAAGTCCAGGCAAGTACAATGAAGTACAAAGACCAAGATTAAACTTTACGATTATTTACTATACTTCCCTGATGTTATTACAACTTTATTACATGCATGTGAAAAACAGTTAAAGCTCTTACAAACATGCACCTTTGAGGAAAAGAAAAAGTGTCCTTAACCGCAGCTGGTTCTTGTGGGAATGATTTAATTCATCTGCCACTTGGTAGCAGTAAGGTTCTATCAAGGCAGCTACATGGGAAACTGTTGTGAATTAAGACTATAGGATGTAGAATTGAGTTTTAAAAACTTTATCCAAATGTGCGTTGAAAAGATATGAAAATCCAGACGTTTCGAGGGTGCTCCCTCTTCCTCAGTGATTAAATGCACTGAGTAACAGGGAGCACCCTCAAAATGTCTGGATTTTCATACCTTTTCAATGCACATTTGGATAAACTTTGTAAAACTCAAAAGATCATTTGCATTGCATAGAATCTTCCGTTTCCTTTTCTACACTATAGATTTAGATGCGTGTAGAATTGTCAGCTTATGAGTGCCCCTTGTCAGAGAGGGCCTCAACTGTACCAGCAAAATAACACTGACATTACTTGAAAGTCGTGAACTTCACATAACCTGTGATTCATACCTAGTACATGCACTACTGTACACGGGGGCAGACAAAGGATTTTTTGATAGAGGGGACCCCTGGGCCCATTCCTAACTCTGCCCTTGGTACAATGTATTTACACTGACTGAGAACAGTAGTTGTCACTTGTACTTGTTAATAATCGCACTAACAGCTGTAAGTGTAGTTTGCATTATTGTACACGTCATACGTCAAGAATAAACAAAATATTTGAAAAACGACATTATGTACAGGAGTTCAATAATCCATCCTCTTACCCACATTATTATTACAGATGAAGTATTCTTTATGAGCACATTGTTATTATTGTCAAGTTTATTCTGCAGTGCACATATTGTTGATAGAAGTTCTTAAAATTGTTTGGAAATAGAATATTCTAACATCTGGCCTGAAATTCATCCGATTGCTTCGAGTCGTTTTCTCCTCTCAACAGCGTCTGAATCGACGGGCCGTTAATGCCGTCCAGTGACGTCACCCACTACCCGAAAACCAGGTAGTGATTTTGATTGGTTGATTGTTTAAACATTCGCATAATTATGTATAATTTTTTTTTATGTATAATAATTTAAAAATTTTAGCGCGATTGTCGCTTGATATTCAGCAGATCACATCCCCGGCATTCTTTCGTTTAGTTCAAACATTTCGATAAGCTTAATCTTTATCTAACCAGCAAAATTGCCCTTGTTTTCAAAACTGAAGTGCTAAATTGAACTGCCAATGAAGAATCATTGCGGAGAGTGGGTAGGTTTTTCATTTAGAGCCGCTTTGTGGTTTTGGCGGCCGGTGATTTTGTTTACGCGAAGTTTTCTGAGATCAATGTTATAATTCGACCTTCTTACTATTTTTACCGTCAAGTGTAATGATTCTGTTAGCTTTTCTTTCTTGTCTCCTCGTTTTTTTTCTTCGTTAATTAAAGCAAATCATTGTGTTTTTGAACTAAGTGTTCCGTGTGTGTGTTTATTTCATTTGCGTGATTGCGACCGAGTTTGATATTTATAGAATTTAGTACAACCGGTTCACAGTTGTACTGCATGCAGTTGATAGTTTGAACGTTAAACATGAAATACAATCGAAAAAAATAAAGCAGTCCTGTATCATGCAGACATTTCAAACGATATTTCTCGGTTTGCCACTTGAAAATCGTGTTTTACTTTTTGCATGAATTAAAGCAAAGGTCAAGGACTAGTGACGTCACGGGACGGCATTAACGGCCGGTTGATTCAGACGTTACTGAGGGAGTAATAACGACTCGAAGTAATCGGATGAAATTCAGGCTAGATGACATCACAAAAATTAAATTTTTGAAACTATGGGATTTGTTGGGATATTTTGAAAGAACAACATCTGAAAGGCTTACTTGCCAAAAACTAGCATTGTGGGCCAAATATTATTGTCTTGAAGATACTAGTCCCATATTGCCCAGATAACTCTGTACAAATCCTTCTAAATTTGACTCGCAAACTCACAAATCAAATGCTGGGCACCCTGGATTTCACAGCTTTAGAGCACTGGGGTCTCTTCATATTTCTTAGAGCACAGCCTTGCTTAGTGGTGTTAAATTAGAGAAACAATAATTGTGGTCTTTTTATCAGACGTTGTGCCCTGATTATGATGTGGTTACATTAGAAAAGGACAGTCACTGGTAAAATTTTTAGTAAATGAGGTATATGAAATAAGACCCCAAGTAACATTTCACACACAAATTCTCGTTTTTTTTCCCTCAAAACAATGGCGCAATTTTGAAGAGGACTATATTAATCTACCAGAGGGCCCTTGGCCCATTTTTCTTGCATGGCTCCAAAACATGTGAAATTCTACATCACATAATATTACAGCGCAAACATTGTCACCAACTGATGAATGTCTCAGGGCAAATCTAAAATAATAATTATCTGGGTTTAAGATCTCTGAATGGTGTGTTTGTTAGTACATGAATCTTGAAAAGTGACACCTTGCAAGCAGTTTTCCTGTGAAAGCAAGAGGTCTGCCATGTTCGTGTGGTTCACACCAATTTGATTTTTCTGGGTTTTCAAATTGTTTATTGCTTTTATGTCTTAAAGTACTGAATCCAGAAAATCTGAGCTGAGAAAATTACCTTTTAGTATTTACCAAATCAGTGAATAGCAATTTTCGTGCATTTTTATTGGTTCCCTTAACTCAGAATATCCTTGGCTATTCACTGTTTGGGACAGGAATCAATATGGCATCTTGTTTTGCGATAGTTTTTTTGGTGGCAAATGAATCAGCTGCACCAACAGAAACCATGCAAACCACAAAATTTGGTTTGTTGGTGTTTATTGGTAGGTTTAGAAAATTATTTTCTGATTGAATTTGCAACAAAATTTATAGTGAAAATGTATGCGATAAAATTATTCCCTAAAGTGATCTCATTTATTATTACAAAAATTAAGGTTTTATTTTTATCCAACTGATTTGGTGAATACTAAAAAGGAACTACCCTCCTCAGGGTTGGTGCATAGTGCTAGAAATATACCTCAACCCTTCATGCCTCAATATGAAACAACCACTTTTAACCTCCCCTCTGAAGTACAGTTCATTTGTTGTATACTATTCTCCCAAAGAGAACACTCCAGTGAAAGAGCCTATTAATTTAACTTCAATATAAACTGTATTTACAAACTAAAATATATCACGTCACAGTTCTACACAAGAGCATTCAATGGTCAGTCCCTTTGAGGTTTGTACAATCAATGTTACCAATGGAACTGCTTCAATTACTATCTGGCTTTTGATCCAGTTTGCTTTTATGGGTTTTGATCATGTAAATAAAATATGTCACAGTCTCTTTCTCTGGACATGGAATCTGCTTGAAGTGTCTTTGGATTGTCTAAGTTTAAAAAAAACAAAGAAGAAGCAGATTAGCTTTGTTTGCCAGCTATCTTTTGTTTTTAATCCAAAAGATGAATGACGTGTACATTCAGGCATCCCTTAAGCATAACATCTAATCAAACTACATCTACAACATACTATTAGTAGAAATTTCCAAATAAGCACACCATTGTCATAAAGGATGAACATAAGCCAGGGCTGAAACAAATAATTAGCCAATACACCCCTAAAATACCACATTTTTGTCCAATATACCGGTACCACCCCCCCCCCCCCCCCAAAAAAGACAAGCAATATACTGTGTATACAAGAAATACAGGTAATTTGAGGAGAAAGATACAGTTCACCTAATTTTATTAAAAGATTCCTGTACATGAATGCAATAATGAGAAATGATGTGATCAACATGTTACGAGTACAGGCCAAAGAAAAAATCTGAGTCCCCAACAGGTGTGATGGTGGATAAATTTTAAATTCCTGAACAACTTAGATTTTCCTAAAATTTTGAAAATCAGTAGAACTATAGCCTTCTGCTTAGCTAGGTAAAAAAAAAAGTGGATTACATTTATCAACTTTCGTATGACATAAAATGCAAGGCTAAAAGATGCTAATAAAATCCAACTAGTGGTCTATTATCAGTGCTGCACTCTGATTGGTTGAGTTACTACTAGGCTATACTTTATAATCCCACTAGTAGCAAAAAGCGCCAGCTTTGAAAACCAAAACAATGGCGGCTGAATCGCAATTTGCTAGCTAAAGTTGTTTTGTCTCAGTCTATATTTTTGACCAACTAGTTGGATTTTACTAAAACACTTATTCCTCTTGCCTTCATGGCCTCTGAGTCAGTAGTTCTTGACTCAGAGCCCATTCGGGCTCGAGGAATAAACGTTAATTAATTCAAGTT